AACAAAATTCTCAAACCAAGAAGATATCTATGGTTTTCTTTGAAGGAGTCATTGTATGACACCCTCTAACAGTGCTTAACAGTAAATTCTCCCAATCATTTTGGAATTTTCCCAACCGTCTTTCCATGAAATAAAGACATAAAACAGGCTATGAAATATCTGTCAACACTTAAATGTCTGGAATGGAATGTAGAGCCATTTTATTGCTTTGTGACGATTTCCATTCACCTAAAATGTAATTAAATTCTAATAATACAGTGCGTCCCCGAAAAAACGAAACCGAGAAATGTCGATGTTTCTTTCATAATTAAGTTAATCACAACTATAATTGATAAATGACACATATTTGTAAAGCTTAGATCCTCGTCTTTCATTTGATGCAACTCATATGATGCATATTTCATGCATGAGTAATTAAAAACAATTTGAAGAGAGGGTACCAAAAAGTCATTTTTAGGGCGGTATATCTGAATTTCAAAGATAAAATCAGATTTTCAGAAATTTCATTTTCTGCCCTTTCATAAATGACACCTCAATCAGGAAAAATGAGCCAGGAATAACAAAGTTCTGTTTTGTTTAAAGTAATGCTTACATTTCCATCATTTGATTAAACGAATAAACCTTTGTTATAGCAACACTTCGGAGTTATGATCCTTCAAAATACAAACCTTTGGGATTGATGAACCGTCAAAAAAAACGAAGTTTAACCATAATATTGGACCCCTGTAAACAAATTCGATATGAAACCATGTTTCAATGCATATCGAAAATTGGACGGGTTGACAATACACTATGACCATATCTTAATTGACAAGCAGAAGTCAGAAAAGCAAGGCCCAACTAATTCATAGCATGGATAGTAATCAACTAATTGATCAATTTGTATGGTTTTAAAGCAATTGTAGTATATAGGCTACTAATTACTTTCCTAAGGCCAACGTTTCATATGTCCCCCCCCCCCCCCCCTGTACTGGCTTCGTAGTCAGGGGTGTCACTAAGGGGTTAGGCCCCCCTTGAGATTATCTTTTTTTTTTTGTACGGAGCTGGCAATTGAAGACTAATTTTTTTCTTTCTTGATTTGAAAAAAAAAAAACCAACGTAGGTTACTTGTCAGGAAATTGTAACAACGACTACCCCCCCCCCCCATTCAAAATGGCCTAGCGACAACCCTGTGAATATCTGATATAAATGCAATCCCAAAAACATTCCATATGAAAGATGAAGCGATAAAATATCGACGCCTATTTTTGAGCAAATTGACTGTAAATCATTCATTTATGTAATCAGATGAAAATGACAAGTTATTGATGTATAAATGTTGTACCTCTTTCTACAGATATAAATAATGAGCTCATACATTTCCAACAAAGGCTTTTTTTCTATAAATAATTGCGTGGCAAAGAAATTCAGGCACAATACTTTAGATTCTTTCCCGATGGATTTTCTCTTTTTAACTCTCTCTCTCTCTCTCTTTCTCTCTCCTTCTCCCCTCCCCCCCTCTCTCTCTCTCTCTTTCTTCTCTCTCTCTCTCTCTCTCTCTCTTCTCTCTCTCTTCTCTCCCTTTTCTCTCTGTTCTCTGTCTGCTCCCTCCTTCTATCAAACTCTCTCTTCTCTCTACTTAAAAAAACAAAACATAAAGAGAGCCTGATGGAGAGAGAGAGAGAGAGAGAGAGAGAGAGAGAGAGAGAGAGAGAGAGAGAGAAGAGAGAGAGAACGAGAGAGGGGGAGAGGGAGAGAGAGAGAGAGAGAGAGAGAGAGAGAGAGAGAGAGAGAGAGAGAGAAAGAGAGACATTTCTGAAGTGCTGTACACGTCACTTGCCATTGTCCAGGAGTTAAAGTCTCACCTCCCTGCTTCAATCATTCTCTAGTGGCGGAAACGGTCTCCCGATGTCATGGCAACCATCTGCGAGGCCTTGGCGTGTCGTTCTCATAACAAAATGCTTTGCTACAGAGCACTAAGATGCACGCGATTCCATCAAATACATGAATAATTGATGTGGGTTTGATAACGCATTAAATATGAAAAAAGTCATCGAGCATCAGGTTGTGTATGGGAAGAGGGAGAGGCATACAGCATATGTAATTTGTTTATCAGAAGTGAAGGGCATTTAGGAGCTTTATTATTTCTTAAAGAAGTATATTGATTAAAGCTGCATGTGTGTCCTGTAATGTTGTGGATTTGTGCAAATTTCAAGTCAATGCATTGACCATCTCCTCTAAATACACTCTATAATTTTGTTCTCGATATTGTTATGAATCTAGTGTCGCTTCCTTTTTTTTAATTTTTTAATTTTTTTTTTTTATAGTATCTCTATTTCATTTTGACAAGAACTACAGTATGTACTGGAGTTGATTTATCTCATACACTAGATCAATGCAAATAAATGTTTACATGTCTCATAATAAAATGTACCGGTATATAGATTTAAGTTAAGATTATTCCTAATAAGTAATCCATCATTTACATCATTCACATATAGGTAAATGCACTTTTTTGCTTTCTCTGTCTTTGATATTTTCTCCCTTCTCTTTCTCGTTATTGGTACCACCTCATCATTTGAACTTATATTTACTTTTAATTGTATATTTTTAATTTTATTATTGGGGGTAGTCCTCGACAAATCATTTTTGAATTTTGACTGCCCCTTCTACATTTGCTGATTTTTTTCTTTTTAAAACATACTCTGTTCCATATGGAGTCGCTTTATATATGATGTACATGTTCTATTATTGTAATGTATGTATGTATTTTATTTTGTGTATTTTCCTGTGTTTGGCATTTGTGGAGAAATAAATTGAATTGAATTGAGGTATTTCATAAAATACATTAAACTTTAGTATCATTTGTCATCATTTTCTCTTCTCCCTCTATTACTGCAAAGTGCCTGTACCATTTGATTGGTGAACAAAAATTGAAATCATTTGATAATCTTGTTGAATATTGTGGTTTATAATTTAAAGACTACATCTCGCACTGATAAAAAGTCTGCACATTGCGCAGTTGAAGAGTGTCAAGTTTCCGGAGGAAGGTTATGGACGTTTCTTCCACCACGAATTACGATGCTTATAGACCTTATCCGATGAAAATACAACTTGATATAAATGGAAAACTGAATGAATGTTGAATACAAATACAAAGAAATAAGTATTTACCCTTGCATTTTTGCTCAAAAGCGTTTTCCGACAACTTCTAATTTTCAAAGCTTTAGATTTTGAGTTTTCAGAGAGCTGATACTCCTCTGACAAACACTAACATGGCATATAATTGATATTATTGTAATTTATGGTTTATAAGCTTTCCGTTGATATATGATTCATCCATTTCATTTTTCAGTTCGGATATGGTCTTTAAGATGACATTCAACACCAATCAAATTTCATTTTTTACACGACAAGCCTAAAAGGGCACAAACAGTGTATGTTGCAGTAATTCATTCAGAACATCATCAATCAATCATTCTACATCACATTCACACCTGTCTTTCCACAATATCTTATTCAGGAAATGTCATTAGTAAGAAAATGGGTAATAAAAGACTTCATATGAATTGTTATGTTCTGGTTAAGTCCCATAAGTAGAATATGCTACATTTCAATGATATTATAAAAAAAAAAACATAAAGAAGAAAATCAAATATTGACTAACAACTTTAATGTCTCATTGATTTTGGTTTATTTCTTCTTGAGGGTTTGTATGGAAGACTGAATTTTTTTAAAGTAAACAAAAAAATACTTCTGTACTATATCTCTCTTACCGCCTCCCTCTTCCTCTTCATCCACCTCCATCTCTCATCTCCCCCCCTCGCTCTTCCTACTCAGGCGCGTATGTAAGAGGGGGGGGGGGGGGGGTAAACCCCCCCCTTAGATTTTGTAATGTGTGTGTTTTGGAGGAAACCCCCCTCCCTTTTTTGGTTATAGTATAAAATTTTAAAAAATTAAAAAATTGTGGTATAGAAAAAAAACTGACCTTAATGTGCTCCTCCCTCTCGCTCTTCCTCTTCATCCCTCCTCCGTCTCTTCTTTCGCTCTCTCCCCTCTCTCTTCTTCTCATCTCTCTCTCTCTCTCTCTTTCCCCCTCATCTCTCCCCCCTCGCTCTTTCTCTCATCTTTCTCTCTTTTTCTCTCCATTTGCTTTCTGCTTTTGTTCTGTCCATCTTCTTCTCCTCTCCATACATTTCTTTATCATCATCATGACAATATAATTATGTGACAATAATTATCTTTAATAATAATTTTATTATTTACAAATATGCTAAATAAATCATACATGCATGTTGAACCACTAATACAACAGATACTACACTCATACATTTCTATACATTTCTAATAAATGCCAACTTTCTATAAACTGCATGGAAAAGAAATCAAGTGCCATCCTTTCTTTCTTTTTTAAAGGTAAAGACCAGTATTGGAAACGCCCCAATTTCAAAAAATGAAATGGAAGCTCTCATTACCAATCATGTGAAAGAATATGTTTTGACTAATACATGATGATAACAAATTTGCCGGGAAACCGCCTACTAATTCATATATTTGGTAAATTTGTTTCTCTCATGGTCTGTGAGAGATATAGGGTAGTCCCATATACATCTTTCTGTGTATAGTGCTTGTAACTTTACGAAGAATGGGCCAAATTTCTTATCATTTTGATGATTCCAGAACCTTGCAGATGCTAGATGCTAGATGATCAACCTTTTCTGATCGATTCCACAACTTTTCTTTCACAATGCAATCGCATGACCATAACTGGTCTTTACCTTTAAGTAGAGCTTACATTTCATTGATGACATTATACTGAAATACAGGTTACAGTACTTTAAACAAGATTAATTGGCCTCTAATGCCTCAGTCACACCTTTGCGTATTGCTGCGTATATATGGCAAGCCGTTTGAACATTTATTCCTATTTCTTGATATCAAAAAAAGATTTTCTGTTGTAAAGCAATGGGAATTCTTGATATCAAGAAATAGGAATAAATGTTAAAACGGCTTGCCATAAATACGCAGCAATATGCAAGCCAAATACGCAAAGGTTTGACAAGAAGGGGAGAGACAACTGAGAACTATAGAGTACTGGTTGGTACTTTAAATATATTGAAAGTAATCTTGTGGGGAAAATGTCTTGAAGTATGTCGCTATCTTTAGACAAGTAAGATCCAAATATATACACAAGAACTCCCACAGACAACATGCATGCAGAGACTGAGATTGCTGCTGAATAATATTTTTAACACAAATTTATTGTTGTCTGTTATTATTTTATTGTTATTCATGTCAATTTAGATGCAATTTTTAAGGTTTATTGATATTTCATTAATGAATGGGGAACGACAGTTGGCCTGTTTTAAACAGTTTTTGAGAAGCATAGCAAAAAAATGAAATTTCAAATCATATCTTTTGTATTTTATTTTGTATTACTTTCTAATATATTCTATTGGTTTTTTCTCATATAGTCTCTGTTCAAAATGCAAAATATATTTCAAGTACTTCAAGACATGCAAAATAAAGCAAAAGGTTTAATAGAAGACACAATCTGCAGTGTTAGAGTTTTACAGCATTTAAGGAAGAGCAATATTTTGTACACAAACAAATTCAAAAAGTTGATTATCATATAACTTTGTGGCAAATGCCATATTTTTGCAAACTTGGTCTCAAAATATCCAAGACACATATAAAGGCATAGTATTATACTGACACTACTTCAGATACATATGTTTAGTACAATCTGCTGACCACAATGTCTCAGAGACAGCCATGTGACTGTCCAACAACGCGTCAACAACTGAAGATGTGCGCATGATGATGCTAAGTACTGAAACTGGAAATTGCTCTATGCAGTTGAAAATACATTACAGCGGTGGTAGCGATGTCGGTAAAATACCCTGCCTTTAAATCCCCACTGTACTACTTGTAGCAAATTGCTCCCTCTATATAGAAAACTTCCCCAATCGGTGCCTGTTGGTCCCCCATGATCCTCTTTTACTTAAGTTAATTGAGACCTGAGTTGATGAGATAGCCACCGGTCAGTGACGTTGCTGGGTGGTCTACTCCCTTCTGGCCGAACTAGTACAGACGGCCTTTAAATAAAAATAGTTACCAAACAGCATGTTGGAATCTGCAGTGATTCTGCAGCTGTCATGAACATCATACGAGGGGTCTATTCAATATAAGTAAATCATTTCTTTTGATAACAGCTCAGCAACAAAGCAATGTCATGATTTATGAAAGTGCATCATATGTTTTGGGGACTTTATAGACCCTATTCAATGAAAATACAACTTTATATCAATGGTCAGCTGAATGAAGGTGGAATACTAATATAAAGGAATAAATATATTCTACCTGTCAGTATTTCACAAAAGCAAATTAAAGCCTAATTTTACACACAGCCCCTCCAACTTATGGGTCAACAGGGTCAACTTAAGGTGACAACATGACATGTTCACACGATTGGCTCGCCTATATACATGTAGCTGAGGCGATGAGCCGTGCTTTATGCAAAGTCATTGTGAATATGCATGCTCCACATAAGATGATGTCATCAAGTTGACAGCTAGTTTTTAGGTAAACAACTTACTAATTTCGAAAATATATTGATTTTGAGTTTTCAGAGAGCTGTTACTCCTCTGACAGACACCAAAATAGCAAAATGTAATTCATGGCTTATAAGCTTTCCATTGATATACAATTCATCTATTTCATTTTTGACTGTCAACAGGGACTTTAAAATACCATCACATCTCCATTTGGGCCATTGTGAGTTGGTCTTGAGGTTGATTCACTGGTCTGCGCATATGCAGGATTGATTGGATTCAGTCAATCTTTCAGATGGTAATGAACAGGACAGTCTCCAGGCATCGAATTGAAAGCCATGCAACAAAGTTTGTAGGCATAGACTGGGTCCTAGGCACTTGAACACAGAGACTTCAACCTAGTCACTTTTACCAGTCACTGAAGATTTTATATGAATCCACTGGGGTAGTTCAAACCCTGTGGTAATACTCCAGAGTGAGTGCCTGCAACTAGCAATGAAGCAATGCTTGATTTTAGAGTTCTTTAGGCATGAAACAGTTGTATGAAAAGTCTATCATCCCAACATAACTCGGTACTAACCTATGACCTGATAAGAAGCAACACTTCATTCTAAAGTTGCTGAAGCATGAGACAAGGATGCCAGTTTAAATTGATCAGAGGGCCTGAAAATCACCTAGAATGAGCTATTTTGTACACAAAAAAGCCTAAACTATGGTCTGAAAATAACTTGCCAGGGCCTGAATTCAGGCTATTGTCTGAAAACTGGCATCCCTGATGAAACAGCTGTAGAAGAGTCTATAACTGTTATCCCATCATAACTCTGTAACCAATGACCTGACTTGCATGACTGTATGTAGCCCTGTCTGAAGTTGAGCCAGTGAAGATGCAATGTCATCAAGAACTGATGCCTGCAAGCAGAATGGAAGATATGAAAGGTACATATATTTATTAAAGCCACATAGTAGTCAGTGTCCATGTGTATTCCATCACAATTTGCTGACATCAGATTAGGTTGAATTACCAATTAATGTGTGCTCAGGTCTCTCGGGCAGCGAACCCAAGACACAAGACCTGTCAGTCGTAAAAGTGAAGTCCACTCTTGGTAACTGACAACAACTGTTATTTGGTTAAACAACTGAATGTTGTCCGATTCCAATTCCAAAATATGGTTCAATTGTTTATTACATTCTTAATTTTATAATACTTGGTAGTGTATGGAACGCACACTCATCAAATACCTTGGACAATAACACCAATTAAAAAAAAATTATCACATAGAAATAAATTTCCTTTTGCGCATAAAAAGTATTTAAAACAATCATTACCCCATAGCTCCAAAAGCCACAATCAATACAAATTGTATTTATGGAATTAAAAAATACTGGTCCACTTAACTTGTGGGTCAAAAGAGACAATAAACCACATGATCTTTAACAAATCTGTTTAGAATTTGGATGGAAATATATGCATATACTACACATGTCTCGTTATTTATAACTGAGGCTCTATCAAGAAAAAAAGCATGGAAAGATAGGGAAGGAAGAGAGGAGGTAGAGGGAGGGAGAGAGAGAGAGAGAGAGAGAGAGAGAGAGAGAGAGAGATAGGATGATCAAACAAATGTATTGAGAAGCATGCATGAGAGTGTATGTAGCATCTGTCTGATACAACTGTATTCTCTGGTAAAACTGCATGGAGAGTGAAAGGAGGAGAGAGAGAGTGAGAAGATGATTGAACAAATCTAGTGAGAAACAAGCACAATAGTGATATGTATATAGCACCTGTCTCTTCTCAACTGTTCTCTCAAGAGAGAGAGAGAGAGAGAGAGAGAGAGAGGAGGAATGGAAAGAGAGAGAGAAGGGAGGGATGGAAAGAGAGAGAGAGAGGGAGGGAGGGATGGAAATTAGAGAGAGGGAGGGATGGAAAGAGAGAGAGAGAGAGAAGGAAGGATGGAAGGATAGAAAGAGTGTCGTTTGGAAGGGAGAGAGAGAGAGAGAGAGAGAGGGAAGATGGAAGGAGAGAGAGGGAGAGGGAGAGCAAGAGAGAGAAAGAGAGAGAGAGAGAGAGAGAGAGAGGAGGGAGGGGGAGGGACGGGGAGGGAGGGATAGAAGGAGAGAGAGAGGGTGAGAGACAGAGATAACGGGTGGGAGGGTTCACAGAGTATCAATAAAACTATCTCCCTTCATCAACTCACCACTCTCCCATCTCTGAGATCAAACTCGCTGCCCCACTGAATATTATCCAGGTTTGCACTGAGCTCGGCCAGGCAGCCCACGACCAGCGGAAAGAGATCTTTGACCTGGGGGTGAAAGGTCGCCTCTACCCGCAGGAAGTCTCCGACCAGGGGCTGTTGGAGCCGGTTGATGAGCTCCTTCTTTCCCTGCAGGATCCGCTGGAGATGGCTGCTCAAGGTGTTCAGACTCGAGATCTTTGACTCTGAAGAAAAAAAAGACCAAAACAAATATGACCCCACAAAATAAATTCTATTCATCAATTTGCATGAAAAAGTTGAAACACTGCACTGCTATATATGCAGTTTCAAGATTGTTGGTGATGTATTACTTTCTTTTTACTTTCCCCTTATTTTTTATATTGCATTGTCATCAGTCCTTCAAATTTGTAGTAAATATAGTGATTGTGATTGTGACTGCAGGAATAACTACATACATTTTTTAAGCCTTAGAGGAACTGGTGTTCCTTTACGAAAACAGTTGCACAGTATTCATCAATCACAAAATGATATATATGGTATACTATTATTGTATTTATTTAATAAGGCACAAATGCATTGCAATATTTGAATCAATTACAAAATTATTGTTAAAGGTATACAAGTAACAATAATTGTGACCAAAAAAAGGGGAAAAGAATGGTTAAGTAAAACCAAAGTAAAACATATCAGGAATTAATTCCTTGAAATGCTGGAGCGCCATAATGGCTGTCATGCTAAAGCCAGGGTAATAATCGGGCAGTGCCAAGAGCGTCATGATGGGGCAGACATGTGTGCTATATAAGAAGCCATTATTATTATCATCATTATTATATCTGGCCACTTGTTTTTATTTTACGCCGATTTTATATATCGTGAGGCTGTAACATCCAAGAGTGATGTGAAACTTACCAAGTATGTCAAGGTGAGTAAGATCCCTTGTCTCTTTATCCATCAGTCTACATTGGATTTCAACATTCACCTAGGGAATAAAATACAAAGAAAGTAAACAACCTGCAGAAATCATTGTGTGCATGTACTGCACATAGACTTATTCTGTTTCAATGAAACATTTTATCGTAATTATTGGCTGTGCTAGAATACACAATTTTTAAAATGTAAGTTTCAAGAGATTAAGGCATTTAAAAAAAGTCTCTTCGTCTCACCTTTATTTTGTGTGTGCGAAGAATAAGTGTGTTAAGTAGACTCAAGCTTTTTTTGGCCCCGTTACGGGGATGATATTGAGACTATTGCTTGGAAAAACAACATGCAACAGCGAAAAATATCAGTGCAATATCTTCGTTTTTGGACATGATTTTGACCATAAATTATAACTGGATATAGATCTATCAGAAGTTCTCCCTTTTGTCCACTAAAGGTTGGATTGTGATTTTTTGAGAGTTAAATTCATGACATGAGTAAGTATTTTAAATGTTTTAAAAATTTCCCCCATTTATTCCATATATACCCTACAATAAAAATTAAACCCGTCATGCATTTTGACAACTAGCTTTAACTCACGCCTACAATGAACGAGGATAACCATATAAAGGTAATTAACCACAAACGGTATTGACTGGTCACTTGTGTGACCAATCAAACTCACTGTTTGGAAATATAACTAAGATTAGACAGCACAAACCTGATCAAGGTGTCTTTTCTTTTCCGATATCTCCCTTAGCTGCTGAATGAGTCTCAGGGATGCAGACTGCCTTTGAAGTTGTTCAGCTATTTCTTTCACCTCTTCATCTCTCCTCTGCATTCAAAAAAAAGAAAGAAAAGAAGGTCATTAGATCTAGACTCTACTATTCTAGCTAGGTAGAGTCTAGAGTCTATAGCCTACTCGTATTTAATGACAATGATTTTCATTTCTTTAATGACTCCTCCTGGGGCATGGAAGAACTACAATAGAAAAGTACAAGTATAATGTTCAACAATGATATTTAAAAAAATTAAAAATCTTAATTTTTAAAAACAAGAAAATCTTTGGCAGTGAACAACAAACAAATGAAAGCAGATACCGCATTAAAGGTAAAGACCAGTTATGGTCATGCGATTGCATTGTGAAAGAAACGTTGTGGAATCGATCAGAAAAGGTTGATCATCTAGCATCTAGCATCTGCAAGGTTCTGGAATCATCAAAATGATAAGAAATTTGGCCCATTCTTCGTAAAGTTACAAGCACTATACACAGAAAGATGTATATGGGACTAGACCCTACCCTATATCTCTCACAGACCATGAGAGAAACAAATTTACCAGATATATGAATTAGTAGGCGGTTTCCCGGCAAATTGTTTATCATCATGTATTAGTCAAAACATATTCTTTCACATGATTGGTAATGAGAGCTTCCATTTCATTTTTTGAAATTGGGGCGTTTCCAATAGTCTAGAGTCTAGATCTAGACTGGTCTTTACCTTTAATAGATAGTCTATCAACATTTTTTTTATTAAGTTAAAACAAGTTCGACATTGTTGACCTTTAATGTGACATTCACAAAACTTTCGCCAAAGGTCTAAACAAACTAACAAAGTAAAAATTCTGACAACTGCAAAAATGCCGAGTGTTGAAAAATAGAAAATGGTTAGCATACGAAAGAGTAAGCATGTGGGACTGAATGTGACCAATACAGAACACATAGTCTACATACCATTCGGAGATGTCCCGTTTTCTCTGCAAAACGAATAATACTAGAAGCGGCTGATGTCGAATGTACATCTGAAGCCCAAGAGTTAATACTTCTGTTCGATTTGCTGTTTGATAAGTCATCCATTTTTAAAAGAAACTTGATAGAAGTTTACAGGGTTCTGCTTCGATTTCCAATATTCCGCTTTACAACTTGCGCATGCGCGCAAACACTATTACTAAGTTTACAAACAAGTAAAATCTGGGGCCCGTTCCTAATTAAGTCTAATTTCTTGACTATATCCCATTCAAACGCGTGTTAATTCTATAATTCTATTTGAGCGCGTTGATATCTCATTAAAGGGAATTTTAAAAGGCAGTTCTGAATATATACGGGGCTAGGTCAAAAGTGAAATGTTGGAAAAATAGATGAGGGAATATATGAAGAATTGTAATGTGGTCACGTGCACCATTAATGCATGAATCAGATGAAAGGGATGTTTTCTTCTTGGAAGATGAATATGGCTGGGATTATGTCCCCCCCCCCCCCCCCCATTTTTGTATTGTTTTTAATTGGCATTGTTTTGTATATAATGGTTTGTAAACTTTGTACTGATGTGCATGGAGAGAGTTTGTTTCCGCTGCTTTTTATAGAGGATTGAGTACTCGTATATATACAGTAAACTGTTAATGCAAACACAATGACTGCTCACAATCAGTCCACTATAATTAAAAAACAACCAAAAAAATTCCACACAAAGAGTGAAAACAATTTCGTTCTGTTGTAATGGAGAAGCAATCGCAAATGTGTGTGTAAATTTCGAGATTATTGAAGAATTACTAGAAGGGCCACTATAAGCTCCACACTGAGTGGGATAACGCCCAGAATGATGGGGAGCTAGGATGTATCCAAAACCAATGAAATGAGCTTTGTGGTTTTTTACCCGTCTTGGTTTTGTTGTATAGGAATGTTTTTTTTAATTTTTTTTTAGTTGAATTAAATTAGCTTAGTTTAGTTGCGTTGAGTTGGGTTGAGTTGGGCTGAGTTGAGTTGACTTGAGTTGAGTCGAGTTGAATTGAGTTTTGTTTTTCATACAATACGTATATTCACGGTAAACTCAATTTAATAGACAACTATCAGACACATGTTTTTGTGACATCGAAAGCCGTCTTCCCTTAACTTCTACCGGGGCTACGTACGTTACTACTAGAAGCATTATAATATCGGAAAGATGATTTTTTTTTTTCTTTCACAGTACCTTCGCTACTATATTTCCTTTCCCCCCTCCCTATTCTTCCTAAGTTTGAATTAATAACATTTCTCTTTTGATATGTTACCTATATACAATATATAGACTTGATTCATGTGTTTTTGTTAATCGTATGTATTAAATATGGAAATTCAGTTGTAACTTTGTTTATGCAAAATTTTACCTGTAAATTTTGTTCAGCTATTTTTTATTTAACAAAAAAATGAAATATGAATATTTTATGAAACAAAAGAATGTAAACTTATAATGGAAACAAACCAACTGACTTCATGACAGAGAGAGATAGAGAGTGAAAGAATGAGAAAATGTGCTGAAAATTTAACTACATTCCTAGTGGTGTCACTATAATTATTGACTTTGTGTGTGCATAATAGTCCGATATTTCGCAAAACAATCGGTAATTTTCGGGTAAGTTCGTGAACAATTTTTGTCTCTAAAGAAAGGGTTGTATAGAGCCATGTGTTTCATAATGGAACCGGCGACTCGTATAACATTGGACAACTTTTTGTGACTTTGAACTTGCTAGGCCTAAACGAGGGTTATTTAAAGACCGTCACTACTACTGGGCCAGAAGGGATTAGACCACACAGCGAGGTCACTGACAGGTGGCTATCTCATTAACTTAGCTCTCAACTAACAAAAGACAAAGAGGATCATGGGGGACTATAACAGGCACCGATTGGGGAAGTTTTCTGTATAGAGAGAGCCAGTAGCTACAAGTAGGACAGTGGGGCTTTAAGCAACACCTTTAGTACCCTTTTTTAAGCCAAAAATTAGGGGTCTTATTTTTTTGAAAATATTCTGAAATTGGGGATACTATTCAACTCCGCTAACGATCATGCGTTACCATTAGTATGAAGTGACACCACAGAAGTTAGAACTGAACATTCCTTTTTTCAATATTCTGTGAGTGACATCATCGGGAATACATTTTAATTCTTTGAGTCACAGTGCCATTTATGTCTGTAGATGTATTTTCTTTAATTCGGGTGATAAATGGGCTCATTATTATCGGCGGTTTAAAGAAGAAAAATCATCTAAGTAGTTTTAGATTGTTTTGTTTTCAATCTTTTAACGCATGAAGTGTCGTTAGAGGTTATTTTGACTTTTTACCGTACGCGCTCATTGGCTCCAGACTTCCTGCATTCTGATTGACCGAAAGTTTACTTCCGTACGTGACGACACAATGGTTGGCATGTGCGCACTGGATTTTCTCTCTATGAATTAAACAAATCGGGAATCTAATACATGATTGTATGCGTCATCAGAATAATCCCAAGCATGTGTTTCTTTATAAAGGTTGGGAAATCGATTAATTTCATCATTTTTTTTTTTTTACAATTGCAGTCGCTGAGCTTCCCGCCATGGACTATTGTTCTGTAAGCAGGTAAGTTACTTGCCTTGATGGAATTTAATGAGATTACATTCTAAACAATTTCTGATAAAAATGCTGGTAAAGGTGTGTGTGTCTGCATGTGTGGGGGGGGGGGGGGGGGGGGAGGGGGAGTGGCCACTTTTTTGTTAATTAAGACAATCTCGTGGACAAAATGGTAATTTGATGTAAGAATACCTTAGCATCAATGCTGCGCAAATGTTAATTTTATTCCGACGGGTTATTATCTAAGAGCAGTACGGGACTTGATGAGTGGATATTGATTCTAATTAAGTGGTTCGTTTATAAATAGTAGTCGTACCTATAAAAAATAGAAGACAAAACAAAAGACATTGTGATATTCAAAACTAAGTCTGAAAAATGAACCAAATACTAAGTATGTACGTGTATTCCTTGGGTGATCCAGAAACATTCCCACGAAGAGACTGTCAAATATATTTATAATCTGGGCCCGTTGCATAAAACTTGCCATTGATGGTAACTTTGCCATCAATGGTAACTACCATGGAAACCTTGATTTTGATTGGCTGCTGAACCCTGTTACCATGGTAGTTGCCATTGATTGCAAAGTTACCATCAATGGTAAGTATTATGCAACAGGGCCCAGGGCACTCTTTAGATGGAGGGGCTGACCCCATTAAAGTGGCGACAATTCTTTTAATGAAAGTGTGCAAAAGATTTTCCGCTTGAACACATTCCCCACCCCAAGATTTCAGAGTTTCATGAGCTCATTTATTGTTATACATATATGTACTACTAATTACAGTCTATACCAGGCGCGTACGCAGGGGGGTGGTTTTGGGTTAAACCCCCCCCCCCCTCGAGTTTTTTTTATGTGTATGTTTTATATATGTTTCTTTTTTGGAAAACCCCCCCTTTTTGATTTTAACCCCCCCCCCCTTGAAAAAAAATCCTGCGTACGCCACTGGTCTATACAGTACTTCAGGTATTAATCTTACCTTTCGTTATTAAAACAAATATATTATTATCATTTCAAAAGATTATTATTGTTAAAGTAAAAACACGACATAGGACTCAATAATAAAACAAGCAAAAAGAAACACAAAATGAAACGTTCAGTTGAATAAATATTTATTCTATTCAATTGCAGGTTATTATAGTCGAATCAACAGTAGGAATTGCAATCCATTTAGTAAATGGTCTGATTTCAGACCCTTGTACCGAATGGTCGTATATTTTTTGCTGCACAAAGATTCAATCAGTTTAATTTTGGCCATTACAAGAAGTGGTTTATTAATGTAGAAAAATGCTTGTGTACCCTGTACAGCTCATTTTATGTATGTTATTAACAAAGAAAAAAAGAAGTCAGTCAGTCACTCAATAGTGTCTGACAGTGAAGTTTAGAAAGTAAACAGGTTTTCTTGCATAATTTGAATATGAGGACACTACTAACGTTTCAATTTCATGGATACGTGACATATTCATAATTCCTGCAAAGTTCTACAGCATTAGACTTTGGCTGCAAAACGGATGCAGTACCTTTAACACAGAATATACTTTTACAAACATTTCAACAATGTCATACTATCATTTTGGGCAGTGTACACATATATACGTATTTGCAAAGTGTTTCACATTTTATCGTATTGTTAGTTTTATACAAGTTTTGGGCAGTGTTTTACAAACATTGTGGGTAAAGTCTTAATACAAAAAAGGGACAGTATTACAACTTCAGAGCATTACTGATCACATCTAGTAGCTGCAGGAAGAAATAAAAAAAAAATAGATGATCTATACCGGTAGATATTTCTCTAACATCAGCATTATAACATTTTCAAGAATACATTGCAAAATACATTTTAAATACCACTTCATGGATTATCAGTGAACATGTGGACAAAAAGAAAGATAATATAAAAAGATGATTTAAAGTCAATTGCATAGCTATGGTATGGGGAGGGGGCCAAAATAAAGGAAAAAGAAAGAAAGGAGAAATTGACCGGGATATGGGGATATATGAATAAACAGGAAATAGCTGAACTATGCTATGCCACTAAGTTGACTTTTGACTAAACTGTGAAGTCAATTCCTATTTGATCATACACATCTAAATGACCAACATCACTTTTACAGTAAGTTATGTTCACCAAATGTATAATAATAATAATAATAATAATAACAATATTTATAAAGCGCAACATATCCATCTCTAGAGATGCTCAAGGCGCATACAAAGAATACATTTTAAAGAAAAATCAAACACACTTACAGTAGCAGAGAATTATTTAAATAAAGCGACAAAATAGTGGAACCATTTCCCTCGTTTAAAAAACAATTTGGTTTACTTTCAATATCACCAATAGAATTAAGTTGAACACGTACATGTAATTCATAGCATTACATTTTCTTCTAGAATATCAAGCTACTAAAAAATCCATGTTAAAAAATCTTCATTCATCACAATCAAAACGATTAGTCCATATACAACATAATTCATGAGGATGATGGGCAGGTATTTGTCAAAAATATAGTTACAATTCATATAAAAGTATGCAAAATTTACATTGCTTTCATGATAGAATATATACCGTCAACAGCATTTTCACAAGGTAGTAAGATTTGCACAATTCCACATTTTACTTCATTAGGGAAGCAAGCGGGGGAAAAAAGAAAAAAAATGGTAGTATTTGGTTTTAGTGCTCCTATATAATCACCCTACAATCCAAGGGCACAGACACAACACTTTAATAGCCATGCTATGCAAAAGTATAGCAAAAAATGGCTTTGTAACTTTCTTCCTACCTGTGTGGAATTGCCCATACACTGACATATATCCATTGTATTTGTTCATTCTGTCTCATACATTAGAACGTATATTTGAATCATATTAAACATTTAGCATGGTGCATGCTCTAGAATCTCTATCATTTTGAGTACAATCATCAGATAAATTACAATCTTTGCTTTGATTAGCAATTCGGTCTTGCCACCTTGTTTATGTAGGGTAACCTATTTCAAGCTATTATCAGAAATATCCTGAACAAAACTAATTAAATCTTAAAATATATTTTCTTCAAAATACATGAGTCATCAAATGACCCAAATTTGATATATAAAATTATGACATATATTACGGTTCGTTTATTTCCATCTTCGTATAAAAACAATAGGTCAATACAATATTAAACCTTTTTTGTAAAAATACATGCAATCATACATGCAATCATACAATTTCTTGCAAATACAATACATGTGAAAAGTTACATAAAAATTTATTTCTAACAGTATCAAAGAGATGAGTCAAGTCGAAAAAATAAAAAAAGGGAAATTAAAATAAGTTCCCTTAAGGTATAGATATCATCTGTTTTTTTTCAACTTATTCTGTTACTGAAATACATGTACATGTATAAAAAACATATATATAACTAGATGGAACTTATGCCTCCGCCATAGAGCAATTTTACAAACCAAAACAGGAGCAATCAATAAAATTCAAGTTTGATTGTAATCCATTAACAAGTTCTCAGAATATCGTGGTTACAAGCTATTTTTCATATACATGTATGACCCTTTGATCTTTGACCTCATGACCCTCATATCTAATCAGTTCATTGGCTCTGCCAGACACATACATGTCCTGGGTTTGATTGTAATCCATTTGTCAGTTCTAATGATAATGGGTTCACAAGCTATTTTTCCATACATAATGAGCCCCATGACCCCTGTCCTTTGACCCCAAAATCATATCAGTTCATTGGCTCTGCAAGATAAACATATATTTCTTGAGTTTGATGGTAATCTGTCTATTGGTTTTAATGATAATACGATCACAAGCTATTTTTGCATACATAATGAGCCCCATGACCGTTGACCTCATGACCCCCAAATCTAATCAGTTAATTGGCTCAACAAGAAACATGTAGGCTACTTACACTTCTTGAGTTTGATGGTAATCCATCAATCGGTTCTAATGATCATAATGTGATCACAAATTATTTTTGCATACATAACGAGCCATGTGACCGTTGACCTTGTGACCCCAACATCTTATCAGTTCATGGGCTCTGCAAGACACATACATGACTTGAGTTTGGCGGGAATCCATTAATCCGTTCTTGAGATAATCACGATCACGAGAACGGGACGTACAGATGCACGGTAGGACAACCCAAAACATAATGCCTCCGGCTACTTCGTTGCAGAGGCATAAAAAGATAGAATACAACTTCCCTTGACTTCTTTATCCTTACTTATAAGACAAAATTAAACAAAATAACAAAATTGAAAAACTTGATAAAAAGTTTGAATTCATGCCCTTGTGTTGGGCACACAGCAATTCACCCGGAGTTACTCAGAGATCCTCCCACTGTCCCATACAAAATGATGCGCCTTTCGAGACCTTTTGACTCAATACCATATCAGGGTTTGGAATCACTTTGACCTCTGACCTGACCTCTCGCGGGTTAATGCACCTCGAAGCATCTTCTCCAGGTTGCCGACAGGGAACTCTAAGGTTAGGGTTACCAGTAAGGCCAGGACATGAGCCAGGAATAGGAATGATGCAAACATGTAGACCTGTGTGTGCATGAGTAGGATGTAAAAGAGGGGGCATACTTATCATTTATGTGCCATAATTATCAATACCAGTAGGCATGCTAACTCTTCATGTACCATAATATTTGTAAACGGTCAATAGAGACAGTATTTTGTATAATTAAAGCACCATATCAATCTAGATTGTTATCATTATCATTATAATTTCACATTTGATACTAGTGTTGGTCTTTATTTTCCTGCTAAAACAAGATCTTACATCAAACATGACATTAAAAAAAATGTGTTTCTAAGAGTGTACAGTTTCATCAAATTCATTTCCCTCCATTACGATTTCTAAGATGAAACTAATGAAAATACATAGCCTAACAGTAGTATAAGATCTTTAGATTAGTCGTATTGTTGATTATATCCATTGTTTGTACCGATCATTTGTGGAAACCTGCAAAAGCTTAATCTATCATCTCAGAAAATCAACTTAGTCTGTGCTTCAAATAAGTAATCTTTTTATGTTTTTATTGAAGACAAAAAATACATAAAGACAACAAAATAACATAGGGCATATTGCAACAAACACTATAAGGTGTTGAACCTAAAATATAAACTTATTAAAATAACTGCCGAGCTTGTCAGTTTTAAGGCAACATCATACTCAGTCAATTTTCCCCTTTTCATTACAAAAAAAATATTCACAGAAGTTGAAATGGACAAGGCAATATTTGGCAAAGTCAAAAAGGAATTGCAAGTCAAAATTTGGAAAAATATGTCTCCATTTCATACTCTGAATTGAAGTTAGATAGCACTGTCAATGTATACTTTCTCAAATCACTCATACTGCCCACTAAGTCTCTACACTCTCAAAATCAAACAAGATTGCAATTTAATAGCAGATGATCAGTTAAAGGTACTATGTCCCATTTGCAGGCCAAAAAAATGAAAAAGTTAAATTCCAACTGCATTTGAAAGATAATACTAATTTAGAACTTTCCTAAACTAGATGGAATTTTGACTGCGCGCAGTCAAAAATGATGCCTCCGCCATAGAGCAACTTTACAAACCAAAACGGAAGCAATTTTTAAAATTCAAGTTTGATTGTAATCCATCTGTCGGTTTTAATAATAATGCATTCACAAGCTATTTATAGTCATACATAATGAGCCCCATGACCTTTGACCTGATGACCCTAAAATCTAATCAGTTAATTGGCTCTGCAAGATACATATATACATGTCTTGAGTTTGATAGTAATCTGTCTATTGGTTCTCATTATAATGCGATCACAAGCTATTTGTGCATACATAATGAGCCCTGTGACCTTTGACCTCGTGACCCCAAATATAATCAGTTCATTGGCTCTGTTAGATACATACATGACCCAAGTTTGGCAGGAATCCATTGACCGGTTCTTGAGATAACACGATCACGAGCTATTTTTGTAGACATAATGAGCCCTGTGACCTTCGACCTCGTGACCCCAAAATCTAATCAGTCCATTGGCTCTGTTAGATACATACATGACCCAAGTTTGGCACGAATCCATCGATCGGTTCTTGAGATAACGCGATCACAAGCTATTTTTGTATACATAATGAGCCCTGTGACCTTTGACCTTCGACCTCGTGACCCCAAAATCTAATCAGTTCATTGGCTCTGTTAGATACATATATGACCCAAGTTTGGCAGGAATCCATTGATCGGTTCTTGAGATATTGCGATCACAAGCTATTTTTGAATACATAATGAGCCCTGTGACCTTTGACCTTCGACCTCGTGACCCCAAAATCTAATCAGTTCATTGGCTCTGCAAGATACATACATGATCCAAGTTTAGAGAGAATCCATCAATTGGTTCTTGAGATAACGCGATCACGAGAACGGGACGTACGGACACTCGGTACGACGTACGTACGGACGGACGTACGGACGGACGGACAACCAGAAAACATAATGCCTCCGGCTACTTTGTAGCGGAGGCATAAAAAGGTGGGGCTTGAAAATGTCTTCAAGTGGGAAAATAACGTCTATTAGTTGTCAAATCGACTTTAGGGCTATAGAGCCCAAAAGTAATAGTCTTGATTTTCAGACAATTGTACCGAATGGTCATACGTTTTATGCTGCGCAAAGATTCAATCAGTTTAATCTTGGCCATCACAGGAAGTGGGTTATTGATTTAGACAAATGCTCATGTACCCTTTACAATTCTTTTCATGTATGCTATTACCAAAGAAGAAAAAAAGCCAGTCAGTCACTCAATAGTGTCTGACAGTGAAGTCTAGCAAGTAAACAGGTTTCCTTGCATAATTTGAATATGAGGACACTGCTTACGTTTAAATTTCACTGATAGGACATACATGACATATTCATAATTCCTGCAAAGTTCTACAGCATTTGAGGTTGGCTGCAAAAGGGACATATACCTTTAAGGTTAATAACCCATTAACTTCTGAATTCTTTCACCCCCCCCCCCCCCCATAGACTTAATACAGCAACTATCAAGTTCCTGTAGACAATGAATTAACATATTATTATTTTAAAAAAAAATTGTATTCAGCACTTACTTGGTTAATCATAGACCAATGAAAAGGCACAGCCTGAGCAAAGCTATAGACGTAAATGACAACAGGATGAAAGAGGTATGTTGAGTATGTGAGCCGACTTAAAGGGACCCAGAAAGACCAGCTCAAGAAGTCATTGATGAAGCCTGCATAATAAACAAAAATAATATCATAATAGCTACTCTTATACAAGAAAGAATTATTAATATTTTTGCAAATTTTGCAAACCACTCATTGTTCTCATACTTTACAGCATGCCAAGCTTTTAATGTCGCATGTCTTTGAAATGCTAGAGTGCCGTAATGGCAGCACAGCTAAAGCCGGGGTAATAATCTCCAAGTTTGGAAGCACTTAGTGATTGTAATAAGCGCTATATAAAATCTGAGTACTATCATTATTATTATTATTATGTTAAAATCACTAAATTGACCGGGTCATACAGAACAGTCTGAGCCCATGCTGATAGACACTCTGATTGATTATTTTCATCTATTTCTGTCTATTAATTTAACTACAATTCAATTCAATTCATCATTTATTTCAATCATAAAACCATAAAGTAATATATACAAAAGTAACATGAAACAATCATAATCTTACAATTCTGGAAATCTTGAAGAAATTGGAGATTAAAAGGGAAGTTTGAAAAACTTTTTAGCAATAGTCCCCTGACATAAATAATAAATGACAAGACGACATGATTGGACATGTTACCAAAACAATAAATATATATATATTTAATAAGATACTACACATTATAAACAATGAACATACACACACACACACACACACACACGCGCGGTACATTGAAAGGTAAAAAAGGTTAACGAAAAAATAAAGGGAAGAACCTTAAATGATGACAGAGTAGTGCATAATGTTATAATGTTAGTTTATCAGTTAAATCAGTCCAAATACTGGGACCATTATGTCAAAAAGAGTAAAGCATTAACTAGGTAGAGATCTTTGGATAATGATAATGAAAACAAGTATTATATGAATGAACAGTTTATTAAGGATAAACATTTGACAAACTCTTTTAAGTACATAATTATTAAGACATTATACATCATAATAGCACTTGAATTTTATTTATATCATAAATATTGAGTGCTTTTAAAAGAAAAAACAGGGGACGTGAGTGAATGAGCTTGATAATAGGAGTTCGTACAAATTCTTAAAGCTTTCTTTTGAAGTTTATAGAGAGGTTCTAGTTTAGTTGTCTCCACACCATAGTACAGTAATGTAAATAAGGCAAAATCAAACAATTGTACAACATAAACAATACTTTTTCAGACAGAAATACACATAATTTACAAAGAACACTAATGTTTTTAGATATTTTGTTAGTTATATACAATCGATGATCCTGAAAAGATAAAGTGTCATCCAAAAGGATACCAAGAAATTTAACAGAAGAGCAATATTACAAGGATTAGTTTTTTATATTGAGAAACAGTCAGAAGATTATTTTTATTAATATGATCAAAAAGTCTATTGTAAATTAACTTCTCCAGTATCTCAGAGAAACAGGGTAGTACTGTTATAGGTCGATAATTAGAGAATGTGCGGGGATCACCTTTTTCAAATATGGGTATGATTTTCCTTACCTTAAAATTCTTGGGGACTTTTCCGGACAAAAAGGAGAGATTACATATACAAATAATTGGTTTAACAATACAATACAACACAATACAATAAAGTCATTTCTATAGCGCTCTTACAAACCAACTGTTGTTTCACAGCGCTTTACATAAAAGTTATCGAAGAATCTATTGTTCATCATGGTCAAAGAGGAGAGTTTTAGACATTTTCAGAAGACACCCAGCGAAGGTGCTAATCGAATAAAACGTGGAAGCTCATGCCAGAGTCGAGGAGCGCATGCATGGAAAGCATTGTCGCCAGCTTTGGTATACAATGAAATGTATGTCTTTTTTTATTATGTACTGACTGATTGCTTGAATTGAGCAATTTGACAATGTTTAAAACTTCTGTTTCATTGGTAGGGTGAACAAATCTCGTAAAAATGAACTAAAATTGCATTTAGATTTCTGAATATGTTTAGATTTTAGTTTTGTAGCAATACTAGAAAAATAATCAATTGACAATCGGTTAACTTGTTCTTACCTTTAAGAAAATAATTACTGGTAGGATATTAGCATTTTCTTCTCTTTCCTTATAAATCATTTAGTTTTAGACATATTATTTCTATTCTTCAAAATAATAATAAATCAATTTTTTTTTCTTTCTTACAGGCTGTAAAATTGAGTTTAAAGGGACTTGGTACCATTGTTCAGATGAGAGGTACAAAGTAGTGGTGCCAAGGAAGTGACTTCAATGCTAGATGTACAATTAAAGATAATCTGAAAATTTGAGTGAAAACGGACCATTATTCATGGTTAAAATTGGGAAAAATTGATCTGATCAATTCCTTAATTCTCCCAACAATAATATTACAATTTTATTACATTTTAGGTGAATGTAAATCGTCACAAAGCAATAAAATGACTCTACATTCCATTCCAGACATTTAAGTGTTGACAGATTTTTCATAGCCTGTTTTATGTCTTTTTTTCATGGACAAACGGTTGGGAAAATTCAAAAATGGTTGGGAGAATTTACTGTTAATCACTTTTAGAGGGTGTGTCATACTTAAACGCCTTTAAAGGAAACCATAGATATCTTTGTGGTTAGAGAATTTTTTTCTGGATTTTTTGCATGTCAGAGGGTTAGTACAGTAGAAGGAATATAGTACAAAAATTCAGCAATTTTTTCATCAACTTTCAACAATGTTACCAAGTCACTTTAATTTATTTCTACATTTTTTATATCTACATTCACTGCTGTTGTTTCTTTTCTGACAAAATGTTTTATATAACCTATAAGGGGTTATCCAAGGTTTTGTGGCAGTTTCCTTTTCTTCACTTTACGAACAACAAAGTTATGATCATACACGGTTTTAAATGTGATTAGAAATGAATTATAGGCTTCATCTGCATCACAAGAAAACTAGATTGACCTTGGACTGCGCGCATTCGAAAATGATGCCTCTGCCATGAAGCAATTTTACAAACCAAAACAGAAGTAATTTGTAAAATTCAAGTTTGATTGTAATCCATTAAAAAAATCTCAGAATATTGTGATTACAAGCAATTTTTCATATACATGTTTGACCCTTTGATCTTTGACCTCATGACCCTAAAATATAATCAATTCATTAGCTCTGCAACATACATGTACATACAAGTCTTGAGTTTGATAGTAACCCATCCGTCGGTTCTATTGATAATACGTTCACAAGCTATTTTTGCATAAATAATGAGCCCCATGACCTTTGACCTCATGACCCAATATTGAATCAGTTCATTGGCTCTGCAAGATACATACATGACCCAAGTTTGGCGGTAATCCATCAATCGTGTCTTGAGATAATGCAATCAGGAGCTATTTTTGCATACATAATGAGCCCCGAGACCTTTGACATTTAACCTTGTGTCTCCAAAATCCATCAATGGGTTCTTGAGATAACGCGATCACAAGCTATTTTTGCATACATAATGAGCCATTGACCTTTGACCTTGGATCCCATGACCCCAAAATCTAATCAGTGCATTGGCTCTGCAAGATACATACATGACCCAACAAGTTTGGCAGAAATCCATCAATCGGTTTATCGATGGACATATCATTGAGCAGGTCAGTAATTATATGTACATGTACATCTACTTGGGATAAAATATCACAGATGATGACAGATGCGAAGCAGAGATAAAATATCACAGATGATGCCAGATGCGAAGCAGAAATAAAAAGAACAATAGAAATTGCTCGGAATACATTTCTGGCAATGAAAAACTTATTTACAGATAGAAAGGTGAAATTTGCACTTAGGTTGAGACTATTGTATGGAGCAGAAACATGGACAATAAGCAAGGCCATGGAAAATAGAATAACATCTTTTGAAATGTAGGTTAACAGAAGAATGATGAAAATATCCTGGAAACAAAAGAAAACCAACAAAGAGATGTCTCATGGCAGGGCGTAAACAAATTGCACTGGTAGGATTTGTCAAGGAGATAAAACTCAAATACTTTGGTCATGTTAAAAGACACCAAAACCTCTTAAAGGATGTATTAAAGGGAAGGGTGGAAAGTACTAGACCGAGAGGGAGACCCAGAATCAACTGGGAAGAGAATGTCAAGAACTGGAGTGGACTAAAATTGCAAGAGTGCACCAGAATGGCATAAGATGAAATGGAGAGATGTTGCAATGAACCTCCAAACCGGGAGAAAATACTTAGATAGATAGAGATAGACTTTGTAGTGGAGGCATGAAAATACTTCATTCCATTCTAAACTCTCAGTGAACAGCACAACATCTTGCTGAGTAGACTATTAATAGGGCGCACAGGGGAACCAAGTCTGACTTGGGTTCTGTGCGTGCCCTATATGTAGGGTTCTATGTTATCCTTTATTTTCTTTGTAACCCTTATTAACAGTTAAACCGTTTACCAAAAGAATGCAAGGTAAAGTTTTTTGAGGTTGGTTTTGCCAACTATACACAAATTATTTTTTCAGGCGATTGGTATGCTTTAAAGCTGAAATAAGGATTTATGGCAGGTCTCAACTGGGAAAGCCACAAAGGCTTATATTCTATTGATAAGCTAAACCTGACTCTTGGTTTAAGCAAAGTCCAAGATGTGTTTGACATAGAGGCAGCTTCCTTTTTTTTATTAGACTTAACTTCAGATCAAAGAGTTCACTCACCCCCGTAACCATAGTGACATGCAAACACCACCCAGCAGAGTGCAATAGCCCATGTAAAGGTAGAGAAGCTGTTATAAGCAATGCTGGTAGCCATGGTTGGTGTAGATGCCCCTCTGTTAATATCGTATAGACCATAGACTACCGCCATCCCGAGACCCCCTGCGATGGCCCATCCTGCAGCTGCAAATACCTGGTACGGAGAATGAAATAAATGAAAGACGATGCTAATAATATTTATTTATTTTTATTTTTTTCATATTTTTTCCCTCCACAGGGATTTTATCGATTTTCATTTGAAACACATACAAAAATATATATTTAAGGTAATTTACATTATAACATAAATAAAATTGGCTTTTCAAGATACAAGTATTGTTGAACTGTTGAGTTAACATAAAACTAACAAATCAATAATTCATTTCTGACACTCATGGAAAGAAAAACAAATACAGAAAAAAATATCATTTTAAGTAAACAAATTCCTGAATTGAAACCATTTTCTTGTGAATTTATCATTTCTTCAATTCGAATTTGCATTATACTTCTCGTTTTTGAAGTAATTTATAATCGAAACTCTTATATTATCAAAGTCGGGCAATTGTTTCTTTATTTTGCAAGTATACACCATCTGTCACACCACAATCAGTATTCAATTCAATGCATAATTATTTAAACCTTTTAAACCAAATAATTTATCTTGTAATGAAAATGTTAATTTATTTCCGGTTCCAGTATTAATCCAGTGTTCTAACCTACCTCAAATATTTTTAACATGCGTACAATTACATAGCAGATGTATAACTGTTTCAATCTGTTCATTACAAAAAGTGCATTCTTTTCTTGGGACTAAATTCATTTTAAACAGTAGATCGTTTGTATATAAGACTTTAAACTGAAACCATCGTAAGCCCACATCAATGGTACAATTAAATCCAATAGAACAATATGTTTCCCAACTCTTATCATTCAGGTCGAAAATGCATTTCCATTTAAGAAAACTTTTACATACCGGTAGTCCTTTTCTTCTCTTTTATAAAATTGCATAGATATGTAAACATCCTTTAATACGTTTCATAACAAATGCTATTGTATCTGGGAAAAGAGGTTGTGGCACCTTGTTAAAAATAGTACAATTGTTAAACCCTTGTCTAATTGCATCGCATAATCCACGATAAAAAAGAAAATTTATTTGAATATTAAACTTTTCTTGAAAGTGTTCCAGAGAGAAAAAAAAATCACCATTTGTGTCTAAAATATCATTGACAAAACAAACTCCCTTTTGACACAATTTTTTATTATATATTGAGCTATTGCCTATTTTAATGTAATCATTATTCCATAAGGGTTGGCAAGAAATGTTATCATAATGCATGGACAAGAGCGTACTATAAGCCATGAACATTTCTTTCCAAAAAAGGTTAGTTTTACCTGCCAGTTCCCGAAAATAATTGTTTCCCATATATAATTTTAAATCTTGCCGTTCAGGCAAGAAAGATTGCAAAAGACAGAGGATATTGCTTTCTATTGAGCCAATTACTAATCTCTTAATCCAGGAAATTTTTAATGATTGGCAATGTGTGTATATATCTATCATTTTAACCCCTCCGTCTGAGTAACTTTGTGACATTTGATTTCTACTTATTTTATCAGGTTTCTCCCCCCATATAAATCTATAAAAGTGAGCATTTATATCTTTCAAAAGATTTTCACCAGGATTAGGGAGGGACAAAAAAAGGTAGTTTAATTTGGATACCAACAATGAATTGACGGCAGTGATTCTTCCAAGAACAGTTAAGTATCGCCTTTACTACGATGTCATTTGACTTTTGATTTCTTTAAATTTTTCATTATAATTGTGAATTATCAATTTGGGCAAATCCGTACAAAAGTCTATACCTAAATATCTGAAATAATCATCAAATACCCAATTTAGATTTCTATTCAAAACACCATCTTTCTTGTTTTTAAATCCTCCAATCCAAATCGCATGTGTCTTCTGTATATTAACTTTTAAACCAGACATTGCATTATATTTATCTAAAATGTTTAATGCACTGTTTAATTCCATTACTGACCCGTTCAATGTTAGAAGAGTATCGTTTGCATATTGAATTATTTTAAGTTGTCTACCAGGTAAGCTCAAACCAACAATGGAACAGAATTTCTAAACAAAAGACCTAGTATTTCGGCACATAATAGAAAGATAAGAGCTGACATGGGATCTCCTTGACGACAACCTGACTCTATTGAAAATCTTGGAGACAGGTGTCCAACTGTCCATTGATTAATACACAGGATTGGGCATTTTCATAGAATACATTAACCCATTTTACAATAGAGGGACCAAACTTAAAAAAGTGCAATACTTTTCTAATAAAATCATGAGAAATAGAATCAAATGCAAAATCTATAAGCAGCAATAAACCGGGAATGTCATTGATATCAGTATACAATAATAAATCATATAACAAATGGATATTCTCTCCAATGAAGCGCCCTGACATAAAGCCTTTCTGATTTTCATGTATAAGAAAAGGAAGTACGTTCTTTAATCTGTTTGCTATACAAGCGGAACCTAATTTATATACCAATTTCAATAAATCTCCCCAAAATCGTTTTATAGAAGCTTCTTCCTCAGGTACAAAATGTGTATCTTGCAAGCAACATATTTTGAACTTTTTTAACTTAACAAATCTAAAACATCATTTCTTTTTTCGCGATTTCCCAAACCTCCACAGTTCAAAGAAATTATATTGAAACTAGCCATTGAATATCAACTTAACCGCGGTACTATGAAAATCAAATCCTGTGGAGTTTTTCTTTTGTAATATCAAACAAATAACACTGACTGCACTATGCGCTAGTCCGCCGAAACAGCTTACACTGCAACACCTATGACAATTACAGCGATGTCTAGCACAAACGAAACTACAAAACAAAAACACATATGTCTCTGATAGCGAGACAAGACGCAATACCAAGAAAGCCACAGGTGACCACAAAATTTGCTGTGGATCCCCGAACCCCACCAATCCAACTAAGAGGGAGAATGTATCAAACGTTTCTCCCTCGGAAAGAAAGCAACTTTTGTCATGTTCGGGAAATGTATACACTTAATTATTTTACATATTTACAAATGTGCGACCTCCTATGATTCACACGGTTAACCTAAACACAAACTCCCCTTTCACAGAAGAGGTCAAATATAATAAAAAGATCGATAGCTTGACCGTAGTACTTTTTCGGAAACGACTAGCCCTTGATCATAGTCTTAATTTGTATCTTTATTATGATAAGGCCAAATGGAAAAAAAAAAAACAGTAGGAAGGAGGAGGCCCTTTTTCAAAACGGCCGCTCGGTACATTTTTCCTGACAGTCGGGCTATTTTTAAAGATGGCCGCTGGTGTTTTTGTTTTTTTAAAATCAGAAACAAATAATTTTAGCAGTATGTTTTTCACGATTTAATTCATTGAAAGAAAAAAAAAAAATTAAAAAATAGGAGGCGGCCCCCAAAAAGGAAGCGGGCGGGGACGCTAATAATGTATATTTGTTGTTAATGTCCTAATGATTATAATACCAATACTACTATAACTAATTAGTATTTGTAAACCACCAACCCCACATAAGTAATGCCCCTTAGATGATTGTCTTGCAAAAAAATTGTTATCGTCGTAGCAGGGATTTGAACCTTCCGATCTAAATCCCAGTGACCTATCCACTAAACCTCATCACCTCTACAAGTCATAGGGCAGTTTATGTGACTGGTTTACTCAAACCCTGATTTGCTGCTGATCAGGCTTTATCTTCTTTTAAAAGTTTACACTAGCCCTTAATGCCTTGATGTAAATATTCATATTCAGGGCCGCAGTCCGAGAGATTTACACATCCTATCAATGAAAATTGCTAAGCAATACATTCCACAAATGAATCATTGGCCGATTTGATGGTGTGCGGTAACCTCATAACATAGGAACAAACAGATTGTCTAGCCTCCTGACTAAAAGGTTCCCATATTCATTATCGGTTATCCAACATATGCTCTGGGCTTTTGTTTTGTCAAAGATACAGTATTAGGCCTAGGATAGCAATTGAATTGAAGGTTGGATTAGGTTTAGGGTCAAGTACAGACTCAAAGGTTGAAGTTTGAAAATCAACTATTGTATGAAATTGACTGCAAAGGAATTGTTACTCAATACATCCTTTCATCTAGCTTCAACAAAATAAAACTCTTCCATCCAAGAAGTTGTTATTGTTGCTCTACTCACTGGTGACAATTTGATCCGTCTGCTCCGACTCTCAATCTCACAAATGAAGTGTCCCATCGCTATGCCAACAAGGTATGGCGGGATGCGGCAGTATGGTTTCACATATACCATTTTCTGAAAATCAAGGTTGCTGCTTAAGCCAGTTCCAGAGCCACCGGCAAAAGCTCTGGAGAAAAAAAAACCCAGAGAAGACAGTGATAGACCTTTCACCTCTGTTAATACTGCAATATTGATGATGCGCATTGGTACACCATTTTCTTTGCGATCTATTCATATCAGCGAGAAAACAATGTGATAATACTGAACATTGTGGCATTCCCCCTTTTGCCATGAGAGAACTTCTCATACATTTTTTTTAATTGCTGCCAAACTAAAAGTCACCACAAAACAAAAAAATTCTCTTTCTTTCAAACTTACATGAACCAAACATAAAACATGGGAATCAAAACAATGATGCCAATTTAGAGAGTGAAACTGCTAACAATTTCTTGCCGTATTTTATTTTTTATTTTTTTAAAATCATTTTTCTCTCACAGAAACCCATTTCCTTTGAACCGTCCTGGATGCCCTTCAACAATGGTAAATTAAAAAGACCGTATAAAAGTGGATAAGAAAGTAAGCTGCCAATTAAAAGAATGTATTCAACAGCAATCTATTTCTTCAAAGACTGATCTTTCAAGAGCCCATTTCACTAGATATATCACCTTAAAAATGTACTGGTGAAATTAACCCTTTCAAAATAAATGTAATGACAAAAAAAAAATTAACACACACAAAATAATGATTTCATGAAGAAGTGGTCAAAATCAATTCAACATGTATATTTTCTTTTAACCAATGCTTCATGAACATCTTACCCAGCGATGGAAAGAAAGAAACCTGGAAGAAAATCATTCTGATAGACGAGAACTGAGGTTGTAATAAAGCTAGCTGCACAGGCTACAGCCAAAGCAATCATACCAAGTACAGGGAACCTGAAAAGGACACGTTATAAACAAAATATTATAGAGAAAAATTAAAGCCCCACGGACCAAACTGCCAATTTGAGATTCGCATGGACTTGGTGATTTCAAACATTCATAACTATCTTATTATTGGTCCCATTTACTTCAAACTTTCGGCATTCTGTTTATTTCGTTTTTTTCCTTTCATACAAATGAACTTGTCACAGAGGCTGGATTGCCCTTTCAATGTGAAACACTCTGCTCTATGGAAACATAAAATGTTTTCTTCAAAGACATGTAGGCTGCGTCTCACAAAACCATCATAAGTGCAAGTTGAGTGACATCCCATTAAAACGTGTGTTAAACTTAATACACGCATTTCAATGTCGCTCAACTTGTTCTTTTGACGGTTTTGTGAAACGCAGCCCAGTTCTCTTAAGCAAGTTTACTGTTCAGTTGGTGGATCCCAGTTTTTGTGAAAGGGGGGGGGGGGGGGAGGGGGGCACAATGCTGAAAAATCAAAGACAAACAAAATAGCTCTCAGGCTTACCAGAAAAGATTTCAGTATCAAAAATCTCTGACAAACACACACATTATACTTTTTTCTTTCTTTCATGTACTTAGGGTATGCCAGATAGAGTTTTGCTAGGGATGGCTGGGAGGGGGTGCACCCCTCATCCTGAATATGCCAATGCTGTACAACTGCATTTGGTATTAAACAGCTTACTTACCAGAACAAAGGAATTATGAAGAGTGGACTAATGATGAAAAACTGCATGTCATTGGCTAGGTACCATCCCCAGGATACACACTAAAGAGAACAAGATCAGTACAATATACAAGAAAAGAGTAATACAAATGTGACTTATAATATTATCATTATCAATAGATAGCAATGATCATCATATCAATATGATATACAATTTCTGTGATTCTATGACATATGCCCTTGCAAAAATGAATCTTCCTACAATAACCATTTGCGGTAGAGCGTCTGCCAGTTGAACCAAAGATCCCGGGTTCGACTCCCACCAAGGCAGATGACTGAAGTCTGCGTTGTGTGTTTACATGCCCCTTCCCTTGTTCATAGACGCAGGCTATGTTAAAAGAAAACACTCCGTCCCTCGGATAGGACGTTAAATTGAGGCCCTGTGTACAGGAGAGTCACCACCCTTGCACGTTTAGAACCCATTGCACCATTCGTATAAGAGTAGGGGGAAACCCCGGTGTAATGGTCCACCTGCACACCCCAATCAAGCCGAGTATACAGCAGATTATCTTGAAGAAAAGAAGAAGGATCCTGCATAAAACCCTGGACCCAACATCATACCCAATCCTAACCCTAACCATATCCGTACATGTAACTACACTAAAACTAATCTGCAACCCCTAAAATTACCTACCACTATAACTAGGACAATACAATATCTCATGTCTTACATCTTTCTGACCTTCTTGCACAAAGTTATTGATGTATAGAAGATCTGACCACCAATAACTCTTGCAAAATCCGATGGTCCGGTCCAACCTGAACCAGACGGGACCCTGGTTGAGGTTTGGTAGCAGGAATGTTAACACAACGATCAGGAGAGCAAGGGTTGGTGTTAACCTGTTAAATAAAATGAGAGACGTTGCATACTATTAAGGTGTGTTCAGACATGGTCATAGTTATATAATGAAAGAGTATGTATCAGGATGTATTTGTAATTATATACCTCTCTTTAGAAATCTACCCATCTGATTGGTCGAAATTGTAGTCTTGATTTTGGATATTCCCTTAAAGAGACAAACAAATGGCCAATAGTTCATGAGTGATATCCGTTACCCTGGGTAACAGGCAGCATGAATCAATTGTGCTCAGATCCCCATTGGTTTACAATGTACGTGTTCAAATTATCTTTATGCAAGCGCGGACACCATACAGTGCTTTTTGTCTCTGATTCCCAAATGATTGAAACTTTTAGTTATTTTTTAAGCGAAGATAAACAGAAAGTTTCTCAGATTTTCTTTGATGTTTTAACCAATATTTACTCAATAAAATATAAGACGTACATGTACCGTAAATCTCTGTGTATAAGGCGCAATTTTTTTCCGCCAAAAAAATTGAAAGTCGGGGGTGCGTCTTATACACAGGTACAGACAAAAAAAGTTAATATGTTTTTGTTGTTAGATTCGATTTATGGCGCTATGCCGGGCAATGTCTCTCAGCTCAGTAATCAGTGTGTTGACTCACCACTCGGAAACTACAACACTCAAATTTTTCTGTCATCTTGGTTTGAAAGTAATCTTTCTAATAGAGCTCAATATGTAGTTTTTATAATAATAATTCCTCAATTTTTTTTCCTATAACAAATAGTGTACCACAAGGTTCTATCCTAGGTACTCTATTATTTTTAATTTACATTAATGATCTTACACATTCTTCTAACAAGGGAAACGCTCTCGGCGGTCTCGCCTGCATTACGCAATTCGATATGATGAAAAATTGAGGTTGGGACATTATTTATAGGCAGGGTGGCCCATTAGCAGGCCCCCGAAATGTGTACATACATTAATGCACACAAACTAAAAAAGAAAAAAAAAGAATCTTGTAGAACCTTTTGGAACTGAGCTCTTCATATACCAAAACCACAAGTTGGTCCATATACATTGGCACACTGTGTGTGTGTCCTGATAAATTTCTAAAACAAATTTTCAATTACACAGAGGCTCTTTTAATGCATTACGCAATTTGATATGATGAAAAATTGAGGTTGGAACAATATTCATAGGCAGAGTGGCCCATTAGCAGGCCCCAAAAAATGAAATCCTCTAAGTATAATCACATTTTGAAGTGAATATCGACTAAGAATCATCAGAAGAATTATTTACTATTTAATGTACCACTATCGATAACTTGAATGAAATAAATGAACAAATTAATCCAACAAAATTATTAATTCTCATATTAAGTTGTGAAAACATAATCCAAGTCTACTGACCTTTGACCTTGTGACCTGAAATTTGTGTCATATGATTTGAGATACTTGATAACCCTTGGGTATAAGTTTCATGGAATTTGAACAATCAATTTTGAAAATATGCTAAAAATTCAAAATCTTGATGTTGATGGCACAACAAAGTCTAAGTTTGTTGACCTAAAATGACCTTTGACCTTTGACCTTAACTTAATGACCTGAAATACTACTCACATGATTGGTGATACTTGATAACCCTATAGTCCAAGTTTCATTGACTAAGAACTTAAACTTTCAAAATTATATCAAAAATTCAAAAACTTAACCTTAGGTTAAGTTTTTGATGTTGACGCCGCCGCCGTCGCCGCCGTCACCGGAAAAGCGGCGCCTATGTCTCGCTTTTTAGCTACGCAGGCAAGACAAAAATGACATTGTTACTATTATTTGTGACAAATTCACAAGCACAAATCAGCGCCTTCAACTGCACCTCGATGTTAAATGAAGGTCCTTCCCCGCGTGGGTTTTCGGCAACAAAACAACAACAAACAAACAAAAACAAAAAACAAAAAAAAAACGCCCCCAAAATAGGGGTGCGCCTTATACACAGGTGCGCCTTATGCACAGAGATTTACGGATATGTAGAATGTACCTGATGTATCGATGGATATAGTACCAGAGCCAAGGTATCTTGCCTCCTGTCTCTTTCATTTTCTTCAAGGTGTGATAAGCCAGTAGCATCCCACTGAAGGAAGGAGAACAATCACGTTAGGATTCTAAATCATGATTCATGTTTAGGATCAACAATTCCAGGGGGGTGTTTCACAAAGATCCTAAGTTGAACTTATCTCTATGATAGACTTGAAAATTATGGAAAGCCATTAGCATTTATGAAAATATTTTGTAAAGTTATTTTAAGAGGCATAAAGTGTTGATTCAAATCTTCCATATTTCTAATGTCAAGGAGGTTTCATGTTCTTGATGTGGAATTTATAAAAAGTCTAAAATACTTGAATTTTCACTTCTGAATATATTTTATTTCAAGGCTACATATGGCTCTCCATAATATTTAAGTCCAACTTAGAGTTAAGTTTGTCTTGAGATCTTTGTGAAACAGGGCCCTGATGTATATTTACAACTATCCGTTCTCAGGATAGCATGAAGAATGACGAGAGAGAGACCAAACTCTGATGTCACATGTTTGTATAGTCCTACATACTTTAATGTGTCCAATGCTCTTCATCGTTTGTGATTCTTAGAATGATTTATAGTCATTTTGTTATAATTTTGAACCTACTTCTGAACCTCATAAACATGATTATTTGTATTAACTACTTTAGCGACCATTCGGAATATTACTTCTCAACAATTGAGTTTCTTTCACAACATAATTGCATGACCACTACTCAACTACTAAACTCAACTAATCTACTCCAAACTGAAAAATGAAAGGGATGAATTATATATCATCGGAAAGCTTATAAGCCATAGATTACAATAATATCAATTACGGTATATGTCATTTTAGTGTTTGTCAGAGGAGTATCAGAGCTCTCTCTGAAAACTCAAAATCTAAAGTATGAAAATCGGAAGTTGTCAACCTAAAAACTTGCTATCGACTTGATGACATCATCTTATGTGGAGTACGAATATTAACAATGACTTTGCATTAATAAAGCACGGCTCATCGCCTCAGCTATATAGGCGAGCCCATGGGGTCCACATGTTATGTAGTCGCTGTAACTTCGCTAAATTTGACCCCTGTTGACCCATAATTTGGAGGGGTGCGGAAAATGAGGTTTTAATTTGCTTATGTGCAATAACGAAAGGGTAAATACTTGTTATTCTGTTATATTTGTATTCTCCATTCATTCAGTTTTCCATTTATATCAAGTTGTATTTTTTATCGGATAGGTCTTTAAAATAGCTAATGGACTCTTGAAATAACAATCAATGATAGCTCCTTGTGATCATAGTGGTTACAGTAGGCATGAAATTGGATTTCTTACCTCAGAAAGAAGAAGGTATCTACTCCTAAAAATGCATTGGCGATAGCTTGGAATGCAAAGTTATCCAACCATCTACCAATGGCTGATACAATATTCTCTGTATAGAAAAGAAATAGATTGTAACAGTTTTTACCCCTTTGGCGCATCACAAACTTAATTGTCATTGTGATGTACACGTGCATAGGGTACTGTTTTAGGTCATTATGACATAGTGAGCACTGCTGTTATGAAGACACAAAAATTCAACCAATAAAGTTTGGGGATTTGGACTTATAAATAATAGTGCTAGGAATATACTAATGCGAGTGTGAGTGTATACATGCATATCCCTCCCCTCCTCCTCTTCATCATTACATGCCCCTCTCCCCCCCCCCCCCCATTATTACCATCACATTATCAATAAGAAATGCATAGCTGGTTTATGAACAAAAACCATAAATGAACTTTCAAACAGCAAATTTTACATTTTCATTCCTGCAGGATTCTTTTTGGCAACTTCAGGCACGTGTATGCCATCAGGGTGGCGGAATAGGCTAGTTGCCCTTCTCCCTATTAATGAGCAGGTGATTTAATATCCTCAGGCTTTAAATGAACAGAACAGGCGCTCAATGAACAGAACAGGCGCGTACGCAGGGGGGGGGGGGGGGGGGGGGGTTTTTTCGGGGGTCAACCCCCCTTCTGTCAAATTGATTTTTTTTTTGTGTTTTGGAGGAAACCCCCCACCCCTCATTTTTCTTTTAATAACAAAAAAAAAAATATACAAAAAAGTTTCAAAAAAATAAAATTGTGCTAATGGGTGACCCAAAACAGGTGACCTTACCCCCCACCCCTCCCCCCAATGGAACAAAATATCGATCGGCCAAATTTTTTGGACCCCAAAAAACACAAACATGTGCCCCCCCCCCCCCCGCTTATTCAGCGCGATTTTCAAATTTTAAAACCCCCCCCTTCGAAAAAATCCTGCGTATGCGCCTGGAACAGAGTAATGTGTATTCACATACTGGTTATCTATCGAATCCCTAGCGATAACCCCTCCTCCTTACCACTTGTTTGGGCCTGCAAGATGAAGATTAGCGTGTGACCCAATATGACCCAAGATATGCTGATGACACGGATTCCATTCAAACAAGATATACTGCCCTCTGCCTGCTTGGTGTTCAGAAGCTTGGGCAGGTTACGAGACATCGCGAAACAAAGCAGCACTCGTACCAAGACATCTGTTACAGTAAAAACAAAATAGACACATGTGATGAGAAGCTGCGACTCATATAACAGTCATGGTTAAAACTATAGTTCCTTGGTGGTTCAAGACTGCACTATGCCCCCTCGGCTTTGTTTAGGGGCACAGTTCAGTATTGATATATTTGTTTTATATTTTTCAAACCAAACTATATAAAAATAATAATGATAATAATGTTTCCTGTCAATGAAGTAATTTTTATTTTTTTTATTTTTTTATTTAGGTTTTATTTCCACATTAACTGCAACATATACAAAGTAACAAAACATGTACATAATATTTGATTGATACAACAGTAATAAAAACGATGTAATGGCAAGTCACTAAATACATATGATGCTAACAATTATCTGCAGTAATGAGGAGGAAACCTTGGAAGCATTATGCTTGTAATTAAGGTTCCCTTAATGAAGAGTGCAGTGAGAACAGCGCAGACGACAGTACCGCGACCGATAGTACATTGATCTTGATCGATGTAATAGTGATAACTACTTACTTGGTTGTGTCTCATGTTTTACATCAACTGAGAGGACAGTGGTGGACCTTGGGGGTATTCCTGAAGATAATAAAGGCGTCTTTTCAGTCTGGGGATTATTAGGCGAACTACTCTTATCTTCACTGTTCATCTGTGGAATAGCAAAGCAATTAAGAGCCAAAATCTTCAGGTAACATTCATAAAGAACAAGAAATTTAATTCATGATTGGAACAAATTAGGTGGTCTGTTATTTAATCTGAATAACTGGAAGACTATAAACATCTTTGAAGGAGAGTAGAATCATACACATGGGACGAATTTATGTTGAGGTATACATGATCATGATGATGGTGATAGGGATGATGACAATTGTAACAGTCTCCAGTTAATGTGATTTCGTCAACTGACAGACTATAATGTATATTCAGTGAGAGGGTCCACTCATGCCTTTTATTAATAACCACTGTACCAAAATACCCCACATAGACATAACATGTAAGTAAACAGAAAATGGGATTCTCAAATCACATTTTGTAGTTGTGTATAAGACGCACCCCTATTTTGGGGGCCAAGAAAGGAAAAAAAAAAAGAAGGAAAAAAAAAAGAAAAAAAAAAAAGAAGAAAAAAAGCCAGGTCCGTGTTCAAAAACCCACGCGGGAAAGGACCTTCATTTTACTGGGAGGTGCAGTTGGAGGCGCCAATTTTTGCTTGTGAACTTGTCACAAATAATAGTAACAATGAAGTTATCAGAATAATGAACTCGCCACAAATAATAGTAACAATAAAGTTAGCAGAATAATGAACTTGTCACAAATAATAGTAACAATGAAGTTATCACAATAATGAACATTTAGTAACAATAAAATTATCACAATAATGAACATTTAGTAATAATGAAGTTAGCAGAATATGAACATTTCAATGTTCATTATTCTGATAATTAGTTTTTAAAACTAAAGATGACAGGCAGATTTTCCTCTAAGTCCAAACAGAAATCCCGACATTCAGGTAGTGTTTTTCTAGTTTCTGAGTGGTAGATGTATGACTGAGCTGGGGGACATTGCCAGGCACAGTGCCAGGTGGAGGGCATAAATCAAAACTTTTTGTACCCGAGAAGAGCACCCCTGACTTTCGAATTTTTTTTCGGTGGGAAAAAGTGCGTCTTATACACAGAGATTTACAGGTAGTTAAAATATCACCATGATCCCAACATCTGATTAAAAAATAAATGTCACCTTCCGTGTAGGGAATTTTCCCAGCTACAACATATCAGAATCTGGAAAACAAAATCATTCAAATATAATCGCGATATTGCTCGAACAAGACTGGAATGTAGAATCAAGATTTCAGATAAAGTTAACTCCCATAGGCATACAACACGTAAATCACAAAAATTCTGACATGTTACCTTTAATTGAAATTTTCACGATGATGACGTCATCAAAAAGAAAAATAGTGAGGATTTATCTTGTAGAGAATTGTCTTAGCTACAACATATTAAAATAAAGAGAGAAAATCAATCAATATTTACAGAGATACAATTTTCCATAAATGACGTCATAATACCAAATTCATATTTTGATTTCCAAGGCCATTTATTATAATGATGTCATGATATACTTAATGGCCAAATGAGACATGAAATCATTATCTGAGACTCATACTCTATCCAAATATGAAGAAAAAAATTGGGGGTCCCCAAGCATCCCAAAGAGCTGTAATGGAATTTGTTTAGGCTTGTTTTTGCCCATACACTGTATGTATTACAAGAGCTCACACGCACAGACATTTATCTTGAACGGACGCTCATTCCATTATTAATGGTAATGAAGAGATACCTGTAAACATGATATCAAATTGTTCCAAAAAAGGGAATATCATAAAGAGAAAAATGGCTATTCTATGTTGCGGTCATGAGGAACTAAATTGCACGCGCATGGCGATTTTTGTTGTTGAAATGCTAAAAAAGGCCTGAAACAAATGCCAAAAACTTTGAGACACACGCATTTATTGTCCTGAAATTGACCGGAGTGATATTGAGCTCAATCAGGATAAATATGAATGAGAAATGATTTTCCGTAATAAAAATATGATCATGAGTCGAATGTCAACAAAAAATGGCGCATGGGTGACATCACAAGTACTTGATGAACTTGAAAATGTTGCTGTCACGTCTTATAACAAAGACCTACATGTATGACTGCTTGAGTTATCCTCTACACAAAAAATCAGACAAATAAATAAAAATAGAGAAATAAAGAAAGAAAATTCTGACAAAACTAATAGGTGATCTGTCGATATCGACAGACCAACAAATGAACTTAGTTCCCATAGTCTTTACTTTACGCATTAAACATGCAAGGACCTCACTATCTAGCCTTAAGGGCTACACGATCGAAAGTGCTGCCATTAAGGCACTTAGAACTACTGTACTTGGAGAAATAAAATAATTAAATTGTTGACAAATCCTTCTTACAAGACCTGAAAAGGTCATATTAACATTGTGTGTTCACTTGATAGTAAGACCTTCTATTGGTTTGAAAACAAACAAACAAACAACAAAAATCAAACATTCACCCAAACGCACAGAGAAAGCAACTTCTAATATAAAGTGGGTCAAAATATTTACCTCATTTTCATCTTCATAGTCAACAGACAGCTTCTCGTAGAGGTTGGATGCTTTGCTGTGTCGCTGCCGTGATGACCCTTGACCTCCACTGGCTGAAAAGTTCCCATTGGCTTCCCCTGATGGGTTACTGCTGCCGGCTTGAGATGAACTCTTGAGGCAGTAGTCTACCACAGAGCCCACTATCGTCAGGGCAACAAGCGTACTGATAGCGACACTGTTAGGAAGAGTAGTAATAAAACAGTGAGATATGATCATCATTATCTTCACAAATAGCTTCATTAATGGCATATTGATAGATCTACACGTGTAACCGGAGTTTCATGTCTGAGATTATAAATTAATCTGTAGATCTATTTTTCAAAAATACAGGGAAATGCAGAAGATACAGGGGTTTAATTATCTTCATAAATAGTGATCAATATAAGTTATGATGTATATCCGAAATCTGTGGACTAATGATTGTATTTAAATGTTAATGTGAAATCAATGTTTTATTTATTAATAATTACATAATTATTCATTATAAATACTACCAATAATAAATGTAGTGTCAATATTTTACAATTCTCATTAATATGATCAGATTATGATTTACTTTCTGATCGTTAATATCATAACTTATTTTCTATGACTCTAATCATTACCAGTTAAGGTGGACTTCTGCTTTTCACTTCATATATACCCTCTCCCTTTATCAGCCGCTCCTTTCTTTCGCTTTCCCCCTTTTTCCTCTTCACTTCCTTCCCAGAACTTTCTTATTAATCGCAAGCGTGTCATCTCTCTCTCCCTCTCCCCCCCCCCCCTCTCTCTCTCTCTCTCTCTCTCTCCCTCCCTCCCTCCCTCCCTCTCTCTCTCTCTCTCTCTCTCACTAACTCAAGATTTTCACACTTGGTCATCAATATACTCCATGTTACTTACCACATCATTCTAAGATGATAAAAACAACACCTACATCTAATCTCTTTCCATTTAATTAATATTTCTGAAATGTTAATTACCTCATAATATTATCTCATTGAACTATGTATCATAATTCATCTGTACAACTGTACATTTTATGTTTATATATTATGCCCTGCTTTTGCATACATTGTCAGGGGCCTTGTGATATATACATGTACCTGTATGTCTGTATTATTATGATCTCTTTGTATCACTGTCTATTTTGATTAAGAAATAAATGCTTTACCTACTATCCACATGACTAACAGCCTTTTCACACACAGCTAAAATTCTATAAACATGATTAGTATAAACGTGTTTGAAACGTGTTTAAACTAATCACGAGCCTTTCACACACAGAAGTTTCGTTACTTTAGTGAGATACGAACTTCGTATCTGCAGCCTGCTTTTAGGGGCGTATAGATCGCGACTTCGTATCTATCCCAATATCGATCGTATAAACGATGTTCACACTGGGAAATTTTGTCTATAAACATGTTTAAAACTGTTGAGTGATTCTAATCATCTTTAGATACGATGAATTTTAGCTGTGTGTGAAAAGGCTGTAAGATATATTAGGAGTATCAAGTCTGGGGACCTTCATTAAAGCTAATGGTCAGTTGCACTATAACAAAAGGAACTGTATAAGAAACTGGCTTCACATAATTATATTATGGTGTTGATGGGATGTTGGACCAGCAAAATAATAGGGGGAAAAAAGATGAAGGTTGTTACGAATGTTAGTTATACATATTTATCATGATTATGTTAATACAGGTATGAATTTGTTATTTATTGAGTATTTGTGTGAGAGGATGATTATTAAATCATGTATAATGATCATTTATAATGATATGAAAACAAGGTAGAAGTTACATTTATTGAAAATCACAACAGAAAGCCTTACCAGGTTAAGATGAAGCCTATATCAAAGTTTGTGTTGGGCTTTTCAGTACAGGAGACAGCGGAACTTACTAGGTTCTTGATGGTCAACCAGGGTACATCCAACATAACTAAATAATGCAAAAACAAGAACATCAAAAATAATAATAATAATAATTGTGACGTCTTTAATAACATAGTGCTCATGTCTGGCACATTGCCACTCCTGGCGCTCCATCATCATTACCCTGGCTTTAGCACGGCTGCCTTTATGGCGCTCAAGCATTTCAAGGAACTAATTCCTGCCAGGTAAGAAACCATTTACCTCACGTGGGTGGAGTATGGCAATAGTAGATTAATGTTTTGCCGAAGGACATTGGTGCCGCAACAGGGAATCTGATGAAAATGAGTGAAATCATAACTCCTCAACCTATATTTGCACATATTTTCCCCAATTTTAAAGAAAAATCCAACCTCGATAGCAAACTACTCTAGAAGAAAGCAGGAAGAAGAAGAAAAAAAAATTAAAGAAATATGGACTCAATGCCCTATTGAGGAAAGCAGAGGGAAGGCTGATTGACAGATTGGAAATGTGTGGCTGTGGAGTGGGAGAATTTAATTGGAGAGACAGGGCGCACTAATGAAGAAGTACTGGATTGATTGAACAAACAAAAGAACTTGAGAGAAAAAAAATCTGAATAGGACACATCTAATACAGGGGGATAACATGCTCAGGGACATATGACAGAGAGAGAGAGAGAGAGAGAGAGGGAGAGAGAGAGAGAGAGAGAGAGAGGGAGAGCCCTATGGTACATCCAAGGCATGCGTGATAGTGATCATGCAGTTCACTTTGAATTAAAGGGATCCGGTAACTTTGTCTCAAATTCTGAAACAAAATTCTGGATTAAGCTCATGATGCAATGATAATTATAAACCTTTAGGTCAGTCAGGAACCCCATGAATTTTACAAGCCGATCGCCTGTCTGATTATCAAGATATTAATGATTGGAATTACAAATTTTGAAAACCGTTCGCCTGACGGTTTTCATAACACTACAGTCTATTGGGAAAACGAGTATGGTAAAACCGGTCACTCAAAGATTTTTTACTTTTTTGAGGCACTCCTTGATCATTTTGAAGCGCAATTTTTTTAGGGCTTCAATATTACACCATATCACAGACACTGATAACATGTAGGGCCATGTATCTCAGATTTAACATTGTTAAACGATCCCTTTAATGAGGTGACCTGCATCCTGCTAGGCTTCCTGTGTCTAAGGTGAATTATCCAAACTGGCTAATAGACCAACAAATACGAGTTCAAGTGCATGCAATACAAACAGAATATTACATCAGGTAAAAGATATCATCACAACATATTAAGTAGTATTGATAATAATAAAGAACTTAACATGCCACATTAGCAAAATAATATATTTTCCAATTGAAATATAATTCAAAGAAATGATACTACTAGCACTGTAGCAGGGTGGGCCACCAACAAAAATTCAAACATGTAAAATTGAAACTTGGAAGAAGAACTAATTTGCCATAAGTTCCTTCTTGTGGCCAGGGGTTCATTGCCTGCTTCAGGGCATTAAATGGCAACTTTGAGAATCTTAGATGTTCTCTGGTGCAAACTGGGGCTGTATTCTGAAAACGATGTTATCTTTCATGCTAGGGACATAGATGTCAATGGTCATAACAAACTCAAAATGCCTGGGACTAACACTTACCATTGGTGCTTGCACAGACAATAACCAATGGCATAGATCTCCTAACTTTGATTTGTCGTGACAATCAATAATGTTTTGCGAACACAAAAGATAACCTCGCTTTAAAAATACCACCTCTATAAGCTTTAATTTGAAACAAGTTCAAATCTTTTGCTTCTATTTTATAACCTGTCACTGTAAAACATTAAAATGACCCCGTACTGAGAGCGTGATAGCCAAGGTCACAAGAGTACAGACACTGTATGGCAGAACAAACTCGGTAAGAAATGTGGTGTCATTGACTCTTCAGTAAGTCAAGGGTGCAATCAACAAGTAAATGTTTGCAGACCAAACTAATTTATCCGTTCTAATCATTTTACAAATATTTATTCACAGATATGGCTGAAATTGACACAGTCTGAGTACTTTGACAATCTTTGAATGCATTATTGATAACTTAATGCATAACTTAATTGTACAGAACAACCTTCATTCACAGTTTGTATAACCTGTTCTATAAGTCCTTTTTATAATCCTGTTTTTTCCTTCATATTTCATAAAGTGTTTGTTTCTTACAAACATATTGACAATAATTAAATTTTCATTCTTGTTTGAGTTTTGTTCCTACTGCATGATGTTTAAGGAAAATCTATATAAAAAGTTTTGTAGTAGAGACAAAATAAGCTAGGGACACACTGCATTTACAAACTCATTTTTCATTTAAACTTCTCACATCATTTTCAAAGACAGGGGAAAAAAATATGAAGATGACAATAAAAAGGAGAAGAAGGAAAAGGGAAGAACATGAAAACAAACCTGAGAATTTATGACAAGATTTTTAAAAAAAGCAGAAAACAAAGCAGAGACAGAAGAAAAATCAAAAGAAACAAGAAACTCAAAATCCATAAAACCCCATAATAGCTGCATAGAAACAGGATTTCCATCTAACCATATGATGAGGGAATTAATGCAACTTTTATGATAAATATTAATCTAAAAACAAACAAGCAAGTCATTTCTGATTGTGACATCATTCATATCCACACCCTTTTTCAGGTGAATAACCTGTACAAAGGAATTGCGAAACTCCCTATGTTTATTGTAATACTTGGTACTTGGTACTGGTCGATGGTCCTCCAACATCCTCCTTGTGGACTTTGAACATGAGGTGGTAGTATTTACTAATAATATCATACACATTTTGTTGGATTTATAATTCTGATGGTTTTGATAAAGATTTTAAGAAAAAGAAAAGTAAAATTGAAACTCCAAGCTTACCAAGCAGAAGTTCCAGACTATTTCTCACATCTTCCTCACTGCAAACCTCTGGGGCACACACACCCCACTGAATGGGAAGTACCTGATATGAAAGAGGGTACATTCTGTTATTCCTTTAACCCACTGAATACTTTAAGCATGAGATTTTTACTAAAATGCAATTATACGAAAATCATGTAGTATCCAATAGTTCACATATCCTAGGACTAAATAAACTATGTAACAGGTTGTACACATGTATACTGTAGTGCATAATTATTATTTACATGTACATGTATCTAGTAATTTGTTTGTACTTTTTTCACATTATGTGACTTTAACGAAGTACACTGTAGGTAAATCCAGAAAGTTTCACAAACAGCAAAACTGCAGGTTGTAATTTTCAAATTGTGTAAGGCATGAAACTTTTGTGAATCTAGAGAGCTTGCAAACTTCTGTATAGGCTTCTGTAGAGGTGCTGTGGTCTAGTGGTTAAATCCCTGGACCCCCCTTTTTTCTCATCTGAACAATGGTAACGAGTCCCTTTAAGAGGGAAACAATGGCTGCACAGAAGTACAGACCATTAAAGGCAGGCTTTACTACTTCAGCCAGAAGGGATTAGACTGCCCAGCGAGCCAGCGAGGTCACTGTGACAGGTGGCTATCTCATTAACTCAGCTCTCATTTAACATAACAAAAAGATGATCATGGGGGACCAACAGGCACGATTGGGGAAGTTTTCTATATAGAGGGAGCAAGTAGCTACAAGTAGGACAGTGTGCCTTTAAGTACACCCTTTTGTAATGTCACTCTTTAGTGCCCATACATGTACTAATTAATAGAAAGTTAGAATGTAGGGCAACACAATAAAAACTGTATCATGTACAGTACAGTAACTGCTAGTACATGTCAATGTGGGGGGGGGGGTGGGGATTCCAGGAATTGCAGTATAATCTGTGCACATCCTTTATTTATTTATCTCCATTTTTAAGAAATAAATAAATCAGCAATTGACAGACAAAACTCTTATAAAAAGGTAATCCCAAGTTCTACATGTAGGTGGAATTGCATTTTTGATTCACTCTGAATTATTATCATGAAGTAGGTGGGATATCTGGACCAACAAAATATTAAAAAGAAGTCACACTAAAAGTGAAATCCTTTTTTTGTTTTTTGAAAATGATTTCTTATTGATCTTGGACTGAATGAACCTGTACATAAAGACCACCTGCCTATAAGAACCCCTCTTCTTGTCTCCCTTGAGCGGCGTCTTTATACACAGGTTTGACTGAAATGCCAAGTCGATCTTACCGTAGAGACACCTAAGAGCGTGCTCAGGTTGGCCCCCATTCCCACCAGACAGTGTCGAAAGCTCTCTACTGCCATGCACTGATCAAAGTGACCCAACCAGGCAAGGTTGCCGGCCAGAATACCTGATGCAGGTTTGCCAAAAGAATCCAGGACTAGAGAAGACAATTTATATAAAAAAATGACAATTTACCAGTAATGTTAAAACTTGATTCGCTAAGGCTTGTGTTCACATTTAAATTAAATATGTCAGTCAATGTTTTTTCACTTACATGCATGTTGATGGCAAGGGGGGGGGGTAACATATAAAAAGTATCAGTGCACAGTAAGGCCATTAACATTTTCAGAATTAAAAACAAAATAATCAGAAATTGATCATTTAAGCAATATGTTTTTCATGTTTTTATTCATTGAAAAAAAAAATTAAAAATAGGAGGCGGCCCCCAAAAAGGAAGCGGGCGTGGCGCTAAACATGATTTTTAATTTTTTTTTTTAATGGCCTAAAAGTCCTCTGCATACTCCTGTTGCAGGTATGTTAAAGAGATGTGAAGTGTAATTTGCTGGGGTTTACCTTGGCACATGGAGATAAATTATTTCAAAAGGATAAAGTGTGCAAGATGTTGAGATATACCGGTACATACATGTATAGTCCTCTATCTAAGAACTTTTTTTTGGGGGGGGGGGGGGGGAGGGGGTGGGAAAGGGGGAGTTTGAGGGATACAGTTGACAATATAAATTTTTTTTTAATGTGTCTGTCAATTCTCAAATATCCTTTAAAAGGAGATTTAATTCTATTGATCGAGACTGAAAAAATCAATCTTTCTATCTGTGCATGTTATGTGGTTATCAAGGTTACACAAAATGCCAGTCATGTTATTTGAATAATGATGTACCCTTTCCTCTATTACAGAAATCAAACATTCCACAGACACTCTTCATGGTATCAAGAAGTCTAGACTTTACTTATAAGATTGCATGGAGCTATTGTAAATGTTAAGTAGTTGGTAATCAAGCCACCATGCTAAGTACCGTGTACCATTCAAATAACACAGTCTGCATAGTGTACGTGTGTAGTTTACCTTGTGTACTCAATGAAGCCAATGAAGGGCATATTATAGAAAAGAACTGTACCTCATCAATATACATGGGCCTAAGAGAGTATTCAATCACAAGGATTATTGAGCACTCAATGGCTGCATGCAAGCTTTTCATTTGACGATGAATGCAGGCAATTTATCATCCATTAAGAACCACAGGAGCATTACATGACCCCCACTAGCTCTTTTCCCCCTAGCTGTCATGCACGATTCAGACAGTCTTTTATCCCCAATTCGATACAAAAGTATAATGCCACAGTTAGGCTTTAAAAGTCGTAATTAAATCGCTCTACATTTCCCGGATTAATGAGCTTATAGTTTTTGACAATTCTATAACCCCAGTAGTTGTTGTTTACATTCTGTATTCAAGAGCGACACTTCCGGGTTCGCACTCACTTCACCCCACGAGGTCATCAAATCGGGCCTCAATATTCTTGCGAAACTTGTGATCAAACATGCATGGTTTAGAATACGATTTTCAAAGTAGCCGTTCTCCTAAACACAACCTTCTAAAGTGATGCTGATGTGTTTTTCATGCACTAAGCTTGAAAAGGGTTTATTTTTGTTCCGTATTCCCCTTTAACATTGTCAAATGTCAATCTTTTCAGAGTTATAAAATGTCCTTGAAAAGTCAACAGTCAAATATGCATGAAAGTGATTTATACAAAGCACAAAATTACCTACCTGGCACTAGTTCTGCTGTTTCATTCTGCAACTTCTGAAGCTCATACAAACACATTGGAGAAACGTCATTAATATCAGGAGCATCGGTGGACAACATGAAACCATTCAGGTTTACCAAGGTGTCGGTAGAGTCTGTATTCCTTCTCCTGGCAGCACAGCCTGGATACATGGATAACCAAAGGATGCATAGCAGCAAACTTATGTGTGCGAATGCAGTCAGTCCTGCAGGCCATCGACGCACCATTTTGGATTTTTTGAAAAGGCAGCTTTTGGAACACCTGTAAATGAGTTAAAAAATAGAAAATAGAATTTTCAGCACACAACTCTGAACCATATACATGGGATTTTGTTGAATTATGTACAAGGTACTAGTACCACACATTTTTGGAAATAATTAACCTTATACCAGTAGTTTGCCCCCCCTCCATAGCTGTATCTACAAAATGTATCAGAATGTGTACAATAGGTTTGTGTGTATTACCGGTAGCAGGGATTAGTTAATACAGTGACCTAGCTACATGAACCTTTAGACATTGAATTTTTCAAATAACATTTGAATATATCAATATACAAACTCTATTTTGCTTTGACCTTTAAACTTTATTAAGGGATATGTCTATATTCTGCCAAAGTGATTTGACATGCACTCTACTGTCATGATAATGAATATGTATCAGATTATGCAAATGTGACACCTGTGACCTCAGGAGGTCAGATCGCATGTGCGCGATGTATATGCGATACGCGTGACTTGATACCCAGTGCGGGGAATAAACACCAGACTATGGTTTATGGAATTCAACTACTTTGTTAGTTTGTTTGCACTTAATATGTGACATTGGCGACGAGGATTAATGTTTCTTGGATGTTGAATCTGTGGCTACGAGCTGGAAAAGTTTCAACATGGCATTCGCTGGAGCGGAATTGTTAGCGCTTCGAGGAGTTCCACACTTCGATCCGACGGGTGGTGCAAGTATTGTCAGCGGCAAGTGGAAAGCTTGGCTTGAAGAGTTCGAAGCCTACGCCGATAGTCGCGGCCTGTTTCTGGACGGATGTACGCCGGCCCAGGAGGCGCAACGGAGAGCACTGTTGCTGTACACTGCGGGGCCTGTGGTAAGGGAGACTTTCAAAACACTTCCCAATAAAGGAGAGAGGAATGAGTATCAAAAAGCCACAGATGCCCTAAATGCTCATTATGTTGTCAAACCTAATGCTACGTTTCAAAGACATTTGTTCAGGAAAACAAAGCAGGAAGATGGTGAAACGGTTGCCCAATTTGTTACCAAATTACGACAGGTTGCTATTGGATGCAATTTCGTAGCTGGGGATGTAGAAAACCAAATTCTTGACCAAGTAGTTCAGTACTGCAGAGCTGATAAACTTCGCAGGAGAATGCTGGAGAAAGGAGGTGAGCTCAAGTTAAATGATGCATTGTCCATGGCTGCTGCTCTAGAAGCTGTTGAAGGTCAATTTAACTCCATGTCATTGAGAGAGAGAGAAAGGCCTAGAGCTGGTGGACAAGTTCAAGTGAACCAAGTATCGTATGAGAATGACAGAAAAAAGAATTTGGAATGCTACCGATGTGGGAACAAAGGACATTTTGGGAAGGATGCATCATGTCCAGCCAAAGGAAAGATCTGTCGGAAATGTGGAGGCCAAAACCACTTTGCGACGATGTGCAAAAGTAAGGCCAAGAGCACAAGTGAGGCGAGAGGAAAAGTCAGAGATGGGAAGTCCAGAGATGGAAAGAAGTATAAGAATAGAGTTCGCCAAGTGGAAGGTGAACCCGGACATGATAGTGATGATGACAACAGCCGTGGCCGTGATCAGAGGTACTATCAATTTGCTGTGAATGGTGATCATGAGAAAGTCCCAATAATCATTGGAGGTGTCACAGTCCCAGTGATAGTAGATTCGGGAAGTGATTGCAATGTAATAGATCAGATATTGTGGGAGAAACTGAAGAAGGACAAAATCATCTGCAAATCTACTAAGAGTACCAAGAGGCTTTATCCGTACACATCACAGATACCATTAACAACTGTTGGATGTTTCACAGCCACCGTAGAAGTTGGCAAGATGAAGTCGACTGCAGAGTTTGTTGTCATCAAAGAAAAGGGAGAACCTTTACTGAGCAAACATACGTCTAGAGAGCTGGGAGTGCTCCAGGTGGGAATTGTACATGTAAATGCGGTACAGAGTTATGCAGGTTTAAAGCAGGAGTTTGAAGCAGTCTTCAAAGGAGTAGGGAAGTTGAAGGGCCGACAGGTGCGGTTAGCAGTGGATGAAACGGTGAAGCCAGTGGCCCAGCCTGTGCGAAGGACTCCATTTGGACTGAGAAAAAAGGTCGAGATGAAGATTGCGGAATTGATCAATCTCGACATCATTGAGCCAGTTGAACGCTCCACGCCATGGGTAAGCCCAGTTGTCATAGTTCCAAAGAGAAATGACGAAATTAGACTTTGTATCGATATGCGTAGAGTGAACGAAGCAATCATAAGAGAACGTCACCCCATTCCCACTATTGAGGAAGTCCTACAGGAGCTGTCGATTAGCAAGGTCTTTTCGAAAATAGACCTGAAGTGGGGGTACCACCAACTGGAGTTACATCCGGAGTCTAGAGAGGTGACAACCTTTGTCACTCATTGTGGGTTGTTCCGCTATAAGAGACTGTTGTTCGGAATCAATGCTGCTCCAGAGATTTATCAATATGAGATACACAGAGTGATAGCTGGGATAGAAGGAGCTGCGAACATATCAGATGACATCATTGTGCATGCATCGACCCAGAAAGAGCATGACAAGAGGTTGAAGCAGGTGCTTGGCAGACTGCGGGACGCAGGACTTACTGCAAATGCAGAAAAGTGTAAGTTTGGTGTCTCTGAGTTGGACTTCATGGGGCACAGACTGACTAGCGAGGGACTCAACCCAGGATTGGCCAAGGTGAAAGCAATTGCAGAGGCCCGTGAACCCCAGACTGCAACTGAGATGAGAAGTTTCTTGGGGCTAGTCAACTACTGCGCAAAGTTCATTCCGAACTTTGCTACATTGGCAGATCCACTGAGAAAGCTGACCAGAAAGGACACGCCATTTCAATTTGGTCATGAACAGCGACAAGCGTTTAAGTCGCTAAAGGAAAGCTTGATGAGTGCAGAGACCCTGGGCTACTATGATCTAAATGCACCGACAAAAGTCATAGCGGATGCCAGTCCAGTTGGCTTAGGAGCAGTGCTGGTGCAGGTGCATGGTGATGGCCCGAGGATAGTAGCATATGCCAGCCGCTCGTTAAGTAACGTTGAAAGGAGATACTCTCAGACGGAGAAAGAAGGCCTTGGACTTGTGTGGGCTTGTGAAAGATTCCATGCGTACCTGTATGGAATAGAGTTTGATCTAGTGACTGATCACAAACCGCTTGAAGTCATTTATTCACCGAGATCTAAGCCATGTGCGAGAATAGAGCGGTGGGTTCTGAGGCTTCAACAGTACAAGTACAGGGTAGTCCACATCGCAGGAAAGTCCAACATAGCAGATCCATTGTCAAGATTGCTGAAGGATGATCAACCGAGAGAAACTTCTGTGTTGGAAACAGAAGCAGAGAGCTTTGTGCGTTTTGTGGCAGTCCAGTCAACGCCAGGTGCGGTGACAACGAAGGAAGTCGAAAGAGAATCTGAACATGATCCTGAACTCGAAGTTATCAGAGAGTGTATTCACAGTGGACAATGGGATGATTGTCCATATAAAGCATACATTCCCATCAAGGATGAACTCTGTATAATTGGTCAGTGTGTGCTGAGAGGTAGCAGATTGGTGATTCCACAGGCACAGAGGCCAAAGATGGTGTCATTAGCTCACGAAGGACACCTGGGCATTGTTGGCACCAAACAGAATTTGAGAACCAAGGTATGGTGGCCAGGATGTGAGAAAGATGCAGAGAAATTCGTCAAGACTTGTCATGGTTGCCAAATCACAAGCAGGGGTAATCCACCAGAACCAATTCGAAGTACTATGTTGCCAACAGGACCTTGGGTGGATGTAGCTGTTGATTTCCTAGGACCACTTCCGACAGGAGAATCTATACTTGTGGTAGTTGATTATTATAGCAGATACTACGAGTATGCAATCATGAAATCAACCACTGCAGAGAAGACAGTCAAAGCCCTGGCTGAAATCTTTGGCAGACATGGGTTACCTGTGACGTTATACTCAGACAATGGACCCCAGTTCATCTCAGAAGTTTTCGCAGAGTACATGAACATTACAGGAATTCACCACCATCGGGTGACTCCTAAATGGCCCCAAGCCAACGGCGAGGTCGAAAGACAGAACCAGAGTATAGTGAAAAGGCTTAGAATTGCACAGGCAGAAGGCAAGGATTGGAAGGAGGCCTTGCTGACTTACGTCGCAGTCTACCGGGCTAGTACTCATTCGACAACGGGAAAAAGCCCGGCAGAAGTGTTGTTCGGGAGAAAGATCCGAACTAAACTACCACAAATCCAAGACATTAGTGAGGATCAGGAACTCAGAGACAGGGACCTCCAAATGAAAAGTGGTGCAAAACACTATGCAGATCTGAAGAGGGGAGCTGTACATTCTGACATAGTGCCAGGAGATAAGGTGATAGTAAGACGTGATGAAAGGAGGAAACTAGACACGCCATACTTTAGCCAGCCATATACAGTGACAGCAAGAACAGGAAGTATGGTAACTGTGAAATCTCCTGACGGAGTCCTGTATAATAGGAATGTATCAAGTGTAAAAAGATACATGTCCCGAGACACTCATAACGAAGCTGCCAATCCAGAGAGGACAGATGGCAATCCTGAGGCGGTGACCGGTATTCCTGAAGGGTCGGACGGTAATCCTGAGGCGGAGACCAGTACTCCTGAGGCGGTGACCAGAGATCCAGACTCAGAGGCAGCGAGCAACACATCAGGCGGTGACCAGAGACATCAAGATGGTGATACCCAAGCAGAGACAACAAACACCAACGTTCCTATGGCAGCTAGTAGACCACAACGCCAGAGAAGATTCCCTAAGCGATATGATGATTTTGTGTGATTCCAGATCAATATGGTGGGGAGGAGCTCTTTGTAAAATAGCGACAGTGATATGAAACTACATGTGCCAAGGAGAAATGTTTGGAAATCATTGGTTGAAGCCAAGTTATGATTTAAAGGGTGTACGCCTTGCGCTGCCCATATTTGTGAAATCGACATGTTGGAGAAATCACCATGGAAACCAAGCGTACGAGGAAGTTGTGTTATGTGCTAAAATAATAAGTTCTGATATATATGTTTCAATATTACACATACATTAATCAATGTAAAAGGGTGTACGCCGAACGCTGCCCTTATTGTATGTGATAGGTGTTGCGAAAAACACAAGTTTGAGTTGGAGCATCGATCAGTTTTCAAAAATGGATTCAATCATCGAAGAGAGTATTTCCAGAAACTTCAGCTTCAGCTAGTCGTATGAACGCTTGGAGATAACAGATGATTTACACGAACTCAAAACTAGAACTCAAATAGTATCCAGTGAACAGTTGAACTTTTATTTGGACCACAGACTAGATGCATGAAAGATATTGCATGAAAGATATTATATTGCATGTTATGTTTTATGTTGTTCAACAAAGTTGTTTGGAAGATAAAACATTTGGGAAAAGTTTATCGACCAGATAAATTTGTTGTTTGTTAGAAGTTGTTCTTTGAAGAAAAAAAAGAGAAAAAAAAGGGAAGAAACAAAAGCAAATGCACCAAAGCATGTTTATTTCAGTAATTCACATATGGCTGAAACACAAGAACAAAAGAAATATTACAAGAATTTTCAGTGAAACTATAGTATAAAAATAGACCAGGATAAAGTTTCATTCTGGCAAAGGAGGGATGTCATGATAATGAATATGTATCAGATTATGCAAATGTGACACCTGTGACCTCAGGAGGTCAGATCGCATGTGCGCGATGTATATGCGATACGCGTGACTTGATACCCAGTGCGGGGAATAAACACCAGACTATGGTTTATGGAATTCAACTACTTTGTTAGTTTGTTTGCACTTAATATGTGACATCTACCACAACGAGCAGAGCGTAAAGTTCTGTCAGTCTCCGGCTGTGTCTGGTTTAGCTACAGCTACAGAGCCTATGACTTTAGTATGTTTAGTCTCACTGTGGAGACACTGTTACGAACAGGGACTGACAAGGGTTTGTGCAGGCCTGCAAACTTAGACTAAGGGACAGAATTAGAAGGTTCCACTCCAAATGATAAATCCAAAGGGTGGTATTCTCAAAAGCGGACTAACTTTAGTCCATGGTTTAATCCACTGACTAAGTATGGAATGCCAAGTGTCCATATATGTTTTTGAATAATTTAATCTGTCACTAAATTAAAATAAAATGTAATAACATAATAAAATAAACAATATAACTATGATATAATTATGTTATCATAGTAATTTAGGGACATATCAAATTATTCAAAAACATATTCATATGGGCACTTGTCATTCCATACTTAGTCGGAGGATTAAACCACGGACCAAAGTTAGTCCGCTTTCGAGAATACCACCCAAAGAAAGCAGTGACAAGAGATGCCAACAATGCAAATATCACTTCACTGCAAGTTCACTCAATCAGGCCAACATTGTGTAACAAAATTGTTATCTGGCTGGGAAAATGGTTATCACAGCTCTTTCCCTTTCTCTTTGCTTTGACGTACTGCAGGAAGTATTCTTTTCCACTATTCAATGTCATACAACATACATGTACATGTACATGTATGTCATTGCAATTGTACCAACACATTATAATTAATTTCAACCTCTCTGAAAAATTTATAAAATATAAATTACTGGTTTTCTTTGGCAAACACTTTCATGCATCAACATGCATTTTTTTTTTAAATGCAGTTGTAATAGGAGCTTGGATCCATTTTACTGCTTACTTTACAGTGAAAATCTTCATTATGCCCAGTGCTTATATTCTGACAAATATATGTTTGGCACACTAATGCACCAAAACAACCCCAAAATGACTACCAGTATTTCTATTCCTCTATATTTACATTTTTGTCCTGCTTAGCTGGTATCAGCATAGAATAGAAGCTTGGATTCATTTTACTGCTTATTTTTACAGTGCAAATCTTCATTATGACCAGTGGCATATCTCGAGTCCAGCTATTATATGAGGGGCATTGATCCAGGGGGGGGGGGGGTGCACCATCTTACTCAGTGGATGAATTTCCATAATTATAGATATACAGCAAGGCCAATTTACTTTCTTCTTTTCTTTCTTTCTTTGCCTCTCTCTTCTTTGCATTTACCCATCTTTGGTGTCCTATTCCCTGTGGCTAATTATTATAATTATTATGTGCGCCATCTACACGTTCGTAATGGCGTTATCACAGTTTTTCCTTCATAATCTTTTTTGCCTTCGGCGTAGACTAGAAGGGATGAGATTGATTTAGATGACTCCGGCAGCGAGAGTTTAACACGGCTTGCAAGATTTTCAACATGGATGTCGATTTTGACCCATAATTTCCTTAAAAGGGACCATTAAACGGATTATTTCAATCAAGTTAGTAAGTGGAACCGATGTATTATAGCCTAGAAATCTAGGCCTAATTTACATTTGGATATACACGAGGTAAAATGACATTTTGGGGGATTTTGGGGGCAAAACGCTACACGACCTGAAATGGCCGTGGCATTATCAAGGGAATGTGTATAGACGGTTTCCGTCTCTAAAGAGAGAGCCGGCCGACCCTACCCCAATTAAGAGGCTAACGAACGAAAGAGACGGAAACTTCGGTCTAGCCAAGCACCTGCGCCTGCTGTCTTTCGATCATCTCTGTAACTCCAGGAAGCTCCGGGCATCGGCGTCGAAGCTGGAGTTATTTTCTCTCACTCTCTGCAGTTAGGATCTAGACTAGAGTCTTCTTCTTCTTCTTCAAGATAATCTGCCTCCTTCAATACTGAAGATTCTTGCAGATGCCGTATACTAGTCTACTCGGCCTGTTTTGGGGTGTGCAGGTTGACCATTACACCGCGGGTTTCCCCTAGACAGAAATAACCATCTGATTTGGGTCATTTCTTTAATAAAACTGACATTTGTTGTCTATAATCGGAGGTCTAGTGGAGCCAGACGTAGTCTCAGTGGAACAACCGACGATTAGAGAGACTGAAGCTTTCGGTCTAGGTTTCCCCTATTAAACTCCAGGAAGCTCCAACACCGGCGCCGGAACGGCGCCGGTGTTGGAGCTTCCCGGAGTTAGGTTTCCCCTAGACCGAAAGCTTCAGTCTCTATAATCGTCGGTTGTTCCACTGAGACTACGTCTGGCTCCACTAGACCTCCGGTTATAGAGACAGAACGATCGCCTATGCCAGCCTATGTTGAACTTATTCCGCTAGATTTTAGCCGCTAGGCCCCTCCCACAAACTTGCCACGGCCGTATTGTTATGCCCCCAAAATCCCCCAAAATGTCATTTTACCTCGTTCATTTCCAATTTTAAATTAGGCCTAGGCTATAATACATCGGTTCCACTTACTAACTTGATTGATATAATCCGTTTAATGGTCCCTTTTAAGGAAATTATCGGTCAAAATCGACATCCATGTTGAAAATCTTGCAAGCCGTGTTAAACTCTCGCTGCCGTCAATCTCATCCTTTCTAGTCTACGCCGAAGGCAAAATGATTATGAAGGAAAAACTGTGATAACGCCATTACGAACGTGTAGATGGCGCACAGTTTTTCCTTCATAATCATTTTGCCTTCGGCGTAGACTAGAAGGGATGAGATTGACGGCAGCGAGAGTTAAACACGGCTTGCAAGATTTTCAACATGGATGTCGATTTTGACCGATAATTTCGTTAAAAGGGACCATTAAACGGATTATATCAATGAAGTTAGTAAGTGGAACCGATGTATTATAGCCTAGGCCTAATTTAAAATTGGAAATGAACGAGGTAAAATGACATTTTGGGGGATTTTGGGGGCATAACAATACGGCCGTGGCAAGTTTGTGGGAGGGGCCTAGCGGCTAAAATCTAGCGGAATAAGTTCAACACAGGCTGGCATAGGCAGTCGTTCAGTCTCTATAACCGGAGGTCTAGTGGAGCCAGACGTAGTCTCAGTGGAACAACCGACGATTATAGAGACTGAAGCTTTCGGTCTAGGTTTCCCCCTACTCTTGTACATGTACACAGAGATCCAAATAGTATTAACCAGGTTCAGATACCTCGACAGCTTCAATCACATCATGACATCAAAACAATTTACATTAAGCTATAGTATTAGGCCTAACGGTTATCAGATTGAATTCTGCAAAATATTTGAAAATGTATAATTATGAATGCACTTACCGGCTTACCGCCGACGAGACCAAACCAGCTGGTAACTTTTTGACCAAACGGAGCAGAGATATGATAGTGCAGTGACCAAAGGTAGCGGGTAGTCTGCAGGCACAGACCCTAATTTGACACTTAATCAAAAAATCAAGTTGTGCCTTGAGAGAAGTCTAGCCCAGCTACCTAAAATGATTTTATGTTGACAGCCTGTCTGGAATCTCCGCAAAATGCGAACAATTGAACAGTGTCGTTTTTTTTTTTCCCTCCCTTTTTTTTTGTTTCCATTTAAATTATTAAAAAACTTGAATTCGGCGTAAATATTCACAATTGAATGACACACGCCCTTAAAACTAAAACAACAACAACAACAACGGTTCTGCTTCTTTTTATGTACCAGCATTCTCCCTTCAACAAGCCAAACGATTGGCGGATCACACCTCATCTTTCAGAGCCGAATTGGCTGCAATTGTCCTTGCGCTTAATTGGCTGTTGGCATTGTTATTTTTTGTGATTCCGTATAAGCGCCCTGCTCGCCATAAAGGATGAAAAAGATATTACATTAATTTTGTAACTGAAATTATTACATTAAGTACAAAATTATCGTATCAAGGAAAACACATACACTTAGAATGGATTCCTAGCCATTGTGGTGTACACGGAAATGAAATGGCAGATTTTTATGCAAAATCTGCTTTACAAAATAACATTGAAATTTGTAATAAATTATCCTTTTCTGAAATAAAGAGTATTATTACCAGCAAGTATATAAAACTCTGGCAAGACAGATGGAATAATTCTGATAGCTCTCTTAGACATATACTGCCTACAGTAAATCAACCATATGAATGTAAGTTGAACAGATTTGAAGAAAGTATATATTCTCCATAGATTAAGAATAGGAGTGATATGTTTGAACTTAGATCTCTTCAGATTGAATATACACTCGACAGGCCATTGCAATAACTGCATAGGACGTACTGAAACTGTAAACCACTTTCTCACTGAATGCCCAAAGTACAGTATTGTCAGCTGTATAGAGTAAAATGTTTATGTGTTACATGCGTACGCAGGGGGTGTTTTGGGGTAATTCTGTCCCTAAAAAAAACACGAAGTGGAGGGAAATGAGAGGGCCAAAATAAGAAAAGACAGAGAGAGGGAAAGAAGTTTCCAGAATTCCCGCTGAACTATTGAAATTAGGATTTCGATCGGGGAACTGTACATTTATCTTTGTGTTTTCTCCAAGTAATTGTATGCAGCTTGACCTTTTGTGTATTATATTCTTGAATGAATTACTATATCCATACACTTGAAGTTTTGTTCAACGGTGCTTTGCTTTTTAATTTGCTAGGGTGACTAATACGCATTTTTAACCAGGTGACTCTAGGTATATGGACTGTGCTAATATATTTGTATACAAATTTTCTCATTCCATTATGTTATAAAATTCCCCTATAATTACGTCTTTCTCTACTGACTCTACTGCAACAGTTTTTTCATCTATAACACTGGCGTAGGATCCGGGAAGTTCCTAATTAGCCCCCCTCGGTCAAAATGGGGGGGGGGGGGCCGGGGCGGGGATATCCTTCCGCCTTCCCCCTACTTTTTATTGCTAAAACCCCTTATTTTAAATTGTGCATTTTTATAATAAGTGTCCTTTTCCCTTTGGATATATACCCCCTTTTCTTTTCACCATAAAGTGTACTCCTAATTAATTTAAAGCGACTAGAGCATTTTTTCAATATAACCCAAAGCTCGCTCGCTACGCTCGATCGCATTCTAAGTTAATATGATTTTGTTTCTTATTAAAGATTTTATTCAGTCTTTCATGATTAGGATTGTTTTTCCTCTTTTTAAGATATAATTTAATTTTCACACTGCGACTTCACAAATCTTTAAATTTGGGCTCGCTCGCAAATGAATTCATCCCTAATAATCTAATCATAAAGTAGGGGTATAAGGGCCTACCAATGTCTAAAAGTTATATTTTTGCTTTGAGGTTTCGCTTTGTGAGTGCTCCTTTTTTCCATAAAGTGCCCTTTTTGTCCCCTCCCCCCCCCCCCCCCCCCCCACTTTGAAAGACGCTCCGCCGCCCCTGATCCAAGGGTAGATGTGATAGTTAAATCTCGCAGAACATAACGTAATCCCTCATGGCGAAACTCCTACGTACATGTTCACAATTTCTATTTGGTTTTTTTTTTAAATTCATGATGAAATTGAAACGTGCTTATACCATTTACATATATGATTTCTATTACATAATGTCTGTCCTTTGTTCTGTAAAATGTGGAGAAAAAAACAAACTTGAAATGCAGGAAAAAGCCCAGGTTTTTTAAAGCTAGGATATCAAAATTTGTGATGTTGGATAGAATTAACCCTTCCACACTCACACTTGTTCGGTTGCTTATACCTCGCGGGGTTCACATCGTTGATGCCATCAAATTTTAAAACAACCCCCTTGAAAAAATCATGCGTACGCCACCGATGTGTTATATAATTTTGTGTTTGATCATATTACTTTTCTGCTCATTTGACTATTGTTTATATCTATTTCAAGGAGGAAAACTGCTTCTGATAAACCCTAAAAATTGTATTAATTGTATTTCATACTTAACAGGTAAAGCATGTAAAGTGAAATTATTCTTAACACCTATTTAGTAACAAAAATGGTATATTTTATGTTTGTTTTGCAATTTCTCAATGCTAATGCCCCAGAATTGTACTGGTTGATGATGCAATTTGAATAGCTGATGAAATGTTAGAGTTTTGTTGAATAGATTTCTTCTTTCGTTTTGTAAGTTAAAATTTGATTTAAAAAAATATAATAATGGTGAAAACAGTGAGGTGATGTTCACCTTACACTGGAGGTGACATTCAAAACAGTTGGTCCCCCAAAATGAAAATAGATTTAGATGTCACCTTTAAAACTAGTGATCATGTTGTTGAATAGCACATAATTGTTCTGATGCAGGTGTTGTTGTTGTTGTTTTAGTCTTAAAGGCGTGTGTCATTCATTTATTACAGTTTGGTAGCCTTAATCCAATCCGTTACTTTTATAAGTTCAATATTTGCTCATTTAGATGAGAAAATATATCTTTTAATAAGTGATGTAAAGCAGATAGTCCATGTGACGATTTATCGTTTAATTTCATTGCGATTTGTTACTTGTATTTACACATTGTACTCGGTCGTGAATAAATTTGAAAATATTTAGTTAGATGTTGACAATGAATGTTATCATCATCTGTAGTGGTGTCATGATATTTACTTTTTATCAGGGATGCCAGTTTTCAGGCAACAGCCTGAATTCAGGGCATGGCAAGCTATTTCCAGACCATAGTTTCGGCTGTTTTGCTTACAAAATAGCTCATTCTAGGTGATTTTCAGGCCTTCTGATCAATGCTTACTGCATGGCATCCCTGTTGTTCGATTAAAAATTGTACATTATTACACTATGTATGTCTTAAATTTTATGATTATCCATGTGTTTATATATATATCTTGGTGAGAATTAACTATTTTTTAACAAGACATAATAAAGTGACAAGAAACAGACATTTTTATGATATTCTCGTTCGTGATATCTCATTTAGAAAAGTGTCTGTTGAGTTGGTTACATCTAGTCTGTTAAATTTTCGACTGGATGAGCAATGTGTTAGTCCGCTAGGCTCTCTATATTGCAAGGTGCCCAAATGAATGGAATATTTGATGTATATGATTAAGATTTAAGCAGCACACCAAGACTAAAGAATAATACTAAATATGAGTTTTTTATTTCAACACAATTAAACCTTAACACTACCAAAATAATGATTTAAACAGTAATTAAATGATAGGCCTATCTAAACTACAAAAATATTTAGTTCTGACTGAACACTTTTGCACAGTTTCATAAGCTTGTAGGTAACTAAAGATAATAATAACAATAAACAGGAGTTGTGATTTCGTATAGTTTTTTACAACTTTAATTTCAGCTAGAGAGATAATATAACAAAAAGAGATCAAGATGTGTGGTTTAAAACAATGGAATCACGTCACAAGCATTAGATGCTTCAAGATATATTGATTCGTTTCTCAAAACTATTACATAGTTGCAGCAGCATTAAATGCTGGAAAATCTTTGTTGGCGAGAAACAAAATAAAAACGACACATAACCCTTGGTTTGTGAGGATGAATTGCTAAATAACAGTACACGCGAGAGTAAACATTTTGAGAGCTATGCAAAATGAATGTTGGTGACATGCATGGATATCTGTGCAGTGTGAGTTTTCAACCCAAAGCGGTTAAAATAGCATTAAGTAACATATTTTTGGCAGTTAACATTGTCACTGTGCATTGTAAATCTAAGGCAGTATTTACAACCTACCAGTAAGTAATTTATCAAAAATATCAACAACTGCATTCTTTTCCGAAATCTAATGTTCACCTAGAATTTTTTTTTTTTTTAATTTAGAATAACCTTCAGTAATAGCAATAATGCCCCCCCCCTTCCCCTACAAAAAATGATTGTTTTACTACATTCTCACATGAGAGAACATTCTGGAAGACATGGTATTGTCTTTGTTTGGTATGGATTTTGCTTCAAGCCTACAACACTGAGTTCTGATTTCCCACAGCTTTTGAAGACACCCTATATAATATTACTCACAATATATACCGGTAGATCATGAAGAATTTATTACATGTTAAACTATAAATTTCAGTTTTAATGGCAGCACCCATATAGAACAGAATGTCCTTCAAAATGCAAAATGAATGATGGTGACATGGACGTCTGTGCAGTGTGAGTTTTCAACCCAAACCGGTTAAAATAGCATTTAAGTAACATATTTTTGGCAGTTAACATTGTCACGAAGAATTTATTACATGTTAAACTATAAATTTCAGTATTAATGGCAGCACCCATATAGAACAGAATGTGCTTCATTTCAACTTCCTAACAAGCAAGAATCAGCTAGAGTTGACAGTGTGGCATTTGTCTGGTGTTTTGATAAAGTTTTAGTATATTATACTCGTCATAATAAGGAACATATTGAAGCTAACATCTTAAGTATTCAACAAAGGCCCTAATTCAACCAGTCCACTTTTCATTCTTGAGTTACAAAAATGGCACACAAAACATAAAATATATAAAGGTTATGAACAATTTAGTTTTAACTGTACAAAGTCGGGAACAGTTCAGCAATTACTAAACAAAACCAAATGAAAATGTCTGTAAGGATAAGGAATAATAATAATGTAATAAATAATAAGGAACTTATTGAAGCTAACATCTTAAGTATTCAAAGGCCCTAATTCAACCAGTCCACTTTTCATTCTTGAGTTACAAAAATGGCACACAAAACATAAAATATATAAAGGTTATAAACAATTTAGTTTTAACTGTACAAAGTCGGCAACAGTTCAGCAATTACTAAAGCTATGGTCACAAATCAGAGCAGCGACCGACCGATCAGTAGCCTGCTCGGTCGCTGCTGGAATTAAGCATCGCCCAGCAATTAGGTCAGTGCCCGGGCGGCGACCGCCCAGGCACCGAGCGTATTTTAACTCCGCGCTAAAACTTCAGCGGCGACCGAGCGATGCCCTAAAAACGAGCGGTGCCTGGGCGGCCGCCGCTCGGTGGCCGGGCAGCCGCCGGGCAGAATCGGTTAAAAACTCGCCGCTCAGCCGCCGAGCAGGCTACTTTTGGGTAATGTGACCATAGCATAAACAAAACCAAATGAAAATGTCTGTTTGAAGCCAGAGAGCATTAGCTCGGTGTTTAAGTATATGACCTAACCATTCTAGCTTGAAACAGGTTTCTTATACAATTACACTTGTAGATGATTTTGACATTTCCCCCCCTAGTGTATTCATGCATGAAGAAGAGATACGAGAGCAACCACCATTTTGGCTGTATAATACGATTATTTAAGCAAAGTAGAAATATGTGGCAATGCAGAAACGGCAAAATTTCAGTTTCCCACACACTAGAAAGTTTTAGACTGTATTTTCAAGCAGTTGATCATATCTATTTACAATGTACCAGTAATCAATTTTTTTAAATAAAAAAGGTTTTAAAAAATTCATTTAAAATGGCTAAGTACTCATAAATAGTGGTAGAAGATTCCATATGAATATAATTATTATCATGGCCTCTCAACACATATAGACAATACAAAGCAAACAGAATTGCAGCATAATCATGTTTTTGACATAATAGTTACATGAAATTACCTGCGGCCCCTACATGAATGTTTCAAAATTCTTAAGAGCATTCAAACAAATTTACAAATCCAGTTACACACCCCCCCAAAAAAAAAAAAATCGTAATTTTTTTATTGATTATAATTATGAATTTTGTATAATACACATATTACATTGATCCAGGCTCAATTTAACTTGGGCTTTTAGCATTCAATGAATACATTCGCAGTGCTTGGCTATTTTAATAAATTGCCCACAGACCCTGTATTTCATTGGGGGGGGGGGGGGAGGGGCTAAACTAGAGTCTTATATATATCTCTTAAACACAATTTCCCAATGAATAAGACATAGCTGTTTTCATATTGAAAATACATGACTTGTTAGAATTACTTATGAAAAGTGAGTACATATACAAACTAGAATTTAATTCGTCACGAAGACGAATAAGGTGGTCTGTCTAAGTCTTATGATAGATTTGAGAATGGGAGAAGTTATATAGACATGTAAACAATGATGATCATGATGAACATGGTGATGATTATGATAGTAAAGGTGATGATGATGATGATAATGATAATGTTATATGATGATAAAAACGATAATGTTAATGATGATGATAATGATCATGATCATGATGATGTCGATGATGATCATCTTCAGACCATAATGATGATGATGGTGACATTGATGATGATGATGATGATGATATTGATGATGATGATGATGACGATGATAAGTATGAGCATGATCCTGACATCTGATTGAAAAAATGAGGAAATATTTAGATAGCATATAGTCTCAGCTACAACATACTAAGATTTGGTTGAAAACTGTTTTGAATAACATCCGAGAAACTGGTCAAAACAGAATCCAGATTTGGAAAAAGTCATCTTCCATAAGGATTACACGCAAAAAGTAATGGATGTAGTGATAATAGGGTAATAATAAAGTAAATATGGTTGTTTATTACATTATTGGCGATTGTACGTGTTTTAATATTCAAAGGAGATGGTAGAGTGAAAGGTCAAAAAGAAAAAAAAGTGAAGAAAAAAAATTGTTGGAGACGCCCGGACTCGAACCAGGGACCTCGAGGTCGGAAGTCAAGTGCGTTACCGATATACCAAAACATTTCCCTTAGAGATTACACGTAAACGGAAAATGAAATTATCAAATGCCACTTTCTAAGTGAAATATGAGCATGATCCCGGCATCTGATCGAAAAATAAAGGGCACACTTGTGATAGCTTATTTTCTCAGCTACAACATACTCAAAGCTCAGCGTAAACAAAGATAAAACGACGGAGATATGGGTCTGATTGTGACGTCACAATAGAGTTCGTGTATGGTGCGCATTTTGTTATACGCGTAATATACATTGTCATTGTCACCAGCAGCTGGTGCGCGATGTTATTTACAACTGGCTCGATTATTTCTCACGAGTTTGACACGCAAACAATTGTGGGGTCAACTTGCATCCTAAAGAGCTATAATGTATTTTGTATAGGCATGTTTTTGACGATATATGCTATGTATTACAAAAGCTCGCACGCACAGACATTTACCTTAAACGGACGCTCATTTCCTTATTAATGGTCATAAAGAGATAAACATGGTATCGAATTGATCGGAAAAAATGGGAAATACTATGATAGACAAATAATGACTATTTAAGGTTGCGTTCGACCATTACGAACAAAAACGTGCGCGCAAATTTATGCGAGCGGAAAGGTGTGCGCACGCAAAATTCTCGAAATGCTTGAAATGGCCTAAAACGTACTCTAATTTGATCAAAAAGTGATTATGAGCATTTTTTGTTTTTGCGCGCTCGACGCGCGGACGGACGCGTACGCGCGCGTTTATTGACCTAAGTTGACCGGACGGATATTGACCATAATCGTTATAAATATGAATGAGAAATGATTTACGGTTATGAAGATATGATCATGAGTTGATTCTCAGATCACTTCACAAAATGGCGCCTAGATGACGTCATGATATTTTGATGAACTTGAAAATGTTCCTGTCACGTCTTCAGATGATGACCTATCACTGTGTTAAATTTGAAAGAAATTGGACGGTTCAATTTTGAGTAATCGTGCACACAAAAAAGTGGTCACAAATTTATTTTAATTGAATTGTGTTTTTGTACAAATTCAATTAAAATACTAGAATTTAATTCGTCACGAAGACGAATAAGGTGGTCTGTCTATGTCTTATGACAGATTTGAGAATGGGAGAAGTTATATAGACATGTAAACAATGATGATCATGATGAACATGATGATAATCATGATAGTAAAGGTGATGATGATGATAATGATAATGTTATATGATGATAAAAACGATAATGTTAATGATGATGATGAGCATAAGCATGATCCTGACATCTGATTGAAAAAATAAGGAAATAGTTAGATAGCAAATAGTCTCAGCTACAACATACTAAAATTTGGGAGAAAACTGTTGAATAACAACCGAGATACTGGTCAAAACACCTTGTCATGCAGATTTATGTTTTGAAAAAAGTGACCTCCCATAGACATAACACGCAAATATGACAAATTATGCATTGTCGCCTTTAATCGAATATTTCACTATGATGACGTCATAGAAATGAAAAATAAATGACATATTTCTGATAGAGAATTATCTCAGCTACAACATATTAAAATCTGAGAGAAAAATAATCACAGATAAGTGAGATAATTTCAATTAAACAAAGACAAAAATTACGTCATCAACAAAATACATTTGTTTGAGTTTAGATGCCAATATGATGACTTTATTTCACTTTGTACGAGTCAGGGTGGTATGAAATCATATCTCCAACTCATGCTTTTTCCAACCATGATATAAAAAATGGGGGTCAATGGACTATCTGAAAAGCTATATCGATTTTTAAAATGGCATGTTTTTGATGAAATTTGCATTATATTGCCCATAGCAGCACGCGCGGATTTTGAACTTTGACGCACGCTCACGGCCTTATGAAATATGAAGAGTGACTGAAATTAATGTAAATTGTTAATTACATTAAGAGGAATCCAAATCATGTAAACATTTTGAATTTGACCTTTTTCGCGCGCTGTGAGCGCGCACACCGCGCGCGGGGACACAAACGGACGGAAAATGTTGAAATGCTTAAAATGACCTGATTCGTACTCTCGTTTAATAGTTAAGTGATTTTGAGCAATTTAAAATTTTGACGCGCACATACGCGCGCGTCATGACCTTTATGTGACCTTTGATGACATGACCTGTTGACCCTGGACCTAAAGTATATGTGATATGAATATGAATGACCTTTGCTGATGCATCATGAAGATATGATGGATAACGTGATTTCACAAAATGGCGCCTGGATGACGTCACGATAACCTAATGACCTTGAAAATGTTCCTGTCACGTCTCATTACAATGACCTATAATTGTGCCGAAATTTAATGAAATTAACTAAACCAAACTTGAGTTATCCGGGCCACAAAAAACGGGGAGAAATAAAAATAAAGAATAATAATAATAATAATAATAATAATAATAATAAAGAAAATTCTGACGAAATCAATAGGTGGTCTGTTGATAACAGACCACCTAATTAAAAAATAGGTAGGAAATATCACTATACATGTAGGTGAGCTCATGAAGTACATTGCTCATGCCTTGACTGGACAATGGTCTGTAACATCTTCTCCATGTTTCCAAATGGAAACTCTACCAAGACACACATGGCCAAAGCACAGGAATGCGCCAGGAGCACAAAGGCCGCAAACAGGTGACTCTGTGATGGTCAATAACAAAGAAGGAATCAAGATATTATTACGTAGAGGTATCATGGTGTAGTGGATACGTACATCACCAGACTGTGGATCACATGGTTCACGATTCCATTCCCCGCCGTAGGAATAATCTCCTTTGGCAAGACATTAAAGCCCAAGTCCACTCCAAAAATAACTTACTTTCAATAGAAGCAGAAAAATCAGACTAACCAATCAAAAAAAGTCTGACCAAAATCGGAAAACTAATAAGAAAGTCATGAATTTTTAATGACATTCAAAACTTTGAAAATCACTAGACAAATTGGCAACTCACTCATAAGTCTGTGACGTCATGTCCTCACTATCCACTAATTATTTTCTTTATATTGATGATATAAACTTCCTATTTTCTCCTTAAGAATCTCATTTCTTCACACCAGCATCCAAGTTAGATTAAAAGTAATATTTTTTTGTGTGGATGCACTATATAATAAAGAGTAATTTTTTTTCCAGTTAAATCATGAAAACTGTAAATTTTGATAAACTATTTATATAAAAATCAATAATTATGAATATACAATATTCAGAAAATAGTATAAATTCTTCAAAGTTCATAAAAGATTTTGTGAAATGTCATGCACGCAATATGATACAAATCATATAACCTTGGCAAAAGGCATGGGGAAATCAAGTTTTGGGGAATAAAAAGGGAAATTAATGGGATTAAACCATATAGAGCAATTGATAAATAGTGAGGACATGACGTCACAAACTGATAACCATCTTGGCAGTTTGTGTTGTGATTCTTATTGTTCCATAATTTTACAAACTTTTTCAAAAATTCATCACTTTCTTATTAGTTATCGTTTTGCTCAAACTTTTTTTGATTGGTTTGTCTAGTTTTCTGCTTTTATTGGAAGTAAGTTATTTTTCGAGTGGACTTGTCCTTTAATATACATTTGCCATTCTCCACCCAGGTGTTAAATGGGTCCCCGGTAGGATGTGCATTTTAATACTGTTGGATTGGCCTGGCTTGAATACTCCCCCAAGAGCGACCATGTGCACTATCATGTGCGGTTTAGCAATTAAATCCAATGACGGGGGTAATAATATTTACAATGTGAAGCTCTTAGAAACGTAGTATTAAGCGCCATAAAAATGTTACTACAGTCAAACCTGTCTATAGCGACCGCCCAAGGGAAACACACAAAGTGGCCTTTGTAGACAGGTGGTCTTTGTTGACAGGTTCCTTTAGTACATGATTTAATGAGAAACCATTTTCAAGGGAAACAACAAATGTGGCCTTTGTAGACAGGTGGTCTTTGTAGACAGGTGGTCACTAAAGCAGGTTTGACTGTATATCCTTATTGCTTTAGCTTTTGATCTGTGGCTCAACAACTCTGGGACAAAGCCGTACATTTCAAAGTGATTGCACTTGAGTTGACTGCTTGAAATACATCTGGGCCTCACTACATAAAACTGGCTGTTGAGTGACGTTGCTATGGTAGTTAATATTGATGGCAAATTTACCATCATTCGTGAGTGTTATGCAACAGGGCCCAGAGCATCATTTCATGAAACTGTCATATATAATAGTACACGTTCACTAACATCCCATTGAAATACGTGTTAAATTCAATTCACGCATTTCAATGCGTTGTCGGCGAAATTATACTTGGTTTCATGAAACGCTGCCCTGAAACATATCCTAATCTTTCTTTACATTTCATATTGGGCCACCCCAACCAAACTAGACCTCTATACGATCGTTTCCCCGATCAGCTCGACCTTTACTCGACCAATACACGATCGCTCTACGATCGCTTGCCTACTCGACCACTATACGATATTTTTTGACATGCCAAAAATTGTTGTGTAGGAAGCCAGATCGATACCGATCAAGGTAGACCGACCCCGATCAAGGTAGACCGACCCCGATCGCCCTTTCCGACCGAGCCCAACCAGGCCAAAATAGCTTGATCGAGCTTGGTCGGGTTGGTTTGATCGGCAGTGGGAACCTACCATAATGGGCCAGGATCTTGTTTGCCATGGAAACAGCAAAGACCAATATCATAAAGACATTCAAGAAATCAACTCAAGCTAGGCAATTTCATTACCCCATTCTAAATAGAAATCCATAAAGCTGTTCGTAAAGTTTTTAATAATAATAATAAAAATAATTCAACATTTTTATATAGCGCACAACACATAGGCAAAATTGCATGTCTCTATGCAATTTAAGAAAAGAAAAGAAAAATGCACTGAGTTCATGATTCTGATTGTTTATGAAGTGGTGAAGAGATATGTGGTTTTATAGGATCCTGTGCTTTGTATAGGATCCTGTGTATATGAAGAGCCAGATAGCATGCCCACAGTTTTTCCGTGATATTGTCAATAACCTCAATTAAATTATGGCAAAAAATATACTGTACATTAAAAATGTTTGTTATCATTTAAAGAATGTTAATCTACATCTGCACAGTTTAACTTTAGTTGATGTATTTAATAATGATTGAGCATCCCATCTGGCTTTTCATATACAAGTCGTTCGTAAAGTCATGCGTAACTTTACGAACAGATTTATGAAACACACCCCCCCCCCTGTACAGATTACTTAATATGTCATTGTCATGTCTGTACATTTCAAACGGTGCTGCACATGGCTACTGAAATAGGGTAAGTTTGGTGTTGCAAAGTCTTTGCAATTGCATTAAAGCCTACTATCATTACGAGACCAACCAGTCCAAATAATTCACCCCTTGCTGAAAATCATTTAATTGTATTTTGAGTTTTTGTTAAGTTGTGCATAAATAAATAATAATAATAATAATAATGGGTTCTTGTATAGCACACATGTCAGTCAGATTTGACCCTCCTGGCGCTCCCGATTATTACCCTGGCTTTAGCACGGCTGCCATACGGCGCTCTTGCATTTCAAGGAATAAATTCCTACCAGGTACCCATTTACTTCACCTGGGTGGAGTGTGGCAAATGTAGATCAATATCTTGCCAAAGGACATTCAAGTGCGGCGGCGGGACTTGAACCGCGGACCTTGTGATTGACAGTCCAGCGACGTATCCACTCGACCACAACACCTCTAAAGGGACTGTAAATGTCATAAAAACAAACATATGATTTTTATTCTAGCAAACACTGGAACGAATTCCCCCCCCCCCCCCCCCCTCTGAAGCCTAATTTTTACCAAAAAATAATAAATGGATAATTCAAAAGAAGCCTAGTTATTTTCTTTTTGAGTCTAGCTAGTAACCTGCTCATGCAGCTGTAATCTGATGTCTGTGAATTTGAGGATGGTATTTAAAAAAAACTTGAGTTTGCTAAGAGTAGAGACTTACCAATGTTATAATTGACCAATGAATAGGAAGAGCTAAGCTGTAGCCATACAGGCTCTGTATGATGGGGTGTATAAGGTAGGTTGAATATGTCAATCGACTGAGGGGCACCCAGAAGTTCCACGACAAAATGTCATTGACCACTCCTGGAAAGAGTAAAAAGCAATGGCATAAAATATTATCATTAAACACACACAGGAGATGTCTCTCTCAACTTTACATTAACATAGCCAGCTTTGCACAGGTATTAACTAATGACCAGTCCTGATTTTGAATTGTTATGACAATTCATGTTATATTATATACTGTAGTATAAAATACTTGTAGTATAAAATATAACATAAGGTTCAGAATAACACCCCTGAAATATTAAAAACTGATGCTTAAGTTCATTGTTTGCTGATCACCAGAAGCAGGGGTAGTTCCCACAATTGTCCAAAAGATTACGCAAAATTTCTTCATTTTTACAGTTCCTAAGAACATTATTTTAGACATGGAAGAGGATCGAGTGAAATTGTCCTTATATTTTCCAATGGATATTGCACCAGCCCTCCCACAGCTCCAAATGGTGGGGCCATGGCCATTCTCTTGGTCAGCCAATGAGAAGGGTTTTAACTCTATCCTTAGAATATGAGCACAATAGGTCCACAATCAACGTCTCTCCAAGAAACAGTGCAGGAAAAATGTCTTTTCTGTCTGTTGCAGTAAAGTTGTGGAAACAGCTACCTACTATTGTGAAGACTGCTTCTTCCGTCGAACAATACAAGAAACTTCTAAAGTCCCAATTATTTTCTTACAGAGGATAATGGACCGTATTGACTGACCCTGTCTTTTTCAAGTGATATGTTATTGTTTAAGTGACCCCAAATATGTGGAACAATGTGTGCAATGCTGTGTAACTGCACGGAAAACGTGCTATATGAAATAACTTTTAGATATTTATATGCCCCACTCAAAGATTCTTAGTGGTAAATGGCACCAGGACAACTGCAAATTTCTAGCTCTTCCACATACCTCCGTATCCATAATGGCAGGCGAATATGACCCAGGAAAGAGCCAGGGCCCAGGTGAAGCGGCTGAATGTAAGGTACATGATATCAGCAGCGCGAGTCGTTATGGATGCACCCCTGTTCGCATCATAGAGACCATAGACCACCGCTATGCCCAAGGCGCTAGCAATGGCCCAGCCAGCTGCTACAAATACCTAGGTATGAAATTACATAATTATATAAACATAAATGTATATGTTGGACAATCATTTTATATCTATCATGGTGATTTTGGGTTAATCAGTCTACAATAGTATAAAAATGAACTGTTTATCTACTGCCTGTGTCACAGTCGAGAATCTCCAGATAAAAACACAAATATACAAACAACAAGACTTTTGAGTGGCAAATGAAACATCTGGGTTTTTTAAAACACCAAATTGTGAATTCATTTTGTCTCTCTCTGTATCCTCTGTTGTTTTTTTGAAATACAATGAATAAAAAAAGATTAAAAAAAAACAAAGTCTAAAGTGAGTACGGGGAATGAGAATACAGTACATCTGAATATGCGTAACTTTATGCGCAGCCAAAGATCTGATACAGTGGAAGATTCTTATCTGTGACCCTGGCTCATCTGGAAAAACTTACCAGGTGAAAAACTTTACTACCAGGGGGTAAACTGAATTGAATTAAAATGCATTTAAAAGTGATTGAAATGTAAATAGTGTCTTGAATGGTGGTGTTATTGTAAATATAGATACTTGCGCAGCTATTTTTTTAGAGTACATTTTGCACACATGGAAATCACTTAAATTAAAGGCTAAATTTGTCTTTTATATCACTAAATTAACAGATTTTGTTGGAACAAGAATATGATCCTTCAATCACATTTTAGAATATTTTGTTGACAGATTTCTTCGAATTCAACCACATACAGTAAAAGACTTGAAGTTTTTAATAGAACCATAATGAAGACACGATTAGCATTTTATGCTATTTTCTGGTCCCTATTATTCATCAGAGATATTTGTTAAACATACATTTATTATTATTATTATTATTGTTATATTACTGTATTTAAACGTTTGGATAATAAAAACCTCAACTCAACCACTCTGAGCTAATCGCCTTTCGTTCTTGCTCTCTAGCACTTAAACAAGAGAAGTCTCTTATCATTTGGGTGTACTTACTGGAGATAGTTTAATCTTCTTGTTTCCAATATCATACATGACGTAGCCCAGGGCCATGCCCACAAGGTATGGTGGGATACGACAATATGGTTTGTTGTAGACGATTCCCTGGAAATCTGTTGCAAACATGTATCCAGTACCAGGAGCAGTGACCGCCATACCTCCCGTTCTGATTTTGAATACACAAGGACACAATAAGATTACTTGAACAATACATTTATGTTAAAAATAACAAATTTGTATCTTTTGATAATGGTGGAAAAACATTGTGTTGCTTTTAAAAAAAAAAATTATCTTGTATAATCAGCTATATTCTTGTTGTTGATTCTATTGGTTATATTATGTATGTATATTCACATATGTTTTGTTATGTTTTGTAATGTCGAAAGCAATATTGAATAAAGATGATTTTATTAAAGAAAAAAAAAAAAAAGATTACAGAACGCAATTCAATATGGTGAAAAAAGGCAGCATGAATAACATATATGTAGAATTCTAGACCCCAGCAAATAATGAATTCATATTTTCACCTAAGCTAAATGGTAGTAAAAATCATTTGAAGGGCAATCCTACCCTTACAATAATTATACAGTGCGTCCCAAAAAAAACGAAACCAAGAAGTATCGATGTTTTATCATAACTTAATCACAAATGAATGATACATATTTGGAAAGCTTAGAGTCTCCTCTTTCAGTTGATGCTACTCAGATGATGTATATTTCACACATGAGTGATTAAAAGCAATTTGAAGGAAGGAAACCAAAAAGACATTTGGCGGGCGGTATCTGAATTTCGAAGAAAAGTTCACATTTCTAAAAAGTTGAGTTTCTGCCCTTTCATATGACACCTCAATCAGGAAAAATGAGCGAGGAATAACAAAGTTCTGTTTGTTTAAAGTAGCCCTTACATTTTCATAATTTTAACAAACGAATTCGTTTTCACTGGGTGCCTGCCGTAGCAAAAAGCAGATTTGACAAAAGACTTAACTCCGTTTCGTTGACAATCAGCCATGCATGAAGACTCTCGTCTACGGCTGATTGTCAACGAAACAGAGTTAAGTCTTTGTTAATTTTGTTTATTGATACGGCGGGCAGCCAATGAAAACGAATTTGTTTAATAAAATTATGGAAATGTAAGGGCTACTTTAAACAAACAGAACTTTGTCATTCCTCGCTCATTTTTCCTGATTGAGGTGTCATATGAAAGGGCAGAAACTCAACTTTCTAGAAATGTGAATTTTTCTTCGAAATTCAGATACCACCCGCCAAACGTCTTTTTGGTTTACTTCCTTCAAATTACTTTTAATCACTCATGCGTGAAATATACATCATCTGAGTAGCATCACATGAAAGAGGAGACTCTAAGCTTTCCAAATATGTATCATTTATTAATTATAGTTGTGATTAAGTTATGATAAAACATCGATACTTCTCGGTTTCGTTTATTCTGGGACGCACTGTATTTATATGAAAAAGGAAAAACAAGAAAAACATAGTGGTGGAAGTTTGAAATAATTCAGACTAATAATATTGGAGTTATGAATGTTTAAAATATGAGATCACTAGCAAAGTCTATGCAAATGGATTGTGATAAAGTCATGGCCATTGCAGCTCTCCTGTTTGACATTTACAAAAATATTATAAATTTATATTTCTGATAAGCGTCTTCTCCCTTCGTACACTACTCAAAATATGTTATGGATAAAGCATATCATTATTCATCTAAACAGGAACAGCCCTCCTGAGTTATAAGTTTTGAAAAATTGACATTTTAGTCATTGTGTGTGTATTAAAACATATGGGAAAGTTGTCCCATACCTTCATCACTGTGACATTATCGATTACGCCAAATTTGAAGTGCCCACACATATAGTGATTACAATTTCTATTTGACAGATAAGATGTTTGTTCAGGTTGGATTTTCTTCTGAACATTTTACATGGTTCATTTTCAATGCTCTAACCAAAACATCCCTGGAGGGTTGAATCAATAAGTAAATGACTTAATGTACATTGTATGTAATATCGCTGATGAATAAGCCAATAAGGTTTATTTTCATTACTATTCCTTAAATTTACATTTTTTTACCAAGGGAGCCCAAACTTCAAGTATATTTCAAACATTTCATTAATGCAATGTTTGATCCATTAAAAATCAAGTTACATAACAAGAAAAGCCATTTATTTTAGTAGTTAATTTATTGGCAAAGAGAATTCCAGAAATATTGTGACTTCATAATTCACTACAACAGTATTTTTCTTTTACTGCTACATTGTCAAAATAAAAAGCCTCTGAAAACTTATAGATGAAAAGCAATATTGTTGAAAAGTTGAAAAAATAGCAAATTTTGAGGTAAATGATTTTGAATATCTCAATGTGTTTTTTTCTTTTTTAAATTCCTGGCATCGAACGCAATATAGTCATGAAACAGAAATGGATCCAATGTGTGCAGAAACTTATGCCCATTCTACTCATACATCAGGGGGGTGTTTCACAAAGATTCCAAGTCGAACTTTACTTTCAGTTGGACTTAAAGGTACTATGTCCCATTTGCAGGCCAAAAAAATGAAAAAGTTAAATTCCAACTGCATTTGAAAGATAATACTAACTTAGAACTTCCCTAAAAAAGATGGGGCTTGAAAATGTCTTCAAGTTGGAAAATAACGACTATTAGTCGTCAAATCGACTTTAGGGCTATAGAGCCCAAAAGTAATAGTCTTGATTTTCAGACAATTGTACCGAATGGTCATACGTTTTATGCTGCGCAAAGATTCAATCAGTTTAATCTTGGCCATCACAAGAAGTGGGTTATGGATGTAGACAAATGCTCATGTACCTTTTACAACTCTTTTCATGTATATTATTACCAAAGAAGAAAAAAGCCAGTCAGTCACTCAATAGTGTCTGACAGTGAAGTCTAGCAAGTAAACGGGTTTCCTTGCATAATTTGAATATGAGGACACTGCTAACGTTTAAATTTCACAGATAGGACATACATGACATATTCATAATTCCTGCAAAGTTCTACAGAATTTGAAGTTGGCTGCAAAAGGGACATAGTACCTTTAAACATTATGGATAGCCATTTGTAGCCTTAAAATAAAATATATTCAAAAGCACAAAAAAATCCATTTTTTTTTAGACTTTTCATAAACTCCACATCAAAAACATGCATCTCCTTAAAAATAGAAAATATGAATGATTTAAATCAACATTGTAAGCGTTTTTAAAATAGCTTTTATAAAATACTTTAAAGCTAATGGCTCTGCATAAGTTAAATTTAGGATCTTTGTGAAACAACCCCCTGGCATATTTTTAAGGTCTCTGAAAAAATGTGTCTCACCCTTGGGCTAGAAGTGCAGCCTTGAAGTCTGGATTCTGATAACAAAGCACTGCAGTTGTGATGAAACTAGCCACACATGTGGTGATTAAGACTACCATTCCTTTAAGACCGTACCTATATGAAACAAAGAAAATATACACTCAACATTTATTTGTATGAATAATGGATTTCGTAAAGTCTCACATTAATTTATATATATATGAAAGATTTTCCAGCAAGTTCCTCATTCTTAACAATATTGTCATTATCCTATGACCAATCTTAATGCAGTAAAATGCATTTCCTCCACATATTATAATCTATGACTTAACATTCTATTCTGAATTTTTTAAAAACTAATAATGGTCTTTATCATACCTGATTATTATTATTTTTTGTACTGTTGTGTTTACAATTTTACCATTTGTAATAGTATATGCATATATCGGTATGTGATTTTGAATGTGTCTTTAAATTGTGAACAATTCATCCCCTCGCTGCTTCAGTTACACAATCTCTTTCAAAACCAAAAATAAATAAAATACATATTAAAAAGAAACACTGATTAAAATTAATACTTCTCTCCCGCATATAAACACCTCAACTTGCCAAACTTTTTTTGTAATGAGAAAATATGGATCGTTAATGCTTGGCCAGTTCCTAAAGCCCCACTGCACTACTTATAGCTACTTGTGCCCACTTTATAGCAAACAATTCTAATCAGTGCCTGTTGGTCCCCCATGATCCTCTTTTTGTTATGTTAATTTAGAGCTGATTTGATGAGATAACCACCTGTCAGTGACCTTGCAGGGACGTCTAATCCCTTCTGGCCAAACTAGTGCAAAGGGGCTTTAAATCCTCATTTGCAACTAAGATAAACAGATATACAGTGAAACCTGCATAATTATACAGACCACTAAAGGGAGACAAGAAAAGTAGTCTTTACAGACAATTGATCTCTATATGTACAGGTTCCTTTAGTACTGGTTCAAATATGACAAATGACAAGGCACAGGAAAAGGAAAATGTGGTCTTCATAGACAGGTGGTTGCTATAATGCAGGATTGACTGATTGTTACAAAGATAAATGCAGTTCATGTCAGAAACTTTGAATCAATATTTCAGTCAAAATGTTACAGGTCACATAATACTTGAATCATAGAAAATCTTCAAACATGCATATATAGAGATATAGTCCTACATGTACATCTCTTCAATATTTATAGTTGTATAGAAGCCCCTTGTGTCTTACATAATAGCCCAAGAGAGTTAATAGTAGGTCAAGGTTAGAATTATATCTCTTTCATAGTGCTTCTATCGGAGTCGCACCGATGAAAATACCGATAGCCTTTTGCCTGATGTAAACAAAGGTGAAACTGCCGCTTCCCATGCTGTCCCTTTTATACTGCCGGTGAAATTCACTCGCTGTGGCGAGCCCCGGCAGGAAGTTAATAGTTATTGTGCAATCGCTTGTTAGCTGCTGGCGCGCGCTTTTTTGGATTTGGCAGACAGTGCAGTGCACAGCTGGGTTCCAAAAAAGTGCCAGTACACTAGCTTTAGCCGGAACAAGATAACAACCTTAGTCCGTTTTCATCTGTGTTTTCTCCCGAACCAATTCATAGTGCCGTTTAATTGGAGTCGCACCAAAAAAGAGAATTTCTCCTGCTCAAGATTGAGCAGGAGAATTTCATCGCATATTTCTCTTCTTTTCATTGGCTATTCTATCAGCGTTTTCTCTTCAGCACCATTCATATAGTGGCCGTTTCATCGGATTCGTCCGGATGCATCCAATGAAAATCAGGCCACTATGAAAGGGAGATGAGTGTACTCATCAACAAAACATGTTTTGCTCTTGATGTAAGGGGTTCCATGTTGCTATACCATTGTCAAACCAATTAAGAGCTTCAATTTTGTCTTTATCAAATAATTATCGCACTAAAAAACACCCCATGGACTAGCTGTAAAACATCTTCTAGAGTAGACTACTTAACGCACACGTACGCACTCGCATAGAATAGCTGTACATGGTACGTACTACCCAAGTCAGATTTGGGTTCTTGGCGAGCCCTATATGCAGAGTTTTTTGTTATCCTTTAATTTCTTCTTTACTCCTCAACTGTTTACCTATAGAATGCCAGGTAAAGTTTGTTTTTAGGTTCATTTTAAACATTCTACCTATATATACAAATTATATTTCCAGGTGATTGGAAAAGGAAAAGAAAAGAGCTTTCATTGGGCCAGTGGGACATTGTAGACACAGACCATATGAGACATTGATGGTCTGTGTCTACAATTTCTACAAATCATTGACACCAGAAGTTTCCAGTCATACATACCAATACATGGGAATGAGAAGAAGAGGGCTAATGATGAAAAACTGCATGTCATTGGCCAGGTACCAGCTCCAGGCTATGCACTTCATGGATATAGATGTGATGAATTCATGCAAAATGAGTTTTAAAGATAAAGTTGAGTTCTGGTCATGTGATTGCATTGTGAAAGGGTGTGGAATCAATCAAAAAAGGTTGATCATCTAGCATATAGGCATTGGTGTGTACATCAAGGTTCTGGAATCATCAAAATTATAAGAAATTTGGCCCAGTCTCGGTAAATTTACAAGTACTGTACACATCAGAGAGATTGGACTACACGAACATGTGGCATAAAAATCCGTCCTGATTGTTATGCTGTTACATGCCATGTTTAGAATATGAAGGCAATTGAAGAGCCATGCTTTGCAGGGAACAAATTTTATCTGATATTCTTCCACACTTGTATAATAACAATAATGCTCACAAATTATTGGTCACCTCTTCCAAGAACTCAAGCTTCTCTTTAAACAGTTAGCCATGAGTCTTAGTAGTGCAGTTTAAGTCTATGTGCAGACAGAAAGAATGGAATTTAATGGAAGTATAAACCAAGGAAGGAAATGTTAAAGTAAATACAAGTTACTGAGAGTATTTAACAATAGTCCAGTAGATATATGCCATGTACATGACCGGAAAAGTTGATAAGTACAAGGTTTTTTTGTTGATTTGTGTTCTAGATGGGTATTGAAGTAAATTCAGCCAAGTTGCCAGCTTGGCAACCTTGGGCAACTTTTTTAATAGCCATATTAGCATAATCATCTAATTAGCATATGTGCAATATGTAATAATGTTGCTTAATTATATATCTCAATCCAGGAAGCCTGAAAACATGGATAATACGACTTTTCAAGGGTTTTATATGACAAGGAATTCATTTATGACACCAATTTTTATTTTTAAGTAATACAATTGTCTTAAATAGCATAATTAGCATAATATGTACAATATATAGACTTCATTGTCATTGTTTATCTATAAAGCCTAAAAATGGTGCAATGCAACATTGTAAATCACTTTTGAAAGATTAATCATTAATTCATGGGAAGATATTCTATGTATATGTAGTATAATCAGCCTAATTAGCATAATCATCTAATTAGCATATATGTGAAATATGTAATAATGTTGTTAATCTTAATCCAGGAAGCCTGACAACATGGATAATATGACTTTTCAAGGGTTTTCCATGACGAGGAATTCATTTATGACACCAATATTTATTTTTGAGTAATGCAATTGTTTTAAATAGCATGATCAGCTAATTAGCATATGTACGATATACAGACTTTATTGTCATTGTTTATCTATAAAGCCTAAAAATGGCGCAATGCACCAATGTAAATCACTTTTGAAAGACTACACATTAATTCATTAGAATATATTCCATGTAAATGTTGTATAATTAGCCTAAGTAGCATATACACTGTATGTGCCATATGTTATAATGTTGCTAATATTAAACTAGGAAGACTGAAAACATGGATAATATGAGTTTCCGGGGTTTTCCATGACGAGGGATTCAGTTGTGAAACCATTTATTATTTTTAAGTAATGCAATTGGCTTAATATGTAATTATTGTACTAATATGCCTAATTAGCCTATATGTAGAATATCAATTATTTGGGACTCTATTTAGCTTCACAAATCGTATGTCCAATGTGGTGGTTATCTTGGTCTTAAGGCAATGTTGTTGAACCTCATGAAATGTCTAGGAAATTACGAGGTCATCATACGCATTGATGGTTGGGCTTCAGTCCTAGGATTTAGAGAGACTGTCGGAAACACACTGAAGATGGTTAAAGCAGATGATAATGATGGAATTGATGATGTGGTGAGACAGGTACGTACAGGCCAGGGATGTTGAATACAACAGTGCGAACTATGATCTGTCTATGTTAACCAAAGCCAGAACCATTGAGAGTACAAGCCCGACGTTGCTCAAGCTGGTGGCAGAATTCCTGTATAAGTCATATTATCCATGTTTTCAGGCTTCCTGGATTAAGATTAGCAACATTATTACATATTGCACCGTATACATTCTAATTAGGCTAATTATACTACATCTACATGGAATATCTTCTCATTAATTAATAATTAGTCTTTCAAAAGTGATTTACAATGTTGCATTGCATCACTTTTAGGTTTTATAGATAAAAATGACAATGAAGTCCATAATATATCGTACACATGCTTATTAGCTCATTAATGCTCATTGTGCTATTTAAGACAATTGCATTACTTGGAACCAAAAACTGGTGTCATAAATGAATTCCTCGTCATAGAAAACCCTTGAAAAGTCGTATTATTCATGTTATCAGGCCTCCTGGATTGAGATTAGCAACATTATTACACATTGCACATATATGCTAATTAGATTATTATGCTAATTAGGCTAATTATACATGGAATATCTTCTCATGAATTAATGATTAATCTTTCAAAAGTGATTTACAATGTTGCATTGCACCATTTTTAGGCTTTATAGATAAACAATGACAATGAAGTCCATATATTGTACATATTATGCTAATTAATGCTATTTAAGACAATTGTATTACTTAAAAATAAAAATTGGTGTCATAAATGAATTCCTTGTCATATAAAACCCTTGAAAAGTCTTATTATCCATATTTTCAGGCTTCCTGGATTGAGATAAGCAACATTATTACATATTGCACATATGCTAATTAGATGATTATGCTAATATGGCTATTAAAAAAGTTGCCCAAGGTTGCCAAGCTGGCAACTTGGCTGAATTTACTTCAATACCCATCTAGAACACAAATCAACCAAAAAACCTTGTACTTAACAACTTTTCCGGGTCTGAAAAACTTCTACAGGACTACAAGGCTTTAACATACAGAGTGAGAAAGAAACACAATTATTTGATCTATTACTGGCATGTGTATACAGTACAAACAGTACAAAGCAAATTTTGCCCAAGACCAAAAACAATTTCAAAATAATTGCCTCTCACAAAACAGTTTGAGGGATGACATCACAATTTCTTTCTTAAACTAAATGTATAAAGATTTGTTTAAATACATAATTTTCTACATAACATAAATCGCTATGTGCTCAGCAAAAGGGCACCATCATGATATTCAATCAATTTTCTATTTTGTAGACTTGTAATGAAAGGATAAAGTAACAAAACTAAAAATGCAATCACGGGGTGAGTGTGGCAAATGTAGACCAATGTCTTTCCACAGGACATTAGTGCCCTGGTGGGACTCGAACCGATGACCTTGTGATCAACAGTCCGGTGACGTATCTACTCGACCACGGCACCTCTACCATCATGAAATTCAATCAATTTTCTATTTTGTAGATTTTTAATGAAAGGATAAAGAACCAAATAAATAAGTTACAACCCAACATATAATTTAGAAATTGTATGTACCAAAATGTCCTTTTTAGTGTAGATGTATTTCAAAGAAAAGACAAACTTAAAAAGTATATTTCTAGAAATGTACTTTCTGCTAGTCTTGCAAACTTTGCGCCCTTTTGCTGGGCGCAAAAAAATGACATTTAAAACAGCATTACTAAGTTCTTACATCCTGCTCCACCCCGGGAGGGACAAAGTTATTGATATATAGGAGATCTGTCCACCACCAAGCCCGGCAGAGGTCAACCTTTGCATCAAAACGATATGAAACAGGCCCATGACTCATAGTGGGTAGGAAGAACATCCAGATTAGAATCACCATAGCCAGGGGTGGCGTCAACCTGATGAAAAAAAGAAAATAAAGGTTTTGTGCACCTATGCCGCCGTAACAGAACATAACAGAACACCGCTGCACTTCTCATCACTCACACTAGAAAGCAAGATCACATCACTGCAGTCATCTGCACCCTTGGCTCTTAATCCCAACGTATCCAATTCAAGATCCTTCTCCTCACGTTCAACATCATCCATCATCGCGCACCCTCATACCTGATTGAACTGATCTCACCCAAATAGACAACGGGCATGAACCTTAGATCATCATCTAGACCCCAGCTCGCACTTGGTCCTCGCACCCACAACCACTATGGTTACAGGGCCTTCTCAGTCTGTGCCCCCATATCCATATCCAGGACTCACCCACCGTTGACATTTTCAAAAAGAATCTAAAAACTCATCTATTCCAAAAATACCCAAATAAGTATAAAATAAGTTTGAATTAGTATACCAATGCCTACCTATACAATACATTATGTCTTTTTAAATTGTTGCTATTATTGATATAATGATATTATATGTTAACTTTCCAAGGAATTTACATGTTATGTTAATTTCTTTAGTAATGTAAATTTGTTAAGTTATGTACATTTTGTTTTCTTGGTAATTTAAGTAATGTTAATTCCATTAGTAGTATTGATTGTTCTTGAAGTAATCTTGATTTGTGTACAGCGCTTTGAAACTTTTATGTCACAAGCGCTATATAATTTGTTTGTATTATTAATATTATTATTAATAACTGGAGAAGTTTTTAAGCATACTTTAATATCAAAACATACAGCACTTTACACTTTACCCTTCCATCCCCACTTGCCATTCATTTAGTACACAAAAAGATGAAACTTTCTTTAAAAACTGCAATAGTTTCCTGTGGCATACGTTGGTTTAGTGGTGGTTATTTTACCTGACTGATAAGAAAGCTTAAATGCTTGTTAGTAAGCAACCAAAGGACCGATGGCTTTAGGTCCTCTCTGAGGGACCTGGTAATGAAGATTAATGCCTTACCAAAGAGCACTAGGGCATCAACTTGGTTTTGAACACGAACCTGTGAATGAGCGTCAAGAGGCTTTGATGTTTGGCCAAGTAACTTTTTATTCAGATGATAAAAATTGTGATAAAATAAAAAATATGATAAAAATTTTACTTTGTAATCAAGACACTACATAAAATATAGAATTAAGTGTGCGGGCACCTTGCAACCTAATACATGATTTATATAAACAAAACTAGAAATGCGATCGTTGGTTGAGTGTGGCAAATGTAAATCAATGTATTGCCAAAGGACATTTATGCCTTGACGGGACTCGAACCTATAATATATATAAATCATTATGTGCGGTCAATTTGATACATGGATGTCATGAGATTTGGGCATCACATTGCCAAGAATTATCCTGTTTCTAAATGTTGCGAGCAAAACATTATGCACCAATGGACGGACCTATTGGCATTGTGCAACACAATGGCTTAGCAAAGTCACCAATTTCTGGTTTTGTTTAGCTCTATGACAAAACTTTTATCACCGTTATAGATTAATCTTGCATGGGAAACAGTTTAATATTCTTGAAGTCTTTGGTTTATCTACGCCATGACAAATACGCGGTACTGGGATATTATTTGTATCATTGTATGGCATAAATAAAACAAGTTAAAGGGGAAAATTCATGGTCTACTTGAAAAGCTAAACAGAATACATTACCATCTATGGGGAGTGTTTCACAAAGTCGAACATAACTCTAACTTGGACTTAAATATTATGGAGGGGCCATTTGTAGTCTTAAAATAAAATTTATTCAAAAGCAAAAACTCAAGTATTTTAGACTTTGCATAAATTCCACATCAAGAACATGAGATCTCCTTGATAATAGAAAATATGAATGATTTGAATCAACATTTTATGCCTTTTAAAATATCTTGTACAAAATATTTTCAAACATGCTAACAGCTTTCCATTAATTGTTAAGTCCAACTAAGATAAAATTTCAACTTAGGATCTTTGTGAAACACCCCCTGGGGGCACAATCGGATATAGCCCACATATTTTTTTTCGTTTAGAAGTGGGACTGACCTGATGTATCTGTGTAAGTAGAGCCATCCCCAGGAAAGTTTGCCATCATGGTCCTTCATCTTCTTCAAGGCGAGATATGACAAGAGAAGACCACTATCAAAAAATGAAAACATGAAGTACATCATGAGATTTTGGAATCACGTTGTTAAGCCTATATAGTGACATGTTAAAAAGCATCAAAACAAAGTACAATATATACTTGCAAATAAATCTTAATCTCAATCTCAATCGTCCAACCTGCTTTTCCGTCTGTACATCATGTATTTGTTTACAAGTTCCTCTTGCTTGCTACATACATGCTGTTTGAACAGAGAAAGAAAACAAGAATCAATGAAGAAAGGGTGCATCACAGTTTCACATGAGGCATAGCCACGTCAAGCCATACAATTGCAGTATCATCTTGTCAATTAGGGCGCCTACATGGCATTTCGGGGCATTATTACATGCTTTTGAAGTGGCCTCCGGGGGGGGAATACTCAGATTTGGTTTGGACGGGATGTGCCGTGCAAGCCTCAAAACCCCTACCCATTATTAAACAAGTCATTTTTTACGAAAATTTTTCACAATTCACGGGTTTTGAGGGTTTTTTTGTGCAGATTTTGAAAAAAACTGACCCATTTTTAATGATATTTTTGTTAAAAGTGGAACCCATGTTTAGGATTTTTGTGTGAAAAAGTGACTCATTAGAGCGGCACACCCCCGTATGTCCTAACATGTGAGTATCTCCCTCCCCGCACCCCCCAGGGAGTGGCCTTTGTCTTGAAATTACATGGCATTACGTGGCAGCTACAGCATCATTAATTTTAAAACAAAATCTATGTAGCGCTTGCAGCTAGATTTTACAAGAAAGTGTGACTATGACATGATATATTGGTTGTTTATCTGAGAGCAAGAAGAATTAAAACAGAATCGGTCAGGATTATGTGGCGCTTGCAGCTAGATTTTACAGGAAAGTGTGACTATGACATGATGTATTGGCTGTTTACCTGAGCAAGAAGAATGAATCAACAGCAAATGGTGCAGAAATAATGACCTGGAAGGTGATATCCTGAATGTAGTTTTTCAAGGCAAGAAGGATATTTTCTGAAGAAAAAAAAGGACAATGAGAGAAAAATATAGTACTGCAAATTAGAATTTTGTTTTCCATAAAATATGACAAAGCATACAAAAAGTAAAAAAGATGGCCAATATATGTACAGTGTTTGTAAGTGAAGTCTACCATTATGTGATAAGACTAAAAAAAACTTTGAAGTAAATTGCAATAACATTAGAGATTACATTGTTAACATTAAAATATTCTTGATTCAGGTTTCTGATAGAAAACTGGTTGAGCCTTCCTTCCACTCAAAAGCAAATAATACAATGCACATTTTAAAACATTTATCTCATGAATTCTGGAAACCCCTATCTTCTTAAAAACAAAAACAACGATGATGATGATGATGATGACGATGATGGTAATGATGATGATGATGATGATGCTGATGATGATGATGATGATGATGATGATGATGATGATGATGATGATAATGATAATGATGATGATAATGATAATGATGATGATGCTGATAATAATGATAAATTGATGATGATGATGCTGATAATAATGATAAATTGATGATGATGATGATGATAATGATAATATGATAATAATGATAAATTGATGAAGATGAGATAATCATGATGTGGATGATGGTGAAATGATGTTGTTGATGATGATGATGATGATGATGATGATGCTGCTGATGATGATGCTGATGATGATGATGATAATGATAATAATGATGATGATGATGATGATGCTGATAATGATAAATTGATGATGATGATGATGATACTGATAATAATGATGAATTGATGATGATGATGCTGATAATAATGATAAATTGATGATGATAATCATGACGTGGATGATGATGAAATGATGATGATGCTGATAATATGCTGATGATGATGATGATGATGATGCTGATAATGATGATGATGATGATGATGCCGATGATGATGATGATGATGATGATGATGATAATGATAATGATGATGATGATGATGATGATGCTGATAATAATGATAAATTGATGATGATGATGATAATAATGATAAATTGATGAAGATGAGATAATCATGACGTGGATGATGATGGTGAAATGATGTTGATGATGATGATGATAAGGCCTAAAAAAAAAAGATGTTGTATTGCCCTGTAGATGCCCCAAAATGGGTCGGTCGGTCGGAAATCTCTCTATATTTTTTTTGTTTACTCCCCCTTTGGGCTGATATTTCTCAGTTTTGAATGCTTTAATACATTTTTTTCTTCTAAAAAAACGGTAATAACAAAACACTTTTTAAAACAGCCGACCATAGATTTCAAGATTTTGGGGTCGGTCTCAAAGGGCAATACAACATCTTTTTGTTTTAGGCCTAACAATAATGATGATGATGATGACGTTAATGAAAGCAACAACAATGATTAAATACCTGATAAGCCAGCGTTCATCACCATGGAGAATGAGTGACCCAAGATGACCCAGGTAATGCTAATAACCCGGATCCCATTCAAACAGGGGATGCCTCCTGCAGCCTGCTTGGTGCTAAGAATCCTGGGAAGGTTGTGAGACATGGAAAAACAGAGAAGAAACTGCACCCACAAACCTGGAACGATGCAAAGATACGTTTCTGTATGAGTACACGTATAGTCATAGTTGTGAGAGACGATAAAACATAAAGAACTTAACCAAACACCTGAAATTTGAAATAAATAATTAAAGATACATATGCTTATTAATTACTTCTCTATCATCCCTTTGTTTTCAAGGCAATTGTCTCTATTTTCTGAAGCCTAAAGTACATGTAGATAGATTTTTTTTTAAAGTAATAAAGGAGTGGATATGGTGCACCTACTTGTGTGCATGCATGACTTTGATTTGCTTAGAAATGTTAGGATTAATTGCCCTACATATAAGTCCAATGTTTATAATATTAATATACCATTATGAAGTATCATAACATCACATTTCTTATTACATTGAGATATATCACAAAATGTGAGTCCTCTAATGAATTGCTAATTTCCAGGGCAAGGTTGTAGACAGAAAAAAACAAAGAGAAAAGAGAGAGGTATCCATACACAGAGAGAGATAGAACAAGAAAGAGAGAGAGAGAGATAGAAAGAGAAAGGGAGAGTGTGTGAGAGAGAGAAAGAGGAGACACATGGGAGAAAAACGGGCAGTAAAAAAAATGGGTTGAGAAAAAAAGATGAAGAAAAGGAAGAGGAAACAAATTCAAAGAGAAAAATAAAATAAAAGGGGAGAAAAGAATTGACGAGATATATTGACGGGAAGTAGAGGAAAGCAAGAGAGAGAATGGATGGATGAACAGAACAGGAAAAGTGCATATGTAATACCGGTGAATAAAAGAAACAAGAAGAACAGGAAGAAGAGGAAAAGGAAATTCTGATTTTTAAATAAGAGAAAGGAAGAGATAAATAATAATGATATTCAGTTCTTGTATAGAAATTATTACCCTAGCTTTAGCTCTGGCAGCTGTTATCAGCCCACAGTGCATCAGGCGCGTAGCCAGGGGGGGGCGGTGGGGGCGGTCGCCCCCCAAAAAAAAACGCCGGCCAAAAAAAAAAAAAAAGAGAGAAAAAAAGAAGAAAGGAAGAGGACGTAGGAAGAAAAAGGATAAAGAGTCGAGAACGGTACAACGAATCGTCTTCTTTCTCTAATAATTTAATGAAACGTCTAAGCTTCCGCGCTTCGCGCGGGAGGGGAGGGGGAAACTGAATTCAGATAAGGATTAAGAATCGAGAACGGTACAACAAATCGTCTTCTTTCTCTAATAATTTATGAAATGTCAAAGCTTCCGCGGGAGGGGAGGGGGGAAACTGAATTCAGACAAGGATTAAGAGTCGATCGAGAATGGTACAACGAATCTTCTTCTTTCTTTAATGGTCTAATAAAACTTCAGAGCTTCCACGCTACGCGCGGAGGCAGGGGAACTTGATTCAAACAAAGATTAAGAGTCGAGGACCGTGACGGTACAGCGAATCATCTTCTTTCTCTAATAAAACGTCAACAGAAACTGAATTTAGATAAGGATTTAAAAGTCAAGAATGGTACAACGAATCGTCTTCTTTCTTTAATAATCTAATAAAACTTCAGAGCTTCCGTGCTACGCGTGGAGGCAGGGGAACTTGATTCAAACAAAGATTAAGAGTCGAGGACCGTGACGGTACAGCGAATCGTCTTCTTTCTCTAAAGGAAACGTCAACAGAAACTGAATTTAGATAAGGATTAAGAGTCGAGAATGGTCCAACGAATCGTCTTCATTCTCTTATAATTTGATGAAACCTCAAAGCTTTCGCGCTTCGCAAGGGAGGGGGGAAACTCCCCCCTCCCTGCACCCTCCCCCTAGGGAGCGCGCTCACTACCGCCCCCCCCCCCCCTAAAATGAAATCCTGGCTACGCGCTTGCAGTGCATTCCAAGGAATGATCCTACCAGGTACCCATTTACCTCACCTGGGTCGAGTGTGTAAAATGTAGATTAATGTCTTGCCAAAGGAATAGTCCATTGGCGGGACTTAAACCACAGACCTTGTGATCAACAGTCCTGTGACATATCCACTCGACCATGACACCTCTACACATAAAGCAAGAATGAAAGAACAAGGAGAGGAGAGACAGACAGATATAACTGAAGGATACAGTGAGAGGGAGAAAGAGAGAGAGAGAGAGAGAGAGAGGGGGGGGGAAGAGAAAGAGAAAGTCAGGGAGAAACAGAGAAGATGAGGGAAAGAGAGAGAACTATTATGTACTTACTGTTCTTGGGTTTGTTCTCACTGGCTGCTGAATGATGAGATCCAGCAAGCAAAGCAGTGGTTTCTGATGCTGGCCCCGAGGCAATGTGAACCTGTAGATGGAAGAAGGAACAATATTATCTTTTTAGTTAAATAGACTGGTAGTGAGGAGTACATATTGTAATAGCACATTTGAACATGTACATGTATATGGAAAATGCGGTATATAAATACATTAATATTGTGAAGGAAAAAGTCAAAGAAAAGGAAGAGGATTGAAATTCAAGACAGTGCAATTTAAAAACACCAATACTTGCAGCATACACTGAAAAAGAAATTTAATATTACACAAACCAAGTATCTTCTTGCAAAAAAATTGTGGGCTCGGGGATGAAACATTTTATGTTATAAACATTAAAAAAATTCAGATTGGACAAGTATCATAGACATGTATCTCAAGGATAAAAAGAAAGTTTGACTGGTCCAATGATGTGTCTACACGCCTTTCCATATTGTGCAGCATTAGGGGTTGGAAATAATATCAATAATGGTAGTGATTAATAATAATAATAATATAAAAAGACTAATAATGATAATACTGATAAAAAATAATGATAACTCATAATAATAATGAAAATGATAATAATAACAAAGACTACTACTAATACTACAACTAAGTACTACTGATTATAATAATAAAAATGACAATAACAGTAATAATAATAATACAAAGAAGAAGAAGAAGAAGAAGAACAAGAAGAAGAACAAGAAGAACAAGAACAAGAACAAGAACAAGAAGAACAAGAACAAGATGAAGAAGAAGAACAACAAGAAGAACAAGAAGAACAAGAACAAGAAGAACAAGAAGAAGAAGAAGAAGAACAAGAAGAATACGAAGAACAAGAACAAGAACAACAAGAAGAAGAAGAAGAACAAGAAGAAGAAGAAGAAGACGAAGAAGAAGAAGAAGAAGACGAAGAAGAAGAAGAAGAAGAACAAGAAGAAGAAGAAGAAGAAGAAGAAGAAGAAGAAGAAGAAGAAGAATCTACTTGTCCTTTATTATGTTGTGAACACAGAAACTCATCACCATAAAATGGTGAAAAGTAGGTCCTAGTTCATAAATTTTCATGAACTAGCAAAGGCACGTAAAAGAGAAAATGGGTGGAGTGGGGATAAGAGGGCCTGGGGTTAACATAAACAAAAGTCATTACATTTTATGAGTATAAGTCATCAAATTTTATGAGTATTATTCATAATGTATTCCTTTTGCTCAGGTGCTCCTAGCTCTTTATGACAATAGGCTCCATAGCCGCTCTAATCATTTCATTTTGACCTATGATTTGTAAATGTTAATGAGTGCTTCCGATCAGGTGTTCTTGGCCTGATACAATCATCCTAATTTCCACATACCGGTAACTAGAGAGATAGAATTAGCATGTTTTTTGCACCAAAAACAACTTTTATGTCAATCTATTGAGTGTGTTTTATTAATTACTATAGACATGTTACAGAGATCAACAGAAAGCTGGGACTCACAAAGTTCTATCTGTCTATCTATCTATCCATCTATCTATCTATCTATCTATGTGTCTATCTGTCTATCTGTACTATCTATCTATCTATCCCTCCAATTTGTTAATTCTTGATATTCTTTCAATTGCTCTCGCTTTAATCTCTTTACTTATTTTCTAAATTTCTTGTCCATCTAGAATTGGGCCTGAAAGTTTACATACACCTGGTAGAAAAGCAATATATACATTATTATCCAAAATTCACTCATTCCTGCTAACTTTTCCCTTCAGGAATTTAGATAGACAAGTTTGCTCTCTGAAAAATGTATACAGTATTTACATCACTAATCACACTGAGAAACTTACATGCATATATGTGACTCCTGATAGGAATTAGTGCAGTTGTGAACATTTGAGTAAAATGTTTTTCTGTCAAGTACATGTATATACTTTCAGGCCCAACTGTATCCTCTGTGGATGACTGTTTGTCTCCCTGTGTCTCTTTCTTAATCTTTTTCTCTTTTCTAATATCCCTTACGAATTATGAAGATTTACCTTTGAACCCATACTATAGTTCAACTGCCTTACCTCACAATCACCAGCTTTGCTTTCATATATCCCTTCTTTCTGCCCTGTAGCACCATATCCCTCAACACTGGAATCGAGATGTGGCTTGTCAATTGACCTTTGACCTTCAGCTTCTTCATCTTTAATGCCCCTATCTGACCTGAGGTCATCCACACAGGCATATACAGAGTCTGGGTCGCTATTTTCTTCCCCCTTCACACCATCTTCCACTTTAGTCCTGCGCTTGTCCACACTGGCATAGATATCACCTCTGACCTCTGTTGACCTCTGACCTCCACTTGACCCATTGGCTTGGTCAGATGGGAGAGGTGGGAGGGATGGTCTCCGCTTTTCTTTACGGGCGATGTGTTTGTCTAGTATTGTGCCGATAACACTGAGTAGGGATAGGATGCTAATGAGAACGCTGTAAAGTAACAAACAATATGAGAGAAGATAACGAGGTGATCAAAAGTCAAAGACTACCGTATTCCACTATACTGACATCTATATCTGAAATGTCTGTAAAAGATACAATACAATAGTACAGGTTAATAAAGAGGTATAATTTGTACAATGTCACTTAGGTTTCAGCGTACTGAAGGGAAAAAAAGTTTGATCTGGTGCAGGCAAATTTAGATGCAATGTGAGAGATAGGACATGAAAAAATATAAGTTATTTTCCAGGTGTTTGAAAACTTAATTAAAAGTATTTAAATAAAGAATTATCATAATATCAAATTCACATACCATGTTCCTATAAATCCCGCATTAAAATCAGTGTCAGGTTTCTCTGTACAATGGACTGCTGAGTCTGCCACATCTTGTATTCCAATCCAGCTCACATTTAGTAGACCTGTAGGTTTTAACAGATATGAAAATATTAATCATGATTTGCTTACTAAAGGAGTACCAATTACTGGGCAATGTTCTGCTTTTAAGAAACAACATAGATCTACATTTGGTTACTGGAAATTTGGATACATTTAACCCTTCAGAAATAACCAATAGGATATTTTTCTTATTAGTAGTATTTCTTTCTTTCTTTCTTTATTTCACCTACAGTGTATTCATATTGTTTTGCTTTTCAGACCCCCCCCCCCCCCTTTTTCCTAGCAAATATTCAGGCACAACCCATTACTTTTGTTTACTATTGTATAATGAAACTTTGCAAAAAGTTTTAAAACTTTTTCAAGAACAAGAACCAATAACAGTTCTGAAAATATACCTTAAGGTAAAAAAGGACCACCAATAATGGAACCTTTGGCAATGCGAGTGAACACCCGCCCCCCCCCCCTCCCGTTTTTCTATTGGCACAGTCACATGTATTTTTGTTCACTGCTGAGAGTGTACACATTCTGAATACATAATAGCAACATGAACCTAAAGAGCAAATATGTTTTGGTGATTGGAATTTATTGCTCTTTATTATGACTCAGTGCATGACCATCACTCAGTCAGTGAATGGGTTCGCAAAGGTCAACAACCAGAACAAACATGAAAAACAACCAGAATAAACATGAAAAACAACCAGAATAAACATGAAAAACAGCCAGAACAAACATGAAAAACAACCAGAACAAACATGAAAAACAACCAGAACAAACATGAAAAACAGCCAGAACAAACATAAAAAACAACCAGAACAAACATGAAAAACAACCAGAACAAACATGAAAAACAACCAGAACAAACATGAAAAACGACCAGAACAAACATGAAAAACAACCAGAACAAACATGAAAAACAAACAGAACAAACATGAAAAACAACCAGAACAAACATGAAAAACAAACAGAACAAACATGAAAAACAACCAGAACAATATGTGAATGTACTGTTTTTAACAAATACTGCTCTGTCATTCATTTCTTGAAACTACATGTACCAGTAGACGTTTAGTCAAACAAGAACTTTGTACCATACGCTTCAGCACACTCTGTTCATTTTTTTTGAAGAAGTTGCATTGCTATGGCAATGTTGTTCAGCAAAGGTCAACAACCAGAACCATGAAAAACAAACATTCACAGTATGCGAATGTACTGTTTTTAACAAATACTGCTCTGTTCATTTTTTGAAGAAGTTGTATTGTTATGGCAATGCTGTTCTGAACTTGGTTATATACCCCCATCCCCGGCCCTCAAGTATTATATAAAAAATTTGTGAAAATGCAGTTCTAGATGGCAGGAACCTCAAATAACAACCATCCCAAGAATAACTTGCTGTTTTAAGTGGAATATAGAACTTATACCCTAAAATAATTTTCTCTTTGTAAAGTAGAAATGTCTGATAAAGTAATTTTTAAAAAGGTTGAGAAAAAGACGACTAATAAGAAAGTATGAGGCGGTTTGCTTATTCTCTTTCATCATGTTTCGTATAAATTGATAGGAACGTAAGCCAAGCTATAATGTTAGCACAAAAAGGTGAATAGATGAATACAACAAAACAAAACAAAAACAAATTTAAAAAAAATATTAAAGAAAAGAAACATTTGCAATAAAGGCTGCATGTTCTTATTGTACCATAATTCCTTACACAATCACGTGAATGGCTCGTGCTTGAGCCTTACCCTGTGGATAGTATAGAACAATGTTCACATATCAGCAAACCATATATGTATGTATACACAGATGAGTTTGAAAGGTCTATTACCGCATGACTCATGGCTCGTTGCCTGTTGCAGAATTGTACAGTATATGAGTCTTGCTAACATATTATTTGAAAGAAAGAAAGTCAATAGTCATATCTCTAGCTGCAAAATTACACCCAGACTAGCTATCAATGAACAAAGAAATTTAACACGATTTCTTTGAACTGTATTCCAACTCTCATCAGCCAGACAGTCTCAACAAGCCTGAGGTTGCAAAGTTCAACTAATATAAATATGGCAGGTACTCTGACATTATTATTATCATTTGGTATAAAGTTCCTTCCTATACCAATCGACATGCAACAAAAGTAAACATTCTTATCAATTAAGCAAACTGTTTACTCTGTTTGCTTTGATAAATATGTTGGTTTTTCTTTCTTACTCACATGGATTTATAAAATAATATTATTGCTCATCAAAATACCAGTGACTGTTACATAAAGAGATGATTACTATTATCATCATAAACTACTTTGAGAGTCTACTATTATCATCATAAACTACTTTGAGAGTCACCTATTATCATAATAAAACCATAATAAAAAGGTGTGCCTATATAGTCCAATTTAGAGGGTATGGTATTGTATCATCATTAGACCAGGGCCCCGTCTTACTAAGAGTCACACTCGATCCAAATCAATCCTAAGTCCTGCAATCAAAGGCAAGTTTGCAGTCTCTTATCTGTTATGTACATACTGGTAGTTACAATTGATATCCAACTCTTTGTAAGACGGGGCCCTGATATCTATTGCAAATTGAATTTTTTGAAAATTAAAGAAGAAAAAAAATAGCGCAACAATTCACTAAGAATTCCACTTGAATCGAAATTCAAACAAGTTTCATATATTTACCTAAGAGGATGTCCAGACCATTTTGTACATCGTCTTCACTACAGCTGACTGGAGCACACACACCCCAGCTGATTGGCAACGCCTGCATTCAAACAAATACATTAAATATCACATATCTAATACATTATCCACACCTGTAGATGACATACATTAATATATCAACAATAATTTCATGAACATTTTTTCAAATTATACAAATAATGACTTTGCAACAAAATATTACATCGCTGAAATCACAATATTGTCATCTGAAAACATAATTTTGTAAAATTATTTGTAGTGTAGAAATTTGCTCTGTTGTATACATATATTCAAAACTTACTTCAATACAGACCGAGCACCCACAGAGAAAGATAAGATAAAATATGGCTACATGTAGGTGGCCAACATCAACTTGATTACATTTGCTATTCATGACTTAAATGTCACGCAAGCATATTTTGATATTCAGATTGATCTACATGTACTAACTCCAATTAACTTAATGCGGGGCTGCACTATTTGTAGCTACTTGCGCCCTCTCTACAGCCAACAATGTCGCGGTACCTGTTTATCCCCCATGGTACCCTTTTTCATATGTTAATTGAGAGCTGATTTGAAGAGATAACCACCTGCCAGTGACCTTGCAGGGAGGTCTAATCCCTTCTGGCCAAACTAGTGCAGATAGACTTTAAACACTGTGTTAAAGGTAAAGACCAGTTATGGTCATGCGATTGCATTGTGAAAGAAACGTTGTGGAATCGATCAGAAAAGGTTGATTATCTAGCATCTAGCATCTGCAAGGTTCTGGAATCATCAAAATGATAAGAAATTTGGCCCATTCTTCGTAAAGTTACAAGCACTATACACAGAAAGATGTAAATGGGACTACCCTATATCTCTCACAGACCATGAGAGAAACAAATTTACCAAATATATGAATTAGTAGGCAGTTTCCCGGCAAATTTTGTATCATCATGTATTAGTCAAAACATATTCTTTCACATGATTGGTAATGAGAGCTTCCATTTCTTTTTTTGAAATTGGGGCGTTTCCAATACTGGTCTTTACTTTTAATGCACTTCTTGAACGCGACTCTGAATTTAAAAACATTCTACTTTTATAAACATCCATGTGCGTGTCTGTAACTGACTCGTGACCCCTAATTATTACATGTACATATTAATCGGTGTTGTACTTCCTGAGATGCTTCCTCCAATCCGCATCAATTTAACCTCTGTACCAGCAGTTTCAAGGAGCTTGCAAGGTTATATGATTATGCCTTCTGATGATCATGAACAATAAAGATTTTAAAGTGTACCAATCACCTGAACAAAATTCTGTTCAGCTAGACTGTAAAATCAACCTAAAATAGAATTCTAACCATTAAGGAGTATGAAGACACTATATCAAAACCCCTCCAACAGGCTAACCACTGAAATCAAGTCTGACACGTGCATTCACTAGTCTAGTCTACTCAGTACTCACAAGTCGATTTTATATTAATTGAGAATATATTTTAACTTGCGATATCACCAATACATGTATGTGTTACGAAAGTAATGTTTGGCACTCAAATCTTGAATATAGTATGGCAACGTGGAACCTTAACCATACAGAGCAAATACATACCTTTTTTGTGATACATATAGGTACACTTTATAAATGCATAGTCCAAACTCCAAATTAATCAATAATGATAACTATAACTACACATAGGCGGATGTGGTTTGTGCTAAAGCACAATATAAATTGGAAGTCCTTGGTAAATGTTTCAAATAACTGGCAAACACAAATACCCAGTGGTCTGTATCCCCTCCATAAAACAAGAGTATTAGTTTTTGTTTTTCTTCAAACTGAATAACAAAGCTAGAAGAGAGCATGGGCAAATAAAGGTCATTATATAGTATCAAAACTGGATAACTCATCGAGATGACTGCTGGATACATGAAATTTATCTAAATATTACTCATTATGCAATTATTATTCAATGATAGTATTCTTTTTAAGAGGGCAAACAAAAGGTATTCATGAAGCACCTCCATCATTTTGGCAGTGATTATTCTATAATGCACAAAATGGGACATTTCCATGTGTACAAGATCTGTGGATATTTCGGCGTCATTTGTACAAGTGCTCTCTCTGAAGTGGCTTATTTCTCTGTTAGTAAACTAATATATAATTTGAGTTGGGCTGCATTTTTAAATTTTTTAGTAGTATAAATGAGATTCATGCAAGCCTATTCGACAAATGTTGATTACATACCCATGTAAATTTTACTTTAAAGACTGTCAACACTACTGGGCCAGAAGGGATTAGACCACACAGCGAGGTCACTGACAGGTGGCTTTCTCATCAACTCAGCTCCCAACTAACATAAGCAAAAGAGGATTATGGGGGACCAACAGGCACCGATTGGGGAAGTTTTTTATATAGAGGGAGCAAGTAGCTACAAGTAGGACAGTGGGGCTTTAAAAAAAGAAAAAGAGTAGGGCCTATTTTTAGATATAGAGATAGCTATCATCATCGGACACAATGTACAACTGCTCTCATGAGCCAAGAATGTTCAATAGGTTTCCTAACTTACCAAAGTGTTGTTGACACTTATCGTGATGTTGAGTCCCATGTCGACAAGGCAATATCTAAACTCAGTGATGTTCATGCACTCATCAAAATGGCCAAGCCATGCCGTGTTGCCAACAAGAGTACCGGGTGTAGGTTTCCCAAAGGAATCCAGAACTGTTTTTAGAAAAAACTTGGTGTATGTGATTACATTTATTTCAAGGTTGTTTCAACTCAACATCAACCAATTCTAAAACTCTTTGAATGTGAATTTTAGTGAAAACAAGTCAAATGCAACTGTGTCTCTATTAAATATGTCGCTGCCTACATTCCTTTAATTATTACCAGTTTCTAAAACATATTGGACAATTTTCAAAACTGTATTTCATCAATCAATTATCATATGACTTGTCTCCAAAACTCCACTTACTTCACCTCCATATACGAAATTGAATGACATCCATCAACAGACTGTGTTTCATGTAAAAGACAAAAAACTTATTACTCATTGGCCTATGCCTCGGTTTAGGCCTATTTTCTTAAATAGTGTTACGACAAAAAAGCTATTAAAGCCCTGCTGCACTACTTATAGCTACTTGCGCCCTCTATATTGCAAACAATGCCTAATTGGTGCCTGTTAGTCCCCCATGATCCCTTTTTTCTTATGCTAGATGAGAGCTGATTTGATGAAATAACAACCTGTCAGTGACCTTGCAGGAAGATCTAATAATCTCTGACCAAACTAGTGCAGACAGGCTTTAAGAAAAATATGATGAAAGTGATCTTTGACCCAATTACCAGTATCCCATAATCTAATCAGATTGTCTTCCTTTTTCCGACTAGACTACTTACCTTGGATCAAATTGGGGTCTCCTGAAAACAGCTTCAGCAAATCTTGCAGGCAGACATCAGATACATTCTGAACGGATGGTGCCCTCTCTAAGAGGCTCTGATCCTGCCACAAACGGAGCGCATCATTCAAGTATACACCTCCATCATAATCTATTTTTCCATGGCAACCCGTGAAGATGACAAGAAGAGCAGCGAGCTTGAGATAACAAGCCATCTTAGTCACTGGATCAAGTTGAGGTTCCTGGGGAAACAAAGAAAAGAATGGCCACTATTTATTAACTATTTTATACACATAGGAATGTATATTTACCAGTATATGAAACTAATGCAGGAATCGTAAGGCCCTCACCATTCAAAAATGTTTGGGAGAAAAAAATAGAGTATAGGCTTTTGTGCAAAGTAATAAGATTCGTTGTTATTTTTTTTTTCATGGCAGAGTTTACGAGTTTCCATGTGTTAGTCATATCTTTTGTGTGGACTTCAAATTGATTAAAGAAGTATAACTTTTTCTGGTCCCACTATTTGGAATAGTCTCCCATTAAGCATTCGTTCCTGCACCTCAGTCGCATTATTTAAGAGAAATCTCAAAAATTATTTTTTTTCTTTGTAATTGTTATTTTTTGACAAGGCATTGTGTGGATTTGTGTGGAATGTGAACGAGGTTGCGTACTGTATGAACCTGACTTGGTTCGTGTGGTGCACAGCTATTTTGAACTACTTTACACAGCTTTACACAACGTATGCACTTGGAGAGCAAAATCATTATTCTGTTTTATTTACTAACGTAAAGCGCTTTGAGCATGTAGTAAAGGCGCTATATAAATATCAATGTGTAGTATTCTTTTTTTGCAAGACGAAGAGTGGTTGTTAAAGTGTTCCTAGAATCAAATCTGTGATGTATTAATGAACTTTATAATTCCACACTCAACAAGAAGTTTTGAATTATAAGGAAACAGGGACTTATTTGAGGAACTTTTCATACTTATATTTCTGCAATGACAAGCAACTTACTACAAATGAACAATGTGGTCTATCAGCAGACTTTGAGTTTGATTCTGAAGATTGTAAATGAACTTCGGAAAAATTAAAATTTACATTTTGTAACTGATTTTTACATTTTTACATTTATGAGAATTTTGAGGACCTTCATATATTATATATTGTCATACATACATGCCACAGTATTCATTCTCACTTTGTTTTAATATTTCACAACAAACTTGGTAAAAAAAACAAGGAATTTTACTCATTGTAATATATTCATTTTGTTTGATAAATTTTATAATTTTTAATCATTTGGCTGTATTTGATAATTTGTTGTAACAAAGGACAGATTAATCCATTGTTTACAAACAACAAAAATATTTTTTTGAAATTTGAAGAAGAAAACTGTTGAAACTAAAGAGATCCTGTGAAATTATATACACACTGTATATCTTTTTAAAAGTAAAGGAAAATATTCGTATTATATTTTGAATGGTAACTCTTTATGGACCTTGTAATAAGGCAAAGTATCATATGCTACATGTACTTGTAATAAAAGTGTCGAACAAAAACACAATAATAATGTTATGATTTATTAGAAGTGATAACAGATTTCTCACACGAAATGTTCAAACTTAGTGATATTTTGTAGAAATACAAATTGAAATTCATGTTTGCAAAGAATGATTAGCTAAAATGTCTTTCTCTGATTTGTAAAATTGAGTAATGATACGTACGGTACATTGTTACAATTTATAAAATGTGATAAATACATATATAGTAAATTCATACAAGCCTTGATTGTTAGTATTATGTGCCTAAGGAAGGCACTCCCCCCCTCTCCAGGCTCCCGCATGCGTGTTACCAAAATGTCCGGTAAGGGGTACACAAAAATCCGGCCCGTATTAACTTTACACACCGGACTTAGGGGTTTTTTTCAAAAGGAGGGAACACGCATATATGCGTACCCTAAATAACAGTGAGTGGGGGGGGGGGGGGGGGGAGGCGTTAAATTTCATTGCAGAAATTACTTTAACAGTTTTTTTTCTCTGGAAAAATGTTTAAAAATGTTTCAAGACACAGATTTTAAATGATATATCCCGGCAAAAAGTATACATAAAATCGCACAAATTGAGTTAGAAAATTTGAATTTTCTTCAGACTTCCCCCTGTCCACGCAAGCGCGGAATGCGGCGCTGAATAATAATAATTTCTCACAAATAAGGCCCTCCCCCCGCCCCCCCCCTCGACCCTCGTCGCCGGCTGGATCCGCCCACGTCCCAGGTAGTTCCACAAAGGCAAGCATGGAGTAAAGATTTCTTGTTCTCTGCAAGTAATAGAGCCAGATCACGTCTTAGCTGCATAGGCCACCCAGCCTACACTTGTTAATAGTCTTAAAGTTAATAACTTGACAATTATGTTGACACTGAAAACTACATTTAGACTTGTTCTTATTCACTCAGTTATATTTCATTAACGCGGGGGTACAAAGATAATAGAACAAATCAGTCTATGAAAGATGTCTGAGTGACTATGGCTGGCTCCACTGAATGGAGGATAGACAGCGTCATTCAAAAGTTCAACTTTCCCTATTTTGACCACCTCCATCAAGCTTTTTTGACAACGCAAGTACAAGTCTTAGGCCAAAACTTCATTTTTTGTGTGTCTTTTTTTTTTTTTTCCATTTTTTTTTTTTTTAAATATTTTTTTTCCATAAAAAAATAATAATTGGGATTGTCAAGCATTTAAACAAACAAAACCTATAAAACACTTGAATATGGTAAAAGACTAGTTTAATGTACAATGAATATCAAGACCAACACAGAAAGTATTTTGGGCTTTGAAATACAGCACCTTTTAAATCTCCATTGTACTATTTATAGTAGACCGAAAGCTTCAGTCTCTATAATCGTCGGTTGTTCCACTGAGACTACGTCTGGCTCCACTAGACCTCCGGTTATAGAGACAGAACGACTGCCTATGCCAGCCTGTGTTGAACTTATTCCGCTAGATTTTAGCCGCTAGGCCCCTCCCACAAACTTGCCACGGCCGTATTGTTATGCCCCCAAAATCCCCCAAAATGTCATTTTACCTCGTTCATTTCCAATTTTAAATTAGGCCTAGGCTATAATACATCGGTTCCACTTACTAACTTGATTGATATAATCCGTTTAATGGTCCCTTTTAAGGAAATTATCGGTCAAAATCGACATCCATGTTGAAAATCTTGCAAGCCGTTCGCTGCCGTCAATCTCATCCCTTCTAGTCTACGCCGAAGGCAAAATGATTAGGAAGGAAAAACTGTGCGCCATCTACACGTTCGTAATGGCGTTATCACAGTTTTTCCTTCATAATCATTTTGCCTTCGGCGTAGACTAGAAGGGATGAGATTGACGGCAGCGAACGGCTTGCAAGATTTTCAACATGGATGTCGATTTTGACCGATAATTTCCTTAAAAGGGACCATTAAACGGATTATATCAATCAAGTTAGTAAGTGGAACCGATGTATTATAGCCTAGGCCTAATTTAAAATTGGAAATGAACGAGGTAAAATGACATTTTGGGGGATTTTGGGGGCATAACAATACGGCCGTGGCAAGTTTGTGGGAGGGGCCTAGCGGCTAAAATCTAGCGGAATAAGTTCAACACAGGCTGGCATAGGCAGTCGTTCAGTCTCTATAACCAGAGGTCTAGTGGAGCCAGACGTAGTCTCAGTGGAACAACCGACGATTATAGAGACTGAAGCTTTCGGTCTATATTTATAGCTACTTGTGCCCTCTATGTAGCAAACAATGCCTATAATCAGTGACACTGGTCCCCCATGCAGATCCTCTTTATCTTATATTAACTAAGAGCTGATTTGATGAGATAACCACCTGTCCAGTGACCTTGTAGGGTGGTCTAATCCCTCCTGTAAACTAGTACAGATGGGCTTTAAAATGAGTTTAAGAATGCTCAGAACCTGATTTGAATGAACGGCATTTTGACATTTTTACCTCATTGCGTACTGAAAAGACAAAAATGGTAACGGGACGCATTTCGATCCTTGCAAATGCATAAAATAGTATGTTTGGCATTTAAAATTGCTTCCCCCCCCCCTAAAAAAAAAAAAAAATTGAAAAAAAAAAAAATTGAATTGAAAAAAAAATTGAATTGAAAAAAAAAAAATTGAATTAAAAAAAAATATACAGTGCGTCCCAGAAAAAACGAAACCGAGAAGTATCGATGTTTTATCATAACTTAATCACAACCATAATTAATGAATGATACATATTTGGAAAGCTTGGGGTCTCCTCTTTCAGTTAATGCTACTCACGTGATGCATATTTTACACATGAGTGATTAAAAGCAATTTGAAGGAAGGAAACCAAAAAGTAATTTGGCGGGCGGTATCTGAATTTCAAAGAAAAATTCATATTTCTAGAAAGTTCATATTCTACTCTTTCATATGATACCTCAATCAAGAAAAATGAGCCAGGAATAACAAAGTTCTGTTGGTTTAAAGTAGCCCTTACATTTTCATAATTTTAACAAACGAATTCGTTTTCACTGGGTGCCTGCCGTAGCAAAAAGCAGATTTGACAAAAGACTTAACTCCGTTTTGTTGACAATCAGCCATGCATGAAGACTCTCGTCTATGGCTGATTGTCAACGAAACGGAGTTAACTCTTTTGTTAATTTCGTTTATTGATACGGCAGGCAGGCAGTGAAAACGAATTCGTTTAATAAAATTATGGAAATGCAAGCACTACTTTAAACAAACAGAACTTTGTCATTCCTCGCTCATTTTTCCTGATTGAGGTGTCATATGAAAGGGCAGAAACTCAACTTTCTAGAAATGTGAATTTTTCTTCGAAATTCAGATACTGCCCGCCAAATGTCTTTTTGGTTTCCTTCCTTCAAATTGCTTTTAATCACTCATGCGTGAAATATGCATTATCTAAGTAGCATCACATGAAAGAGGAGACTCTCAGCTTTCCAAATATGTATCATTCATTAATTATAGTTCTGATTAAGTTATGATAGCACATTGATACTTCTCGGTTTCGTTTTTTCTGGGACGCACTGTATAGATCTATATTAAAAAAAAATAAAAAAATAAAAAAATTTAAAAAAATGCGAGCGGCCCGAAAATGACGAGTGGGCGGTCGAGGACAACCAAATGATTTTTTTTTTTGGCCTTAGTTAGGACATAACAACGTGATTGACGATACACCCAGCGGTTACTCACCGAATACACTCCCTAGCTACATGTACATGTAGCCCAGCGGCCTGACCTGATCCGAAACCCTGGCCCGCGCCCGACGTTATCACTTTAAGTTTCAGCTCTGCACTAATTATAGAGCATATTAGATGGAGATCGAAAACTTCACTAACTTTCACTTTCTGGATGAAGCGTTTACACTGATGTTGAGCATCTATAATAATGTATAAACTGTTTTGTTCAGGCTCAGCCTATATAACTTCTGCCTGGAATTGATGGACAACGGAGGCCGGCAGGAGGAACGAACTCTACCACATGCACACAGTTAACACTCGACTCGACTCCCGTGCAGAACGATCAAAGAGATACCAGCTATGATCAGCTGTCACATGAAATGGGGGCGGGGCCTGTGGGGGGTGGGGAGGGGGGGGGGGGGGGAATCTATGAGGCGAATCGGATGATGGGTGCGGTCAATCCGCAATATTTGATGCGTGCATTCGTAATATCGTGAGCGATGTACATAATTGTTCAGATCTTTAGAGAGGTTTTTTTTCTTCAAATTCAATGAAAGGGGCTATTTGGCTTTCAAGGAGAAACTTAAAATTTATATCTGGCGTGTCTGCTATATATGAATGAGATGGAATGTTAAATTGGATCGAGGGCTTGATATGCTCTTTGAAAGGAGCACACAATGGGGGCAGTGCCGTTAAAATTAGATTTCAAGGGATGGATTAGAGTTTTCATCGCTCACGATGGCTATATCCAGGGGCCAAGGCGGACCCCTGGACCCCATTAGTAAAGATAAAAGTGGTTCCCAAGACAGTTTTATGAAGTTTATTAAAGCTTCTAACAACCACTCATGTGGACTTTAACAAAATAATCTCAACTGATATTACTTTAGCTTTAATTAAAACAATATTTCTTGACTACAATCGACCGATTTGCTATTTCCGTTTGGAAATTATATATCAGAACTAAATATTAAGCCCCATAGGCGCTATTTGAAATATATTGAAATTTACCGGGAGCACCAGTAAATTTTCTATTATTCAATTTCTCGAGAGCAGAAGTGTTTAGGGGCTAAATTTTCTAGTGTGTAAAATACATCCACAGGGGCTTTTTAAAGACATACTAAACCCATCCAATTTTCAAAATTTCCCAAAATTTTGCATCACCTTTAGGTCTGAAAGAAGGTCTCATTCTTGCTGGCTGGTCAAACATAATGCCTGATGCTGAGCTAGAAATTAAAGTGCATCCGGAGATGTTTTAAAAAAAGCCTGGAGCAGTGTCCGTTTTGTTGTAAATACCATAGAAGATAAGATAAAACAAAAGGAACAAAACTGCTAAGAAAACCAATTGTCTCGTTATTAAATATCATCTTCCTGTGTGCATTGTTAATATGTAAATTAAATACCTTTTAGTCTTCTAATGTTTAGTCCTATCTCAAGGTTTTTCTTCTTGACTGTATCAAACTAAATAAAAGACGCAGATCGGTTCACCCTAAAGTTCCTAAACCATTTTTCGTTAATCGGTTAATGCACCTTTCACAACAGATTTCATTTAAGAGTTATCACGTAGCCCAGTGCACGTTACTAAATCATATAATTGTATAATCTTCGAAGAGCATTTTCGAGAAATCCATCTCCTTATCCTCTCGCTTTCTTTGCCCTTTCCCTTCATTTCTCCCCTCGCTCTCACCCTTTCTTTTATTATTTTTGTAATTGCTGTTTGATTGGTAGGACACGAGCCCCCTAGCTTTGTCACTGGATGCAATTGATCATTGGATTGGTGCATCTAAGTTATTAAGTTTCCACTTTTCAATCTAGTATAGACGGAACATAAAAATTCGTGCAGCAAGTCTAAAAGCAAAAAGGAATTTTTCAATCGAGGCACGTATCCGATTAACGTTACAAAAGGTTACGAATAGTATTCTCTCCTTTTGATGAAACGTGTCGAGTATGATATTCATGTCACATACTTTGCGTCAAAATTCGCGCCATTCGATCACGCCATTTGGTAAATTAAATGTCTACAAAACTATTAAGTATGATTCGAATGGTATTTGAAAGTGAGTACAAATAAGAGATTGCAATTGTGTAAACTGTACTCCCTAACGCTTGGCAAACATATAGCGGAAAATATTGAGCAAAATAATTTTCACTTTCTTTCTTTTAAAATAATGTTTGCTTCATAAGATATTTTTTATGTCTGCACACACGCACGTACACCAATAGACCGAAAATCAGTCTTTTTCGTTCGGGATATGAAAATATTGCGAAGGTCACCATTTAGGAGAAGGTGTGGGAGAGGTCGTATGTTCTCCCTTTCAACATAGGCGGAGATCCCGGGGGTGGGGGATATATCCCCCAATATTTGACCAAGGGGGATGGCCTATGTAATCATCCCCCATAGGCCACCCCCCCCCCCCCATGTTATGCATATGTTTATGATAAAAACATAAGGGGCAGTTATTAAAGATGAAAAGGGACACCCATCAGAGATGAAAGAGACGTCAAAGGAAAACGACTATCTCAGAGATTTGAATAGGGGCAATTATCGAAGGTGAAGGGGGCATTGTGAAGCATTGTGAAGTGAAAAGGAGTAAATACCTGAAAAGGGTCATTTACTATAGAGATTAAAAACGAGCATTTATGAGAAGGTGAAGGTTTTTTTTTTAATGGGAGCACTTCTTAGAAAGGAAAAGGGACACCTCTCAGATTTGAAAAGGACAATTATTATTAGAGGTGAAGAGGGCACTTATCAAAAGTGAAAAGAGGCACTTCTCGTACCTGAAAAGGGGCACTTACAAAAGATTAAAAAGGGAACTATTATGAAAATAGAAAATGAACATTTATTGCAAAGGAAACTGTGAACTTATCGAAGGAAAAGGGGTACTGTCAAAATAAAGGAGGCACTTATCAGAGGTGAAAAGGAGAAGGGGCACCTTTACAAATTTATAGGGGCATTTCTTACAAAGTTAAAGGGGCACTTTTGGGGTACTTGGGAAGGCCGCCTCTGGTCTGTACTCCCCCCTAGGCTAACAACAGATCTCCACCACCACTCCCTTTCACAATCCTCTCCCTTCCCTTCCCTCCTCTACCTACTCTCTGCCTTTTTCTGATTTTGTTTGCCTTTTCCCCTAGTACCAACCGACTGAGGGAGGGTGGGTGTTTGCTCCTCGTAGATACGCTATACCATCAACAACAAAAGTTAGGCTTAACATATTTAATAGTGCGGTGTCATTAACCATATGTTAACAACATACTGTTTGGTGAAATAATTGAAAAATAAGGTCTGCCTTGATTATCAGGGCTTAATAAAATAATTAAAAGTATTATATTTGGGGAAAAACGATGGTGTTTACTGTTATCATACCCAATAAACAAAGCACTAAAAAGTAACCTCTTTTGGGAGTGTATTTTAGGTGATTTTAAAGTAAGGTGCCTTTTGAACTAGATTTAACACGTGCCTTCATTTAAACAAAAAAGGTACTCCTGTTCACGTTTTCATCTAACCTAAAAACCACCAATTTATTCCACTTACCTCTGTAAATCAAGTGTTTGTAACCAAATAACCACTTCACCAAGCAACGAGTTTTTTGTCCGTTAATGATTGGTTTCAAAGGTTATCCAAGGTTGATGGTAATAATCACGTTACTTACACCGGCTAATCGTCTCATTGTTCTGTGCGTTAATTTCTGGTTTTATTAAATAAGTAATTATGAGGTGTCTTACACACCTCTTTAAATGGTTTCAAAGTTACCATAACTTTTTTGGTTATGATCACGTAGCTAAAACTGATTACTAATCTAAGCTGTGAATCCGTGATATTTAGGTGTGAAAAATTAGTCATTATTAGGTGTCTTAAAAGACATATTTAAATGGTAATCAAAGTTGCCATTAGTTCCGCGGTTATGATCTCGTGACTCAAACTGATTATTAATCTAAGCTGGGCACACGTGACTTTTAGGTGTGAAAAATTAGTCATTATTAGGTGTCTTAAAACACCTTTTTAAATGGTTTCAAAGTTACCATAACTTTCTTGGTGATGATCACGTAGCTAAAACTGATTACTATTCTAAGCTGTGAATCCGTGATATTTAGGTGTAAAAAATTAGTAATTATTAGGTGTCTTAAAACACCTATTAATGGTAGTCAAAGTTGCCAACAGTTCCGCGGTGATGATCTCGTGACTCAAACGTATCATTAATCTAAGCTTGGCATACGTGACTTTTAGGTGTGAAATTTTTTTAGTTATTAGGTGTCTTATAACACCTTTTTAAATGGTTTCAAAGTTACTATAACTTTATTGGTGATGATCACGTAGCTAAAACTGATTACTAATCTAAGCTGTGAATCCGTGATATTTAGGTGTGAAAAAAAAGTAATTATTAGATGTCTTAAAACACCTATTTAAATGGTAGTCAAAGTTGCCAGCAGTTCCGCGGTGATGATCTCGTGACTCAAACGAATTATTAATCTAAGCTGGGCATCGGTGATTTTTAGGTGTGAAAAATGAGTCATTATTAGGTGTCTTAAAACACCTATTTAAATGGTAATCAAACTTGCCAGCAGCTCCGCGGTGATGATCTCGTGACTCAAACGGATATTAATATAAGCTGGGTATTCCGTGATTTCTAGGTGTGAAAAATAAGTTATTTTTGGGTGTCTTGATGGTTTCACAGGTACCATTTAAGTTCCGTGGTGATAATTTCCGTGACTGTTGGCATATTTCTATTTTCACCAGTTGATAACTGACTGTTGGCCCCGGCCCACCCCCCCCCCCCACTCAGGGGTCGGAATGACCGCATGCGTGTTGCCAAAATGTCCGGTAAAGGGGTACTTTTCGTGCGACAAAGTCCGGCCCGAGAATTGTAAAAAAAAAGGGGTGTATTTGACTTTTCACCCGGAGATTTATTTAAAAAGGGGGTGTTTTTTCGTTTTTTCGTTTTTTCGTTTTTTCTCTCATCTCCTTGGACTCCTGAGAAATTATTCCGAATTTAGGGGGGTATATTGAGCCCTTTTCCTGATTTAGGGGGGTCTCCACGGCAGGAAAAGCCCGCGAAAAGCCCGCGAAAGGGGGGTTCGGAAATGTTGGCAGTCCTCAGATAGGGGGTGCTTTTAAAAAAAGGGAACGAGCATATGCGTACCCTAACTAACACTGAGTGGGGGTGGGGGGGGGGGGCGGGCTGTTGGCATGTTTTTATTGCACCAGTTGATAACTGGTCTGTGTGCATATTTCCAGTTGCACCAGTTGATGACTGACTGTTGACATATTTCCAGTTGAACCAGCTGACACCAAAAAA